ATATTTGTTTCTTGTTTTATATATTTCTCGAATCACGATTTCTCGAATAAAACTGCTGAGTTCGAGAAGATATAATACACATATGAAGTAATTATGATCCAGTTCGCGTTGCCTTGGAATAGAAAGAGGCGGCGTTGAAAACTACCACCCGATATCTCGCTTCTTATGAAATAAAGCCACATTTCATTATATTCTGTTCTCTGTTTTTATTTATGTTAATGTAACTGGGTTTTGATGTTATGTTTCTTATTTTGCTTATAAATGTTTGTAAGCTAGTCAGGTACTATGACGGATTGGACATCCATTTAAACACATACTAAATTGCACTACAACTACCTACCTATTGTAAGTAATAAAAAAATCCATAACGAATCAGTTTAAAAAGCCTCGAGTTCCTAAATTCTAGCTTCGTGTAGAATTTGTGGTTTTTTCATTACATCTACAACATTTCCAAAAATTATGAAAATTAGACTATTTTTATGGGGCGAAAAACGTTATCGCATTTTATATGAAAATTTACAGCTACACAATCCTAAAATTATGTACTAGAAAATAGTAAATCTTAAGAAGGCCTAACGAAAAATCTGCAATAACATAAGCCTTTCTCCTAAGGTACTCTCGCAATAAATATTCATATCTATTTAAAACGTACCTAGAGACGCACCCGTACGAAACGGGGGTAAGTCACTAGTCTATACATATAATAAAATTGTAATTAAGCCGAATCTGTACATTAAATATTTTTATACAGAGGCCGAATCTATAGTTCTTAGAATTTATTTTTGTCTGTCTGTCTGTTACCGAATTACAGAAAAACCACTAGAGGGTTTTTGATGAAATTTGGTTTGGTGATAGCTGGCTATCCTGGTCAACATATAGGATACTTTTTACCGCGTTAAAATATCTCATTTCTGTGAAATAATACAAAAACTACAATGTAAGAGTATACTAATATGTAAAACCTAAGAATTTGGTTTTTGGTCATCTGAACTCGGGTGGAGCCGCGGGCAATGCTAGTTTTAAATACAACAAACTTTACTTTGGTTCCCGACATTTCGATTGCTTTACAATAATCATGTCACAGAAGAGAGTTTTCTGTTTAATTATATTTATCATAAAAACCATTACAATATGCACTAAAAACACCGGCATGGAAATCGACAAAGGTGCAGGTGATTTAAACATTGTATTATTCGAAGATGATGTATCTCAACAGAACACATAGTGTAAAAGATTTGTTCTTTTCTTAGGAGGTATTTGACCTAACATCTCAGAACGGTAGATTGAGTTGGAGTTCAATTTTGTTGGTATTAAATTGCTTTCGGTTTAATAATGGCTTCTCATTCTATAGATCTCCAATCTTTCAACGAATTCTTATATCAATCAGTCAGGTGAAATATTGCTTATGTTATAAACCATAGGAATTCCTATTACATTTGAAGTGTAACAGCGAATTTTATCGCTCAAAAGGTTACACCTATAGACTGGCCGAAAATTCAAATCTATATACAAATCTAGATACATAGAAAATGACTCTTTCTCTTAGTCTCTCTAGACTCCGCTTGCATAGTTTAGTTATGTACTTTTAAGTTATAAATACTCCGTTCCTAACGGACGTAGCATGATGATTGAAAAGCTTTTTGCCAAGGTGCCAAGACAGAAACTCTATCTCTATCTCTTCCCCTACATTTACCCATAAAACATTTTAAGACATAACCTATATTAGTATTTTTTACCAACATCCAAAAAAGAAGAACGTTATAAGTGTTTGTGTTTATCAATAAGTTATTGCATTGAATTTAAATCCGATACTTAAGTCTTCTAAACTCAAGAAATCCTAAGCTTTAGAGTGACAAAATTTTGAAAGTAAAATTAATATACACCAATATTTTCTAGTACCTACCACTAAATGTGTATTCTTACTACATCGATGCCAACTAAGTAATTTTGCATTTAAAAAAAGCCACATTTACATAACAATATTTCACAGAAAAAATGTTGTAAAATAATTATTAATTATACATATTTGGGGGCACGGCAGTGCCCCCGCCAAGTCTTTGTTGCACAAAAAAGTAATACAAAAAATAAAAAATTAAAAATAGTCTTATTTGTACAAATACATAGGATAGATAATACGACCTCAAAATGAAATTGATCTAACCAAAAATGACACAATACTAGTACTCCATCGCATGAAGAAATTGGACAGCCTGTCTTCAGGCAAATCTTCAGTGTTTTTGTCTGTAAAAATAGACGAGATGGCGTTAATCCGTAACTGTCGAATTATTTCATTTATTAAAATGTATGTGTATTATTAAATATGTATGTGAAAAAATAAGAAATACATAGCAAAATTTATTATGCATTTAATGAAACAAGTTTGTGTCATTAATCATTAGTAAACATGTCACAAAATGTTAACAGCGCCATCTACAAATCCGCAGTAAAAACTCATTACCTATTGGTTAATTTTTTAAACAACAGTAATATTATGGTATTTTAATTTAAAAACGTACATTACCCATAATCTTTTATTTATCCAGAGATTTCTTTTAAATAAGAATATATCTTTTTCTATTTTTGAAGTGAAAACTTCTATAGACAGGTTTGGATGTGGAGTAAATCTTCATCGACATGGTCACGTGACGTGTTAACACTAATACTCCAGAGTGCCGATAGATGTCAAAACCAGATAAATATAAAAAGTTTTAATTTACAAATTTTAATTTTAGATCAAACAATTAATTTGAATATCCCAAAAATAACAAGTTTTTGTTTATAGTTTTAAGTTTTCACTTCTGTCTGCAGTCCTCATAACTGCTTTTTTTTATCAATTAAATTCATTTATACAAACGTCAATAATAATAAATCGATTGGTACATACAACGCCATCTATTGACATTTAAAAAAATATTTTTTATTTGTTACTAATGAGACAAAGTATATAGGTATTAAAAGTGTGTGTTTTTAGTTAGTCATTCTGGGTAACATTGGCCCAAAGTTGTAACTTTGACCACACCATGTTTGAACCCATTTTGAAACCTAACAAAATGGAATTTTAAAGTGAGAAAACATAATGGTCTAATGCAAAGTCAATTTAAGTTTGGACTATATCTATTTGTCTAGGTTTTAGGACTTGCACATCTTACTAATATGATAAATGTGAAAATTTAGATGGATGTTTGTTACTCAATCACACCAGAACGGCTGAACGGATCTGGGTGAAATTTGGCACAGAGATAGATTATAGTCTGGAGTAGCATATAGGCTACACTTTTATCACGGAAAAATGTACAGGTGCCGTGGGATAAGTGTTTTTGATTTTTTAGAAGCGAATCCGAGCGAAGCGAGGGTGAGCCGTTAGTAATTTATATATTTATCAATGTCATTGGCATTTACAACATCAAAAGATCGCTTAAATCACAATCACTGTATTGTTCTGTACAAATTATTGTCAAACCATAGCAAAAAATCACATAAGTAGCCCAAAGTTACCCAGACTTACATATATCAAGTTATTTACTATTAAAACAAGTTATTTACACTAAATAATTTACTATACATAAATCAAGGTTTGTATTGATTCTACAAGACCTATTATAGTATCTCAGAAGTATCTGAGATACTATAATAGGTCATATAATATAAGAAGTATCTTATATTTAACAATTTCAGCAGAAGGACTTTAGTATAAGGGTGGCAGCATATGTATATACATATTTGGGAGCTCCCGCCCCCGCGCAAAGGAAAAGTGGAGGAAATCATTTTTTTATGAATTTTTAAAAATCTCATTTTGGATTGTTTTGTTGAGTGTTTACTTTGATTTGAATTTAGAGTTTATGGCACTCGCCGGCCGCTATCGCGGCATGCTCGCTTCGCTCGGCTCGTGCGTTGTTTTAACTGTTCTAACCTAACCTAACCAAGATCTGACGACAATTACCTAAGTTCTAATGTAACCTAACTAGAAACGAATTACTTATGAAGTTGACAGTTGAAACAAAAATTCAAAAAATGGTTGCCAGAGCGTTTGCGAAAATAACTTTAGATTGTCACAAAATCAATATTTTCGTTGTTATTGACCCAAAAAAATTATGAAATTCAAATAAATTAAAATGCAAGCCAACTTAATATTTGCAAAATTAAAACGCATAATAAAAACTCCCTAAAATGGCAGCACTTCTGTGTTGCAAAAACAAAATCAATACGCATAATTAAAACTCCCTAAAATAGCAACACTCCTGACAAAATTACGTCAAAAGCAGTAAAATAATGCTGAATTAAGTTCATATTTATCAAACTTGGATATTTTTAATTTTCGAAAGTATTTGTTTCCTCCACTTGAAACTTCGTCGGATTACTCAAGATAATAAGTACTTTGCACAAAAAAATCAAGAGTTTACTGGAGAACCGGTATACTAGAGACGCGCGATTTCAGCTACTTAATTTCATTTAATGAGATGAAAAAGTTAGATCACTTTTAAATTAATTTTTACTACACTTAACATTTTTTTCTTTCTATTCACATTTTAAGATACATATTTAAAGTGGCAATACACTCTATTATAATCTAAATGGTCAAGACCAAAGTTAGTTTTATTTACAGTAATATTTTACAAATTTTCACACACTTTTAAGGCTTAGTAATAATTACACAACTTGCAACAGTTCAGCAATAGTTTTCAAGCCTTTTTATATCAGTAAACCTTCGAATTTGGTAGTGTATATGTCTCGGTAGCTTTTACCATAAAACTTCCTGTTTGTGACATATTTTTCTTCAACTTATAATTAAATCTATTTTAACATACTGGGTACTCAATACCCAAAAGTTGTTAAGAGTCAATGATTCCACATCACTTTGAAATATCAAAGCACAGCTCAGTTCAATATCTTTTGCTACACTTGTCAAGATTCTCAAGCTCCATATCTTCAATGGCAGCTTGATGTATCGCTGCATAATGTCAAATCAAGATCATTTTCTCTGGTGACACTCTAGCTAGTCATTCAATGTGAATCTTCATAGGATCTGTGAATTGTGCTGTGAGTATGTAAAACAATGCAGGGGCAGGCACTAAAGTTAAATACCACAGCTCTTTAAAACCAGTTAAAGAAATAATTCCATACGCATGAACTAACCAATGTCCTAACAGTATTGTTAGGTTCCTGATGTTTGTGACAGAAGATATAAGTAGGGCTGGAGCAGATTGTTCAATCTTTGTAGAGAAATGGGATGCTGATGTCATCATTGATACAATGATTATTATATAAGGAAATGCACAATCTGAAACAAAATACATTTGACTATTATTTATTTATAATTACAAATATTAAAAAATTGTAAGTATGCTTTGAATATTTTAATTTAAGAAGTATACAATCCAAATTTAAAACAGTATTAACAGTAGATTTATTAAAAATTAGCAGCTCACCTCTAGGATAACAAAAACAAACCTATTCCATGGGAACCATACATTTTTGTGGGATAACGGGGACTATAATCTATATCTGTGCCAAATTTCATCCAGATCTGTACAGCCATACTGGTGTAAAAGAGTAACAAACATCCATACATACTCACAAACTTTCACATTTATAATATTAATAATAAGGATGTCAAATATTTGCAAAAATCTAAGAAAGTATTACAGTATACAACACTCAATCTGTACCTTTTTATGCATTCTTTAATGCCTAGTTACATATAATATCTTTGTACGATTCGCCAATGACCTATGTTAATAATATATCAAGCTTTAATACAAATTCTCAAATTACTGGTATTTACTGAGTTTTAAATATATTATTAAAATAAAATGCTTACATATTAATCCTGCAGCAACAGTGTGTGTCAAAACAAGAATTGGATAAAAATATAGTGCACAATATATAGCTTTCCTTCCAGGATTTGCCTTATGCCACACCAATAAAAATGGTCTCAATGTCACAGTCATCAGTAAACTAAATGCATATATTAGTAGTACTATAGTATATCTGAGAAAAAATACAGATATGTTAGTAATACATAACTTCAGTCAGATAAAAAAAGGAGTAAATCATTCTTTTCATTTATATACACTAAATATACAGTATACTAGAAATGTTGAGATAATGTTTGCTGTCTAATAAAACATCTATTAACGTAATATGGGGTAAAAAAATTATTCACTTACAATGGATATACAGCTTCTTGTGTACAATGTAAAGTTTCTTTATAATCAGGCTGAGGATTATGTAGTAGAGTGTACCAATCTGATAATGCTTTAGGAGTGCACACATGTAATGCAATTGAACCAGATGGAGGCAGCACTAATAATGCTGCTAGTGTACCTGATGCCACTTCTATGAATGCACAAATATGTTGACTAGCTACTGTGCCTTTACTGAAAGTGATATAAATAAAAATTTAATAATTATTGCATTTGTTTAGAGTTAGTAAATTTAGTTAGTAATTATGTTTACTATTTAAGCTCTACTTTAATTAGTCACTACTCAGTGCCACACTATAGTTTTATATTATTAAATAGTATTTCAATAAGAAAGACTAACCGATTTCCAGCTGCTACCATATCTATAAAAAACCAGTGTAACACAAGTGGCAAGAGAACCATGAAGCCAAGATACTGCCAATCATATAGAGTAGGCTCATCAGAACATTCTACGCAATAGCTGGTGGTATTTGTACGAAAGCCTCGGGGACAAGCACCGCATTCACTCCATGAACCATCCTCTAACTCTGTTCTACCGCAGTACAATCCGGGACACGTTCTCACAATAGACATTTTTGTATGATCTTAATATTACTCAGTATGTATTAAAATTTTTAAATGAGTAATTATTCCTAAAGAGATAAATTTGTAAACACAATGACAAATTTACTAAAGCATTGACATTTCGAGTAAAAACTTTGACAGTTGACTCACCGCCTGACTGATATTTTCATGACATATTATGTCACCTTGACAATAAAAATAACGTTCAGCAAGTCATACTGCATGTAGCATATCACACATTTTATTATTTAAAAATTAGTGTTCATTTAATGATATCATTTACTACTATGATTAGTATTGATTCCAGTATCAAAAGTACAGTTACAGTTAAAAGTTCAAATGTACTGTACATTCTAATACCCGATATAAAACCCATTAAAATGTTACATTTTAAAGTTGAAATTTTTCAGACAAGTTTACAAAAAATACCAACCAACAACTTACAACGCTCTGCAATCATGCGTAAATCGTAATTATTACATGCTTACTTACTACGGAAGATAATAAGACAAGGGAAATGCGATGTGACTGTTTGCATCTGATCCTCTGTCGCCAAACTCAACAAATAATCATAATATAACAAGCATTAATCATATAATATATGGGTATGTTTTATTTTAACAAAACTAGCATAATTATCAAAATCCCATATTTAAACATTTTTAACTGCCTCGGTGGTGTAGTGGCTAGCATATACGGCTGCACACCCGGAGGTCCTGGGTTCGAGTCCCGGGTCGGGCCAAGTTTAGTTATTGAGTCTTTCTGTATAGCAAGCCTTTGTAACAGCCCGGAGTTGGGAAGTTGGCGGTGTTTCACCCCCGTGCCTCGGAGAGCATGTAAAGCTGTCGGTCCTGCGCCTTAACTCTCACCGGTCGTGTCGAATAGTCGTCCCACCGGAGTATGAGAATGACAGGAATAGAGAGTGCACTTGTGTCTACGCGTACACTTGTGCACTATAATATCTTCTGCGCAGTTGGCTAGTCTCAATGAGATTGGCCGCCGTGGCCGGAATCGGTCTGGAGAACATTATCATCATCATCATTTAACCATTTTGTTTTTCACTATAAGATATACGTATATATATATATATATATATATATATATATATATATATATATATAAGATATATATATATATATATATATATATATATATATATCTTACGTAATAGTATCCCCTAAATTTTTCGTTATGTACAGACTTTGCTTAGATTAACATAATAAAAACACCTTATTATAAAATATCAATGATTAAGTAGGTATAATGTTTTATTAAAATTAATAAATTCAAAATAACATGTTTATTCCTCACAAGGCCTTATATTTTCCTGATTTATCAAACTTTTGCAAAATTCGGAGACGTATACGTCTGAGAACATATCGTAAGCTATAAAAGGATATCAGTAGCAATATTGCTGATACTCCTAGTAGGATACTAATAATATCCAATAAGTAGTACTTGAAGAAACTGACTCCAACCGCTTGAGCCCGTAAGTGCCGAGCACCGCCATGACGGAGAACATATTCGGTCCACCAGACTGCATTTTCTGGACCCGAAATAATTTGATCTACGGTTAAGCTCTTAAGCTTTATCATGGCATTTTTATACCTAGAACAATACAAGAATTTAATATAATTATATAAGTATTATGTAGGTACCTAAGTGTATATATAAGTATTATAAATTCATATTTTCGTTATTTATATTATTTTTTTCTCAAATAGAAAGTTTTAATATTCTTACTTTTCATTAGTAATCACTGAAGTGATAACTTCTTTAACATTTTCCTTTTCTAGATAATTTAGATCTAAAATTTCTCCAGTTCCAAATCGAGTAATCTCACCAATGAACACTTTTCTTGATCTGACTATTGGAAGTCCAACTAATGGTACTTCGTAGAACAGAGCTTCTTCTAGTGATCGAGCACCACCATGCGTGATAAATGCCTTAACATTTGGATGAGCTGAAAATTGATACAAAGTTTTAACAAATACTTAACATTATTTACACGAAAAAGTGTTCTTTAATCATGTTTGTTACCTAAAACTTCCTGCTGAGGAAACCACATATTCGTGATAACATTATCAGGTTTGTTAATCATAGTAGTGTTTCCAAACTTCCACAATACAAGGAATGGCAACTCTCTGAAAGCATCCGTTAATGTCTGTAGTACACTTGAAGATAAATGCTCCGGCTCTTGCAACGCGCCCAGGCTGAAATAAACAACTCCTTTTGTGGCCGAGTCTAATATTGACTTAAGATCCTGCAATAAAGGTTACATATTATTTGTATATTATGAGATTTCGATATATTCAATAATACATAATATTTTGAAATTTACAGCTGGTAATGCAAAGCCTGGTTTTATATGCATGCGATCGACATATATTATAGAGGGGGGTGATGGTCTATTGCTTATTAATAAAGGATTCGCTGCTACGAGTAATAAATCTATATCGTATTCCACTTCTTGAAGACTCTTTTTAAGTCCGAAAATCTTTTTTGCCGCAACTTCACAAAGTGGTAAATAGGTATTATAATATTCATGTCTGGTTTGGAAATAACGATTTATCTCTACTAATTTCTGCCAGCGAGAAAGTTTTCGGTAGTTGAGGGTGTTCACATCGGGGTACAATATTGGGTGAATAGGTGCTCCTATTGATTCGTATTGATGAATTTTGCCACTGGAAGCCGTAATAGCAATATGAGGAACTTGATATTTCTCTGCGACTGCATACAAGACGGGAACATCTGCTTCAGTGATAACCAGATCAAATTTAACATTTGGGTTAATGAGCAACGCAGTCATAGGCTTAGATTTTAGTTGTGCCACTGTTAATTTAATAGAAAGCTCGTTTATCATTCTCATCCGTGGATAGCAATCATCAGTATATGTCATAAGATTTTTGTATTCTTCCCAAAATGGTCCTGATTCTTGACCCACATTTAATTCTACGATTTTTTCCACTTCCGGGTATGCAAATTGGCCAGGATAAGGTGTCATTACTACAATAGAGTGTCCCTTTTGTGCAAGAAGAGATATATAGCCCCTAAATACCAGGTGGTCAGAAAAAGATAGAGAAGAAAACAAGGCCAGTATAGATGCACTTCTAACTACTTGTAAAAAGTAAGTTAATAAAAACACTATGCTTATTTTTGGCAGCTCCATTGTCGATGCACACTCTATACAATAGTCCGCTAGTAAAGAATCTATTGGAAAGAAATAATTTTTCAGATTTTCACTTTACTTGTATACAGAGGACGCATCTGTATAAATATTTAATGTTAAATAAAAATTTCGTTCAAATTGTTTCATTGAAATGTAATCTTTATGTCAAAGACATAAGATCAATATATGAAGTTTAAAATCAACTAACCTCACAAGGTCAGAAGTTAGTTTTTAATAATGAAAATTAAAGTCTGACGCAATAATATGAAGGAATACTCACAATATATCATAAACTAGCGACGCACCCTCGCTTCGCTTGTGTTCGTCCCTAGGTACGTTTTAACGGTTAGTATGGAATTGATAGTCGATCCCTTGCTTCTGTGTAAAACAAATGTATCTCACGGGAACCGTACATTTTTCCGGGATAAAAAGTAGGTAACCTATGTGCCATTCCAGACTGTAATCTATCTCTGTGCCACATCCAGATCCGTTTAGCCGTTCTGGCATAATTGAGTATTTATGCTCTATGGTACGTTTATATCACTTTTCTGTTACCAATAGCTACCGAATCAAAACATTGAATTGAAGCTTGAAATGAGATGAAAAAATGTATTATTAGTAAAGAAATATTTACAGCACATTATTTAACATGAATAGCGAAGTAACCAATTACTCAGTTATTGGACGTATAGGCGAAGGAGCCCACGGTCTAGTTTTTAAAGCGCGACATCTACCCACAGGTCGTGAAGTGGCTTTGAAAAAAATTCTTATCAAAAATCTTGAGGATGGCATTCCCATAAATGTTATGCGAGAAATAAAAGCTTTGCAATTGCTTCGGTGTAAATATGTTAGTTAAAATAATTTTCATAATAATGTAAGATTCAAGTAAAAAGAAAATCAAAATCAAAATGTCTGTTTAACTATACAATTAAAGAATGTAAGATAAAAGTCTAATTTTAATATTTTTAAAGTAAGTAGTAGTATTACATAAATTTTCTATGATTTAGGTAATTAAGCTGTACGATATGTTTCCTCGTGGTATGAGTTTAGTGTTAGTATTGGAATATATGAGTTCAGGACTTTGGGAAATGCTGCATCACAATCAACAGGAACTCACTATGCCAAGAGTCAAAAGTTACGCACAGATGTTATTAAAAGGAACGCGATATATGCATGCACATTACGTCATGCACAGGGTAATTTAGAAATAAACACTATTATTTTAAACACGAAAGCTTATATGGGTATGTATCTACTGTGTCTGTTTCTTACCTTTTGTCCTTCACGCTGAAACCACGGTAATATTACATTGCTGCACATGTACATGTGCTGAAACGTTGGACAGGTTTGGATGATTGGATGAAGTTATCTAAAACCTTGACATAATATGTAGGTACTATACTCCTTCGTCAACTTGTTCTCATGTGTTTAGTTTGCTTTTTTAGACATTTTTAGTTTTATTTAACAATTTCTAATAGTAAATTATTTTTAAACAAATAAATTGTATATATTTTTTTAATCGTCCCTTAAAAACATGTATTTTGATACCCCACTCGAATGATTCAGACGGAAAAAAATTTAAGACACTTAAGTGGCACTTAAGATCCGCCATTTTGATTTTTAATGATATCTTTATACCATATGACACTATCAAAGATGAATCTAACGACGTAATAAATATATAAATCATCAAAATCGGTTAAGTAATTACTAGAGAACATAGAATCGGACTTACATACAAAAAGGCCAAACACATAACCCTCTTTTGGGCTTTGTCGTAGTCGGATAAAAAACATAAAGTAACTTTTAAAAAAATATAGCTTTAGTCCCGTAAATATTTTATTATTTGTGCAGATGCGCACAATTTAATTCAAATACCTTAATATATTATACTTTGGTATTATTACACTATATTTTAAGGACCTAAAACCTGCGAACTTACTAATCAATCACGAAGGAATACTAAAAATTGCAGACCTAGGCTTAGCACGGCTTTATTGGCCTGATGGAGGCAGGCCTTACTCCCACCAAGTGGCAACACGGTAATTTTAATTCTCATTAATTGTTATTTTTTATCTAATTAGCATAATATATTTTAATAATTTTTATTAAATTTAAGTTGGTATCGAGCTCCAGAACTGCTATATGGCGCAAGATATTATAGTGAAAAAGTGGACGTATGGGCTGTTGGATGCATTATTGCTGAAATGATTACGAAACAACCACTTTTCGCGGTATGTTTTTTATTTTTTACGAATAACCTAGAAGATGGTTTAATTATGAACAATAAGATTTTTTTATCATAATATCTTTTTTATTTATTAATCATTATATCTTTAATATTTTATTGTGAAAGTAATATTTTTTTTTACACAGGGTGAATCTGATATTGAACAATTGGCTATAGTATTACAACGCTTGGGCACACCAACTGAAGAGACCTGGCCTAATCATTCTGAACTTCCTGATTACCATAAAATAACATTTCCGGAATCATCGCCTTTGCCATGGAGCGAACTTTTACCAGGAGTAGATGATGATGCTATACATCTAATAAAATCTTTCATTTTGTATGATGCTCAAAAGAGAATATCCGCGAAAGAGGTCACAATAATAATATTTAATTACCACGTAACTCTCTCGTAGTTAGTATAAGAGCATGGAGTACAAATAATACTAGCTGTAACCAATTAAAGTTATATTAAAAATTAAAATTTCCAGCTTACTATTGAAAGTCATTAACTGTCATTTATCCCACGGTAACTACTAACTACTTACCTTACCGTGACAAAGATTACCACATTCTGGCCTATTAATACAAGATAATAAGTCTATAGAGAGTGTAATTTTTAATCATCTCAAAGGGGGGTTCTTGAAATAATTAGATTGCAGGTGGCCTGAACAATTAGCACTGATATTCTTGTTTTGGGTCGACCCTTTTGACTTATCTGGCTGGCTATATTTAATGGCTGGACGGATTTCGATGAAATTTAGTAAACAGATAAGACTATGTCCTGGAGTAACGTACCTATAGGCTATTGTTAAGCATCCAAAGGCGCTTATAAAACTTAAAATAGTAATTAAGAATTAAGATATTAAATTCGACCATTTCATTTTCAGGCGTTAAAGCATCCTTGGTTTCTAACGAGGCCTCTACCAGCGTCATTAGATGAAATGCCAAAACCGAATGTAAATAAATCAAAATAAAATGTTATGAAAAAAAAGAACTATTTAAATTGAATTTTTATTCCCTTGAAATCACTTATCTCTTAATTAAGGCATAACTACATACAGCGTAATTAAAATTCATAACAGTTGTACTTTATATTATTTATATAGGTACATTCTTAGCCAGTAAGTATAACTTAGTGTGAACGTACAATACTCGTATTATAAAAGTGCTGCATTTAATTAAACTTATCAAACACCTATGAACCGAACCAATATTTTCCAAAATATTAGTCTATAAAACTATAAGTGATAATACCTACATCTTGAGATTATTGGTAACAGTTGGTCGCCTTAGTGCTTATTCTTTCAAACTACCTTGTTGCGTTTTACAATGGAGCTTTTTTTCTCTAAGATTTACTTGGATCTATCTTCTTACTAATACTATAAATGTATTACTTTGGATGTTTGTTACTCAATATACATATAATAGTAATACGCCCTATCAGCTGAATGGATCTGGGTGAAAGGCACAGAGATATAGTCTGGAATAACGTATAGGATACTTTTTATCGCGGAAAAATGTACGGTTCCCGTGGCATAGGTTTTTTTGTTTTTCATAAAATACATTTTTTTGGGTTTATTTAAATTGTAGTAAATTAAAATGTGTATAGTCGTTTGGACATAAGCACTGAAACTACGAGATATAATACGAGTAATGTTTATAGAATACGGCGTCACGAGAAATTATTACAGTATGTCGCAAAAAATCTTAGATAAAGATCGTGTTATATACAACCTTAGGAAGAACTCTGACAGCTTAAAAAATCTATGTAAAAATATCTATATAATACTTTAACACATTGAAATAAAACTAAAAAAATATAAATTTAATTGAATACAATTTTTCTATATTAGAGGTCTTCCTATGGTTAATAAATGACAGCTTTAATATGTATTCAGCCCTGTTTAATGTCCCACTTCTGGGCACGGGCCTCCCTTCAATACGTGGGGGGATCAGGCCATAGTCCACCACGCTGGCCAAGTGCGGGTTGGCGGACTTCACATGTCTTTCGAAAACTTGCAAGGTTCTCTCAGACATGCAGGTTTCGTCACTATGTTTTCCTTCACCGTAAGGCAAGCGGTAATCATGTTAGAAATGATTCGCACACGAAAATATCAGAGGTGCGAGACCCGGGATTTGAACCCGCTTCACTCGGTGTCCCAAGCGAGCGTGTTACCACTGGGCTACCACTGCCTTAGCTTTAATATAGACTATATTAATAACTAAGGAAATAAGGTCAATCTGACATGACCAATAAATAAATCACTGTCAAAAAATGCAAAGATATAAGTTTAAGAGATCAAATAAATCATTCATACATTAAAAAATAACTTACATGCGTATACCATTTTTATTACATATATATTTTTTAAATATATTTTTTTTTGAATTTGCTAAGAAACATGCAAAGATTGCATTAGTTAATGACACCATATTTTTGATATTGTTGCGTACAAAACCTATCTATACATGTAGTTAAAAGATTATTCTATTTATTGTAAGGAAAACTACAAAGGAAAATGTTGTAAGCCAGTAAAATTGACATGTAACATTATCTACCATCTACCATCCCAAATTCACTTAAACCATAAACCAAAACAAAACTAAGCGAAACTTCTTCAAAACTGTATTGGTTAGTTTAATTTATGTACAGATTAATATAATAGTAAAAATAATTATAATAGAAACAGAGGTAAATATTTTTTTTTCTTTAACATGGCAGCTCAGGAACGTACATCTATATAATATGATATCATATATATTGGATGAATTCATTTAATACATATTTCTAAGTAGTTCTCCAATAAAGATTCAGAAACTAGCACAGCCACTTTTACTATGATTGAAGGTATTCTATTTTAAAATGTGGTGGAATAATTGTCACCTGCAAGGAACAATGTTGTAACTTTGTATTGAGATGATTTGAATGTATAAATTATTTCCCCTTATAAAATTAAAAAAAAATCCTAGCAGGAGCCAATTTTATTATAATACTAGCGGACCCGACAGACGTTGTCCTGTCTACACGTCTTTAATTTGAAAATTTCAAACTTTTTTTAATATTTTTTTTGATGAAAATTATTATTCAAATTGTGAATCTAAACCATTCCCAGATCCCCTTGAACACACACAAAAAATTTCATCAAAATCGGTCCAGTCGTTTGAGAGAAGTTCAGTGACATACACACTCACAGAAGAATTATATATATAAAGAAGATTATATACATTTACTCATGTTTACAATACAAATAAATAAAAAATGATTATACAGTATCGTAGATACATACATGTCTAATATTATTATCGAAAAGCGCCCGTAAGTTCTCCTTCCTATACCTTATAATATTATAAGTGGTTCAGAAGTTAATTAATACGCACATGTAGAGAGTATCTATTCTTGGGCATGCGCATAAGATTCGAATAAATTAAGAAAGTGAAGCATAATACTTTCTTAGATTTACGCGAATGTTTGACATTATTAAATAAAACTATCTTTTCGGATTATTTCGCGGATTTATTTTGATTTTTGGTTCCCGACGTTTCGAATGCTTTACAGCATCCATGGTCACGGGAGAGACTGAGGTGTTACATGTCTTAAAGATATAGTTGTTACAGACAGCCTACCCACAATCAACAAAATGAAAATTGCACCAATTACATTATAATATTTTAACTTTAAACATTTTTATAATTTTAATTATATGTAATTGAATATGGAAAATTATTTATTTAATTTTTGCTATTATTTTTATAATTATTACTATTTTAAAAATATTAATTAGTAATTAAATTAAATTAAACACTAATTATAGATTACTAATTAATATTTTTAAAATTGTAATAATTATAAAAATAATAGCAAAAATTAAATAAATAATTTTCCATATTCAATTATAATTAAAATTATAAAAATATTTAAAGTTAAAATATTATAATGTAATTGGTGCAATTTTCATTTTGTTGATTGTGGGTAGGCTGTCTGTAACAACTATATCTTTAAGACATGTAACACCTCAGTCTCTCCCGTGACCATGGATGCTGTAAAGCATTCGAAACGTCGGGAACCAAAAATCAAAATAAATCCGCGAAATAATCCGAAAAGATAGTTTTATTTAATAAAGTGAAGCACATACATATCTGTACTCCTTTTTTTATTTTTGCAATCTTAAAATAATATTATATGCGTGAAATATATTTTAAAACATTGCCATTCATACAATGAATGTCTAAACTGAAAGTGAAACTCCAAAATATATTATTACAGTATATGATAAAAAATAAATTGTATTACACAAATCCTTCTCAGTAACACCATTACGTATACATTTCTACCTTAAGGTATTTTATTTCAATATTGTCTAATAAAGTTAAACCGTGCTAAATTTAATGTGAAATCAACAGAAATAATTAATTTTACAACATGTGCAATAAGGGCCTAGGTCTTTGAAATAAATATTTAACATAATAACACCTCCCATATTTATTGATCTTTTGTTAAATTAGAAGCTATTAAATATGTTTAAAATATTTTTTTAGGATTAGGGAATATGCGTGTGATTTAAACAAAGGTGATATATATATATATATATGTGTTGGTCAGACTCAGACCGATTGTGACGTCGAAGTCTATGATAACAAAGCACCTGTTGCATGGTGTTTGTAATTGTGTAATTGTAACCAAAAATCTAGACCTGTTCATTCGTTGATTGCAATGTTGTCTTATATTATGACGTCACGCCAAGCGCGCGAAAATTGTGGACGTTAAAAGTATCCGTATCTGTATGATATTTTTAATATTTTTTATACTAAATTTTGAATGTATTTTGGAGTTGGATAATTTTTTACAATAATATAACGATGTAAGCTATTGTATAAAAAAAAAACAAAAATAAACACGCATATTCCCTATTGTTTAACACAATTTCAAAGACCTAAAATTTCAAGTAACTGCTTAAATTTATCATCAGTCATAGTCTATTTATTTACCCCATTTTAAGGTTAAAGAAAATTACATTAACTAGTTAAAGATTTGCTAGCATAATTGCAATTTTTTCTAAACACCATTCATATTAAATTTCCTTTTTTTATCATTTTTATATTTCTTTTAATTTACATTTATAAAATCAACTAATGCTTTATACAAGAAATGAGTTCAAAAGTAACATCTACTAATTCTAATATGTATTTACATTTTACAACATATACATTGCTCTATAAGAGCAGGCTATATAACCCCTATGTAGAGGTTTATTCATGCAATTAATAATATTTACCTTATTAAATAACAATTTATTACACAGAAAACTAATATTAGGTCTAAAATGGAACTAAAATACATTTTGAATATAAACAGATTTTAATTTTCTGTATATTCAAACTCTTTGTGACCGCACCTTTGCCCTTTACTAAGTCTCTGCCATTGAATATACTGAGAATTTTAAAACTTACACAAGTTACTATATATATTTTGACTATATATATATATATATATATATATATATATATATATATATATATATATATATAGGTACGTTTAAATTTTTTTGAGCGGAATCCTAATGCTTTTTCTAAAATACTTTTATTTACTCTTTAAACATCAGCTATCTGCCAGCAAAAGTCCTGTCAAAATAGGTCCGGCTGTTTCAGAGAATAGCCAGAACAAACAGACACGACAGACAGACACAAAAAACAAAACGTGTTTTTCTTATTTGTACATTTAGTAAAAAGTTTTTGTTTTGGAATTACAAACAGACACTTCAGTTTCATTTATCTGTATAGATTGGTTAAAATGTAAGTAATTTTCTAAGATCAGCAAAATTACATAATTACTCCTTTCTAATTTCAATAAAACTATTATTATTTGTACATGAGGTGAAATGAAATTTCTAAATTATGTAAACAATGATTGAAATATATGTTATTTTATAATATTATTAAGTAATAATCACAGATATAATAATACAGTTGTGATTTTTACACAGCTTGCCATTGATGTTAGAAATTTATTGAAAACAATGGGTTCTCGGTATTCAAAGAGTACAAGCACTTTTGTTTTATTAGTTAGTCGGTTACAGAACATCAAGCTAACAGTGTCACATAGTAATTCTTAAAAAACGATTGAAATCAGTGAATAAAAAGTAAAAGTTGAAACATTATGGCTTGGCAACGCGCATGATCTTCTCACGAAATAATGAGTATATTAGAAAAGGAAAAGGATTTAGAAGATGCCAACCAAATCGACTCCGTGTATGGTTATATCTTGCAGACGAGGAAGACCTAGATGATGACGCGCTAGGTGATTACGACAATACTGTGCCCACTGATATCGCTGGGACGTATGAAATCCACACTGATTTACCCGCAGAGCCTGAAAATACGCAAGGTGAGCCCGGTCTTTCAACTTCGAAAAAGCCAAGACTGCCGAAGAAGTCACCAAAATGTGTTCCAGACTGGAAAAAGTGGACTGTTGAAAAAATACAAAAGATGGTGAATGTGCCACAGCTCCAGGTTATAACATATTATAATAAAAACATGGGGGACATAGATCTCCATTAAAATGGAATAGCCAATTAAAGGATTCGAGTAAAAGAGAAAAAGTGGTGGTGGCCACTGTTCATCAATTTGATAGACAGTGTTGGTAAACTCGTGGATAATTTACAATCTGGCGAATGAGCGATCTTTGAGTCAATTAGAATTCAAATATTACGTTGCTGTAAGTTTGATGGAAACCGAATAAGCCCAACTTGCAGATAATTCGCATTTTTTGGTTAATTCAACTACAAATCAAGGAGACCATCCAAAAACGCGTTACCTTCCAATATTCGCTTCGATAATATTGGTCATTTCATAGAAGAGCACGAAAGTAAACGTCGAAGAAGATGTCGATTGTGTAGAAGTACAACAATTTCTATGTGTAAAAAATTTCAAGTACATCTTCATGCTGATTGTTTTAAAATATTTCACTCACGCTAATACTCTAGCGTCGTTAGACTTGCTAGTAAAATTGAAGTCCAATAATCCCAACGTTGCTTGGACGCAACATTTTGCGGAATGTAAAGTAATTAATCAATATTTTTTTACTATAATTTTCTCTTTTTGAATGTATTTATAAACGTAATAAACAATAAAACCAATAAATTTGCTTTCATATTTACCTTTGAGAATTAATGGGTTAAATAGATATAAATATTTATTAGCCAGCGTTAGCCATTTAAATTTTTTTTGTTAATAATATTAACATTAATATTTATACGATACTAACTCAATTGTTTTGCCTTCCCAGAACCTCTCCACTAACACTTAAAACTTTATGCATTTTTTATATGGCTGAGAGGTTAATGGAGCAAAAGAGAGCGATTTCGTTATACATATCTGACAACAATGACACAATAAATTTTTCAGAATTTCAAAATTTGACAGAGAGACAATAGGATCTTCTTAAAGACAGTCTTGCCTTACTCCAACCTTATGAAGAAATTACAAAAAAAAAATGAGCTCTTCCCACTCCTGCATATCAGAAGTCATACCCAACTTTACGATTCTATTTAGATATTTGACGAAAGAAGAAGTTCAAGTGACTTGTCCTAATGTGAACACAATGCGTTTGTCACTAAAAGAAGGGCTGGATAGACGTTTTCGGCGTATTGAAGATGACAAGTACTGTAGTCTAGCAACATTGATGGATCCGCGCTATAAAATGATTTTTTTACACCAGGTAACGTACCAATGATCATACCTTCCTGGCGGAATTTGTAAGAAATTCAAGCAGTGATGAAGAAGTCGTCCAGCTAGCACAGAGATCTTCACCATCATCCAATAACGAAAACACACACAACGTTCTGGAGCTGCTCCGAGGAACTTGCAGCAGTAAAGTTACCAAATGTAGAAGAAACCAAATGTCCAATTGCATCAGAGCTAGATCGATATCTCACTGATGTTCTGCTGCCCAAAGACCTTTATGTCCATATGGGCTAAGAATAAAGACAAGTTCCCTAACATGAATTATTTGGCTCGAATATTTTTGTCGTCTCCTGGAAGTTCTATATATTCTGAGCGACTTTTCTCAGAGGCAGGAAACGTATATGAACAAAAACGGAACAGGCTTCTGCCAAATAAGGCAGAGTCTTTGGTGTTTTTACACCATAACCTAATTTAGCTAGCTTTAGCGAACCTTCCAGCTCAACACATAAGGAACATATGGTTAGTATTAGATATACTCATGATATTAATTTATAATATTTTTTTTCTTTCTGTGCTCATAACCTTTTCTTCCGTATCTGACTGACCTGATCAAATTGAAATTAGATACCGTGTCTACTTTTTATTGATATTGGATTTTGATTTATTCTTATGTATAGATATTTACCAACATTTATTTTCTAGGATAAGGATATAAAATATATCGAAACACCAGGAAAACTTAAAATGCGCCGACAAATAGAAAGTTACGAGTCCCAGATTCAACAGATAAATAAGAAAATTAGAACCCTTCAAAAAAAGAATAGTCGGTACCGTAAAAGAATTACTGATTTGAAAGAAGTCTTAAAAGAATTACGAAAAAAAAATTATGTTAATTCTGATCATGTTACTCATTTAGAAAATTAGGGAGTGGCTGATATTTTCAAGCGTTATAACAATTTATCATCCACTGAAAAATATTCCCTAAATCTAAGATCCTTTGCCTGTATATAACATTTCTACTCTCCTAAAGCGTATGAATACGTCCGACAAAAATTTCAGTCGTGTTTGCCTTATGTTAGAACAATTAGAAGGTGGTATGAGGCAATAGATTCTGAACCCGGTTTTACTAGTCATTTGAAGCATTAAAACTAAAAGTTGCCATTACAGATTACAAACTGTTGTGTAATCTTGTTGTTGATGAGATGGCGATCCGTCAGCGTGTTGAGTTGGATGGAGAGCAAATGCACGGATACGTTGATATTTGTAATTCTAGTAAGAAGGGAGATTGTTTGCCAGAGGCCAAGGAAACTCTTGTGTTTTTAGTTACAACGATCAATGGTCCGTTTAAAATACCTGCTGGTTATTTTTAGTAGATGGTGTTACTGGAGAACAACGAGACAATCTTGTGAAACAATGTATGGAAACAATGTATAGAACCATGGCAAGAAACTGGAATCGAAATCATTTCTTTGACCTTTGATGGCTACCCCGCAAATCTATCAATGGCTAAAGAACTCGGATGTTCATTTGAGCCCGACAACCTGAAAACAAGTTTTGTGAATGCCGCTACACAACAACCTATATATATACATACATTTTTCCCGATCCCTGTCATATGTTAAAGTTGGTGCGTTGGTGACTCAGTCGCTAACGGTGGCTATTCGACACCTGGACGAATCGGGTAGTATTTTCAGTCTTCTCATCGACACGCGGGGCTCTGTCGGTGGGCATTTTAATTTCCCTAGCTACTCGTGGGACCAAAATGGAAATGGACCTTCAAAACATACAACCGAATGACGTTACTACGTCACAAACCCTGGACGAATTGTGCCAGGACCTTATGCCGCTGACAATGGGTGCGGATCAAACCGCCCAAATGTCAGCACAACCAATGGAGGTGACTGCAGGCACTGAAATGGCGATAGGGGCTCCTACGAACTCTGAATCACCTACTGGTAACCCTGCTGCCACCTCCACCGATGCTGCCCGACTCAAACGTAAAAGATTGAGTGGGGCAGCTTGAATACGTCTTAAGGCTCTTATGGAACAGGGAGTGGAGGTTCCAAAAGCTTACGAACTGTCCTCTAAAACCTTTGCGGATCTCAGGGCTATGGGGTATCGATTTGATCCTTCGAAACCCGAATCCGAGCGCTCTATCAAAAGGATTCGCTCGGAGGAGGAATCACCAGTGACTACCAGTGAGGAAATCCCAAAGGTCGAGCGAAGCACCGTCGGCCCCTCCACCCCCCCTGCCTGTAGTGCGGCCTTATCCTCCTGCAAAGTTGGTGTGAGAGACTCCACTCCTATAACTGAGCTTCTTTTTGGTCAAATTCGAAGCCACGGTGGTTGTAACACGAATCCGACAGCCCGTCAGTTTAAAGCTGTATATAAAAAGCTGATGGTTAAATCAGAATTAAGGGACGTAGAAACACGAAGCTGTAGAGCACTTGAAAACGTGTCGCTTTTGACATGACATATAAACTCAACAATCGATGCGCGATCTCGTGAAGATGAAGATGACATTATCAATTTAATGTATGAAATGGCAGCATTTGACGAAGTAGACATTTTGGTTTAGTTTTGAAAGTAGACGTTTGTCTGAATTTAGTGGGCAAACCTTATGTTATATAGCTGGATTCGTGGTGCATGGCTTAATAAAAAACATTAAAATGTGAGATTGGCATAGGTGCTTTACTTGCAGATAGCACTGAAGACCCTCATAACAAATTTATAAAGTTAAAGGATATAGGTGGCTTAATATATCCATCAACCGATGCTGTCACTATTTGTAAAAACTTAGAAGTTGAAGAAAAATCAACCATCCTCACCCAGGACAAAATCGTCGTTTCTACAAGAAACGTGAAAGAAACACTTATGTGTAAATCTTTGCGGCGATTTATAGGCATGAATTTATTTAAAGATTACGACTTCCACCAATATGATCAGTCGCCGTTAGTTAATCACATAATTTATCTTATAAAGTCCAGAATGGAGCGATATATTAATATATGGTTACATTAACTAACAAAAAATGCTATGCCTAAATGGTCTAAACGACAAGTCCTTAATAAATATTTGCATTTCAGTGGGCAGTAATTATTGCTGTACATAAATATTTTCATAAATGTTTCAACTATCTTTTATTTGCCTAAATTTCAAATCATCCATTTATACTAACAAAAAATAAGTAAAAATCATTTAAAATATTTTTTATTTTTCGTACAGTTAATTATGTGGTGTTGAAATTAAAAATTATCGATATCTATCGACATCACGTTGCCCCTTTATTGCAGTTGTTTATGCACACAACTGCATGAGCTAATCGCGTAAGGACGCGTTCGTACTTAGGCACACATTTGCGATGATATCCGTGTGTTAACTAATGGCGACAAATGGCGAGTAGTTTTAGCTAGTGAAGCTTTAAAGATGTGTGAGTGTTTATTGTAATTATATCTTAGAACGTTGTATGCGTTAATTGAGTTTGCGACACTCGGACTTCTTCTAAACTCAGTGATTTGACCGATCTCCTTGTATTATTATATCTATGGTAATAATAATGCATCATAATTTATTTTAAAACTATTTCGTTGTAATTTTTCTGAATATTTATTTGTATAGTTTGAAGAATTTTTTTTAATATTTTTTAAAATGTATTTAATTTATAGATGTTTAATATTAAGCTCATGCAACAATTCATAGTGCATCTTTATTATTTATTTAGATTTTGGTAAAATGACTTTAGTTTAATTCTATGTAAGAAACTCTAAGATAAGTCCAGTGCCGAATTTCAAAATTGACACAGACTTCTTATAATATAAAAAGAAAATAGTATATTTTAAATAACACAATGTTATTATAGTTATTGTTATTATTTAGATATTTTAACTTTGGGCATATTATTTGAAAAATTAATAAAAATCCATTATTTCTCTGTACCAAATTAACACAGGCTATATAAACACATATAATAGTTGTGAGCACTAACCTAGTGCATTTACATGGTACTAAGTGTAAAGAATAAGATAGACAGAGCAATTCAACAATAAATGTAGCTTAACAAAGCTATCCATATCAGACATACATATCCCCCCCAACGTGCGTTCACCTTGTCGTGGTGGGGGGGGCTCAGTGGTGCCCGGCAATACAGCCGGGCGCGAAGCTAAGAAACGCACAAGGAGGTGGCTCACTTCGGTGGGCGGTGCGAGGTGGCCCTCTTCGGAGGGCGGTGTACCATGCGGGTTGCTCCTGGTACTTCTCTGATAGCAGAGTGGACCTTGGAGCAACCCCGTGGTTGTTGTGGTCTGCTTTGGCAGACCTGCCGTCGGGGAGTCGTAGTTGAATGCGTAAGCGATCCTGCGGGATGGCTTTGTTGGGTTTTAGTGGGTAGTACTGGCTTTGCCGATGAGTCCCACACCTCGTGCGTAAATGCATTTCCCAACATTAAAAAAAATCAGACATACATATGTATGATGTCTATTAATAATTATTACTCTATTTAATTTCTATTATTATTTTTAATATTTTCTCTTGTAGGGTTAATTTTTATTATAATGCAAATTGGCGTTGTTAATTTTGCTTCTTATTGATGACATAGCATCATGTATGGTATACTAAATAGCTAATTATAATATCATCTTAAGCTTCAATTATTACCTTCTGCACGCACATAAATAACATATTGTTATCTCTATCTTATTAGACTCGTACATTGCTAAAGTCTGTGTTAACTTGTGTAAACTTGTTATGTTAGTTATATATATGTAACAGTTAATCGTATATTAAAATTGTGACAAGCCACTATTACCAGTTTAATCAGCACTCATGATCTTTTGAAAAAATTCTCAACTCCTTTTGGAAGTACAAATGCTACATAGTACGTTTTATGATGCCGTGAAGTATGTCATCAAATTATAATAATATAATATAAATAATAATTGAAAAAATAAATATATAAATAATTATTGAACCTATATTTTTACAAGATTATTTTTTATTTATATTGATTAATTTTATTAATATTTATAAAGTTTTTTTTTCAAACTTGGTCACACAGCCAGGCAGCAGTGTGAGGGTAGTTGTAGATGGTGAGCTCGATTTTATACTGTGGTAATATGTCAAGAGACCTATGCGGGCATGCCGGAGCCTAACTTACGTAGTGTGAAGGTAGCTACGGATGGCAATGTCGATTTTATACTGTAACAAGATGTCAAAAGTCCCATGAGAGCGTGTTATCCTTCACGCTTAGTTTCGTAGCCAGCCGGCAGAGTGAAGGTAGCTGCGGATGGCAAGGTCGAGGTCACCGTCGGCAGGCCGGCGTAGCAACACGCCCTTCATTGTCACGTACTGCGTGGGCGGCAGGTTCAGTGCGGTGCACAGCTAGAATGAATACACGGATATTATAAACCAATTTCAATAACGATATTCAACACGTTTTTAATAATTTAACTCAAATCTCTAAAAAGCCTTAATTAAATTTACAGAGACAAATATTGCTTTCCACACTTGCGACTGGGCTTTTGTGTCTCAGAGAAGCGAGCAAGATGGACGTCGAGTTTGTATCAGCTATTACGTTCGGTTTATACTATCTACATGAATAATTAATAAAATTGAAGTGTCTGTTGCAACTTTTAAGCCCAGTCCGGTAGTAGTGGGCCTTCCATAATTACATTTTTTTTCGATTTTTAATAATTATTTTTTTTTTTTCATTTTTAAAATTCGAAAAAAGAATTGTAATTTTGGAAGGCTTAAAAGTTGCATGATGAATAGAAGTTTAAAACATTGTTTAAAAAACAAAAAAAAATAACAAAACCAAAAAAAGGGCGGTATCGAACCAGTGATCAAAAAATCTCAAAATTTTCCAGGAAGCCTCTTTTGAGGGGTACTAAAAATACCAGAATATTAAGGAAATCAAAAATATTTTTTTTAAACAGTCCGATTTGGCGTGGAATGCCCTATATGCCCCATATAGAATCGAACCTGTATTTCGTTAGTGGTCAGCAGACGCGCACGCATCGAGCAGACGGCGCTGCTGCAGTTGCTTTTGGAGCAGCCACATGCGATACTTGCGTCCCGTGTGCACTTTGGGCTGGTGGAACTTGAGCCGCTTTCGCCGTCTCTGTATGAAAATCGTATTTATATTAATACTATACTATACTCATTACAGTATAACGCGAGTGACACTTACCAGTACCATATGAATTGAGAAGTGACAACACTCAATTATATAGATAAAGTTTTTTTAACCGACCAATCGCTCTTGTGTCTCCTCTAATTCTACGTGATATTGACGAAGTAATCTGTGCTGTACTGGCACATTTTGTAGAAAAAGTATTTTAAAATATTATTAATACCAAACTCATATTTTACTATCAACTAAAAAAAACATTTAAATATAACTCTCTATCGAGATCTATTCCATGTAATAAAAAAACAGGTAAACAAAATATGGCTACATCAATTACCCACAACGTTGTTACATAGTTCAAATCTTTTTGTTCTTAAATTGTTATTTAAAAAAAAAATCAACACTATACAATAAGTACTTCTCATATTATGAACTTTAGCGGCTATTTATCGTAGCAATGTCACATCACAAAGACGTTACGATACATGCGGAACAAATCACATCGTTTTTTTTTTATATTTTGAATGTATATGAAAATAGATGCACGTTTTGTAACTAAACTATGACTTACTATAGTTATCAATGACTTAGTACCAATACTCATAATATTTAAATTAGAACAGAAATATTTCAACACATTTGTAACTAATAAGAACATTCATTAGTGAAAAAGAATTAAGGTTTGTCTCGTGTCACCCACACCATGCTTCATTGAATTTCATCCAAATGCGTCCAGCCAACATACACAGACACATACAAACTTCCGTTATCATAAAGTAGTATGATTTGATTTACCGAAAAATCTTTTAAATTATTAAAAATGTTCTCACTGACATTCTCAGCGCATCGAAGTATCAAGATATTGATATTCATTCTTAGTGGCGCGTTAATTGACGTAATAAAACTAAATTTATATTTAACAAAATTATTCACCGAAATAGATATCCTTTGGGGAGTAACCAAATTTCATCATATTAGTCTGTGACCGAATTTCTCATATTTTTTTTCTCTCTCTATTTAATTGGAATGTAAATAATAAAATCTACAATAACCCGATCAAGGAATCGAGCCCGTGCCACGACAGTCAGTTATTAGAATATGAAAAAGTATACCTTTTTCTTAGCTGCTGCGTGTTGGTCTGCGTTAGCTCTTTTGTCTGGTGTGTGTCCAGGCACCCACTGCTGCCCTGGCGAATACAACCGTTATACGAGATCAAACCCACAACACGATAGTAACAAATTCATATATTACTTATCGCGTTTAATTACTATTACATTTAGATATACGGCTACTAAGGGCGTGTACGTCATTAGTAAAAATCTTTACCCAATACGACCTTAATGAAACGAAAAGAAACAAATTAAAAACTTTTGCCTGCTGTCACAACAGGTCACTTTTAGAAATCTTTTAACTGACCAGGCATATATACCCATGTCCCATGTTTAAAGATGTTTGATACATTGTTGAACTGTTTCACGAATGGTATGTCTCCTCCATATATCATTTAATATAAATCATACTCGACCCTTGATAATGAGATCGTATAATAACATAATGGATACTAAGGAAGATACGTGACCTTGGCCATTGCACTTGTTACAGTACAGTTCAATTACTGCTATTAATTTTCTTATTATTATGCATGTTCTATTCCTTTTACCGTCACATGCTTCTAGTTAATATGTTCATGCAAATACAATGAACTACCATAAAATGTCAATATATTTTATATATAGTACTTATTTAAACATATTATCATATACATTTTGTTTTTTAAAAAAACGCGAAGCGAAAGCGTATGGACGATATGAAGCATTAACCATGCACCAATGTGTAATGGTTATGAAAAATACAACAACGAATATAGAAAAAGAAACATAATGACGTAGAAATAAAAAAAACTTAAAGATAAATAAAAGAACATAACAAAAACAATGAGAATGTATGAAGGTCATACCAATGTTATATATTATTATTTTGTATGTTCTAGTTAATCAGTTAACCACATTTCTTCAATAAAAGCTACCTACCACATTAAATACAAAGTATGAAATGAATCACTAGCTAACACAAGAGTTATTTTTTTATCATGTGTATATTTTATTATTTTAACTTTGTGCATGTAAATGAAATCTCTATATATAAAAATTACTAAATTGCTTGTAATATGTTTGTCTAAATATAATATTTCGGGAATACTTTAAAATTATTTCAACCATTTTTATTTGGATGTGCTTTGTAAATGTAAAGCAAGGTGGTTTCATGTACATTTCAAGAAAATTAAACCCAACCCCCCCACCCCCCCCCCCCCCCCCCCCCCCCCCCCCTGAGTAGAATTATTACTTTGAAAATGATTTGAATGTAGATACAAGTCATTTTTAGTGTTCATTTTTACCACTTAAAAAAACTCATAATAAATACAAACAAAACTACTATAAAGCGGGTCTATAGTATAGTAGTATAGTATAGATATAAAATTACCAATAATATATAACATAGGTAAAACAGTTAGCCAAGCAATGAAGCGGGGTACCGTGTTGCGTCTCACGTCGTGGTGGGGTTTGCGCAGCGCGGCGTGCTGCTCGTAGTGCGCGCACTCCTCCGCGCGCGTCACGCCCGCCAGCCGGTAGCGGTGCAGCTCCGCCAGGCGCACGCGCAGCTCGCGCTCGCGCCACAGCCCCGTCACCACGGCCGCGTGCTCCGCGCACCCGTAGAACTGAGCCGTCCAGCGGAGGCGCTCCGTGAACTCTCTGGGGGTGGACCAGAGGAGTTAGACCAGTGGTGAATTTACCGGCAGGCTCAGTAGGCTTGAGCCTAGGGCGGCAAATTAATTATGGGACAAAACTTTTTTTGTCTTGCAGAAATTATAAAGATTCATAGTTACCTAAAGTTTCATACCTGAATTTTATTAAGTCTACACAAACAATTCAAACAATTCAACATGTAATATATTTCACCACTAAGACAAATTTTTCAACAGTTTTCTTAATATTGGTTCAAGATATTGACAAACATTTATGACTCTATACGGGAAAGTACTTTATTGTGTAAGTAGTATTAAGGCTTACTTTATCGCGCCTTATTAGTACATAATAGAGCTTTTATTAGCTCAGAAGTATATGCAAAAGCTATTTCTTGTGCAATCATAACTAAGTCGTTGGATTGTACAAATAATCTAGGAAGTGGCACTAGTAGAGGTCGATAGAGGCGGCAAAATTTTAATAGCGTACCAGCGGCAAAAGTGTAAATCTGCCACTGAGTTAGACTTAGGTCATTATTATTATTACTAGCATTTGTTATATTGTTTTCAACACTTAACCTTAGATTAAAGTTTGATACTCTGTTGAAAAAACTAATAAACGGATTTTAATGAAACTTTAGAGTTTGAGTAAATAGTTAATCATTATTATTTACAACATACAACTTACTCATTCCGAGACAAAATTAATATTATATCGTCATATTGTCGTAAAACATATAAATAAGTATGGAACTGTTTTCGTATTGATTTAAAATAACATTAAAACAGAATTAAGAGTGATGCTAACAATGCCATGTTTGCATGTTTGAAATTATGTCATATGCAATGCTCACATCGCCGTTTTTGATGATCTATTGCTATTATATTGTCATACATGCTAAAATTGTACAAAATAAGTTTTAGTCATCATTGAACCTAAACACAAAAAACTTACCATATAAATACCTAAATGCCAATATTGCAATATGATTTTATTTCATCTTAACATAAATATAATGGAATTAAGAATTTTTTATAATAATTAAATTTTAGGGTATTTTTTTCAAAAATGATAAGTTTTGTCCACTTCATTTAGAATTTAAGTTTTACAATTTGAATATTCATTACTCAAAATCAGTAAAATAGCTCACTTTTTTTCTTTGGCAAGTTTTCCTAAAGTTTTCTGCTTATTCCTCTGGTTATTAAAAAATATTGAAACTAATTGATAGTCACGCACTAGACGTTTTCTTCTTGTTCTCTCACGCAGCCGCCTGGTATATATATCAACTTGAGATAACTTTAAAGCTGAAAAAAAATGTCAATAAAACGTTTGTAGTGTGTATCTTTACTTTAATTGTATGAAATATTTAAGTATCATCAATCAAAAAAGTACTAGATACACAATCGGCGACAAAAAATGTCCTCACCGAATGAGCACTCATTTGAACATTTGAGTGCACTTTTCATTTTTTTTAGTGTTAACAACTTTAAGTATTGCATTTAAGTTTCTATTTACATTTTTGTATATTTATTTCAATTATAATAATTACCTAAACACAATTGGTGACAATTTAAAGAGAATTTTTGCATATGATTGTGTATCCAGTACTTTTTTGATTGATGGTATGTATTAGTTTTAAATAAATTTTAATTTGAGACAATTAAAAATCCACTTACCAACATCTAATTCGTCATCTTCAGGGTTTAGAGATAATGTGGATATTAATTGTTCTGCTTCATGATCATGTTCCTAAAACAGATTCCATATATAACACAACCTTATAATTAAATGACACTTATTATGTATTTATATTTAATATGATTTGTCAACCAATAAAAATAGTTGTTTTTAGTATATGTATTTTCAATCATCCATTAAGGTAAGACAAGTAATCTGCTGTATAATGTTTTATAAAATTACCCTTTCGAAATCATCTCGGTTAGACATATAACCAAGTTGAGCAGCTTCATCTGGACTTATAGCTAATGGAGGTAAACGTGATACAGCACTAGGACTAAGTGGTCCCTCGTCTTTATCTGCACAGTGTAATGATGGGCGACTAGTGCTTTCAACATTACCCCATGTCGCCCGACCTATACTTCCCTCTAGGTATCTTGTTATGTACTCATCCTTAGCCTCTGAAATATGTTGGTATTTATTTATAACTAAAATGAACTCTTTTTTCAATTTGAAAATAATTAAAAACTATAATCATAATAATTTTAATATGATTTTGTAATAATGTTAACGATAATTATTGTATTGTAACAATTGTCCAGTATATTAATATTATAATTTATTTTTAACTTACCTTCAGGAGTTCTAGTTTCTATATGTTTTGCAATGTCTTCCCAATTGCCAAAACCAAATTGTTCTATAGCATCTAAAAGTCTTACTTCTTCATTCGCAGACCAACTAGTTCTACCTAAGAATATTCCAAACGCACCAGAATCCTTAAAATATAGATTTCCGCTTTATAAACAGTCTATTTCATAAAATCATACATGATAATTAAAAAATAATCAATTTACCATAAATTGATAGGAGTGATCATTTTTATGCGATCCAATTTCAGCACCTAGAGAAAAACACTGAAAGAAAAAAGTAAGTTACAAATACGCACATAATTTAAAATTTGCGCCAAAACTGTAAACATAACGTCAATGATGCTTCTATACCTGCAAACAAATATCAAAGTCTTTACATTCAGAACATCTCACACGCACTCCATTTATTTCTTCTTGACAATATGTACAATTATATTTTGCGTACAAATCTGAAAACGACATTTTTAAAACTACACTACACAACAATCGTGCGTTGGCAAACTTGGCAGTTTTCTTGAACTTCGGCCATATTTTTTCAAAGACAATATTCACGATATTCATAGAGAATAGAAATCAACGTAACAGATAATAATACAAAACCATAGAGTACAAACTCAGCGGGTCTTAAAATAGTTAATGATTTTTATTTTTATTTGTCATCCATGATTTTCATAACCACTAAAATTAAGTATTATAATATTAATTTCAAATTATTTTTACTAAGCATACCTCTTGAAAATAAAAATAAAATAAATAATTTGCGAAATAAAACAAAAAGAAACATATAATTTAAAAGATTTTATTACTTCTATTTCAATTTAAATTTATTTTTGTTTAATATTATTTAACAGCAATCACAAACTATGTAGAAATGCTACGCATTCAGCAACTGATGATTTAATTAAATTAGTAAGTACCAACTATAATAGCAACCTGATTAAAGCTTGTCAAATCATATGTCAAATGTCAATTAGATACCAATATTTTTATTACAAGTTTTCGTCGTGGAGATAATATTTTATAATAGTTAATACATTTCTCTGTCATATGATTTACTTGCTTTAATTTAATATAATTGTACCATTATATCTACATTACTTGTTTTAAATAAAATATATATTAATGGCTATTGTATTGTGTAAGTGTGCTATATAATGTGATAGTTCGCAAAATCTTCCTGTCATAGGTAGTAGTATCCGTTTGAGAACATGAAATCGAGTAAAAGAAGACTTCAAGCGCTCACTGAAGGTTCTGATGGATTACCTAATTATCTTAAAATGGAAGATTCGGAAACATCCATTCCACCTGTATTTAGATCTAGGCTACATGAACTATTTTCCCAAATAGAAAAAGAGTTTGACCTATTATATACAGAAAATCTGAACCGTAAGTAATATTTTGTGAATTTTTATTTTTAATTATGTCAAATAATATTAAAATAAGCACTAATCAGTAACATAATTTATTATATTATACAGTACAAGAAAAAATAGATATCCTTAGTGAGAAATTGGAAAGGGAAAGCTATGGAGGAGAGAGACAAAATCTTGACTATATTGAATTTGAAACAGGGAAGAATTCAAAAGTAAAATGTAAGCTTTATTCAATCACATTATCTGTAAAGATTATATAAATTTTATGTTTTAGACTTATCTTGAAATAATTTAATTGCTTATTATTTGTTTACCAGTAACTCAAAGTAATTCACAAAAAGTAAAAACAAGTCATAAGTTGAAGGTTCAAACCAGCAAGATAGTGTCTAGTTTTAAAGCACCAACATACAATTGCCAACTTATAAAGGAGTTTACAGGACACAAAGATGGTATCTGGGATGTTTGTACTGCCCTACCAGGTCAAGCTTTAATCGGAACTGCTTCAGCAGGTAAATTGAAAACTTTGTATATAACCAAATGAAAAGTTTTTATTTTCTATTGTAACATTTATGTAAAGACTGAATTATAAAACAAAAATTCAAAATAAAGTAACTCATTCACCAACAAAAGTAAAAGGATTTTACTTAGTTGTTATGTAAACAGAGTTTATTATCTAAATAATTATAGTTTACTGTTTTCACATGCAAACAAGGTTCATTGTAGTTTCAAGGTTGAAAGCTTCAAACATACAGCAATGTTTATATAATTAATCTTATTTACTATGACTGGCAAGATTTGCAAATTGAGAACAAAAAAATGACCTGTACAATTTTTTGTCATATTATTATAAATTTAAATTTTAAAATGAAAACAAAAACCATCAGATTTATTAAACTTTTAATTACATGTGGTACATTTTAATAAAAATATATTCATAGTATTTTATATAGTAAATGTGAAATTAAATTATATATCCAAATTATATGATAAGGGCAAGTTATTCTTTACCCTAAGAAAAGTAAATGCCACATTCCATGTAATAAAAAATAATGTATTAAGTCTAAGTGAATTTTTTTTATGTTCAAACAGTGAATTAATTCTCTCCAGATTTTTAAAACTGGAGCATGGCATAAATAAGTACCTAGGTTTTAATAGGCCCCCATTACCTTAAATTGTTAAGTTAATATTTAATTGATTAAAAAACTTCTTAGGTTTAATTTTATTAGAACTTGGCTTTTACTTTTTTTTTCTATTTTGAATTCTGTTTCATAGCAATCTGTTTATAAACAATAAGCCAATTTTGACTTTTACTAGAAAAAAAAACTTAAATAGGTAATATTTGTTCGCACTCTTATTATTACTTATATTGTGTAATCACTATATTACTTATAGTATGTACTCATTAAAATGAACAATTTATTTGTTGCTATGGAAATAAAACTAAAATTGGGCCTATTTTGTAAATTTTCAGACAATATATAACATCAACATACTGATTTAATTACATAATCTATTTAATATAATTAAATATTTTTTCAGATCACACTGCCTGCGTGTGGAGTGTGGAATGGGCAAAATGTTTGCTTCAATACACGGGACACTCTGGTTCTGTTAACTCAATTAAGTTCCACCCATCAAGGGATATTGCACTTACAAGCAGTGGTGATAATACAGCTCATGTTTGGCAAGCTGCTGTTAATTGGGATTTACCAGTAAGTAAATAAAACTGTTATTTTACTTCATCTAGTCAAAAAAAATATCAGTATATTCCAAATGTACTACATATCCAACTTAACACCAGTGTGGTCATCATTAATAAAATATTAACATCATTTAGATTACTCCTTATCTTTATCCTTATACAAACTTGTGTTATAATCTCAAAAGTGTATCATTGTTTGTTATGTTGTAGTTGTCAAATCAATAGATTTCTAAAATCATTATCAAAGTTACATTTTTTCAAAAATAAAAAAGATTCTCTAGGATTATTTAAGGATTTCAGATAGAGCTGTACAGGTTTAAAAAAATATATGTATAAAACGAGGCTATAAATATTTTATTTGTAGTATATACATCTCTTATAAAGAAAAATATCTGGAATATTCCTAACTTTTTAATAACATAACCATTCAGAGAGGTCAATCCTCAGAAGAGGAACTTGAGGGTGGTGGTGAGGAAAGCCTAGGGGAGGAAAGGCCGGAAGTGCTCCGCACCCCGCTAACAGAGCTCACGGGTCACTGCGGGGTCGTCGTGGCTGCTGATTGGCTGACAGGTGGCGATCACGTGATCACCGCCTCCTGGGATAGGACAGCCAATTTGTATGATGTGGAGACTGGGGATTGCTTGCAGATTTTAACAGGTATATTTAATTTTTTATTTACAGTTGTGATATATAGTATTTTTGTAATTTGCATTCTGTCTGTAGTACCTATAATGTAGAATATAGCATGGGGTCTCATCCCAAACAAATAAAAAATAGTTAAAATAAATGTCAATAGATGACGTTATGTGTGTCGATTTGTTATTACAGTGGTTTTAAGTGAACCAACTTAGATAAAAAATTGATTCTAAAAAGATGGCCTTTTTATGATTTTTTTATCGTGGTTCAAAAATGTTACAATCACTAATATTCTTTTATTCAAATACAGGATGAATTTCACAATATTTACCTCACTTTAGTTACGTATTTATAATATAAAACAGTTTTAACTATTTGCGAATCAACGACATCTATTATGTATTCAAGCAAACAAAAATAGCCCAAATTAACGCTGACCAGTTTCTTTGTATGGGATGAGACATCTGTACTAATATAGTATTATGTAATCTATGACTATAGTAACATTATAAAATTGTAATAGATCAAGAAAAGCCCATACCACATTCAAAAATATTTTTGCATTATTTCAGCCAATAAATCTGTATATATAATAAAATTGTAACTGAGTCAAATCTGTATATTAAATATTTTTTTGAAAATCTTATTGAAATAAACATTATTATCGATACAGAGGCTGAATTTATAGTTTTTAGAATTTTTGTCTATCTGTCTGGGAACGCATCACGAGAAAACCACTGGACAGATTTTGATGAAATTTTCTTTGATGATAGCTGGTTATCTTGGTCAACATATAGGAGACTTTTTACTGCGAGAAAATATCTCATCTCTGATAAATCCATACTAAACGTTATAACGTAAATAGGGATGAACCCGAGCGGAGCGAGGGTGAGTCGCTAGTAAACTTTAAAACTAGGACACTGTTTGTAATTTTTGGGAACTAAAGACTGATAGATTAAAATTAAAAAGCGAGTAAAAAAAATCTGTTGCTGTTTAGTATTTATTGTATAGAAATAAAACTATTATCGAGGAAAACCAAATATTTAAGTTAATGTTATTATTTGTTACATAAGTTGGATAATGTCAGTGTGACATGAAAATGACTGACAATGCCACTTCAAGGTTATGTTTCTCAACATGACATTATTTTTACAACCCATTTAATCTGTTTTCATGTTCACTTGAATTTATTGGAAGAGTAAAAATCTTGGCGATAACCTACTTCTGTAATATTTTATAGTTCTTGTCAGCGATTTACAGTAGGTAATTAATTATCGCTGAAAATTGAAACAGCCGAAAAAAGAGCCGATTTATGATAAATTATTTTTCTAGCCATAAGGACACAAATGACACACTTCCTTACATACATAATTATATCGTTTTACCTTTTATACGCGTACCACCTGTACTAAAACACACCGGGGGTCAGTAACTTTATACTTACCAAAGTTTTTATACATACATACATACATAAATTTTATGACAATAAGAATAATCAGAACGAATGCGAATGTGCATGATGAGCTGTATCGTCCATCTGTAAGTTAAGAATGAAGTACATAATTATTATTTAATATTTCCTTAGATTTACGCGAATATTTCAAATTTTATATAAAACTATATATTAAACTTTTATTTTATTATATGTATAGAAACGAGTTATTTGTTTGTTTGTCCTCAGGCCACGACCACGAGCTAACCCACGCGTCCGCGCACCACAGCTCGCGGCTGGTGGTGACAGCGTCGCGCGACACCACCTTCCGCCTGTGGGACTTCCGTGAGCCCATACACTCTGTGTCCGTGTTCCAGGGACACACAGAGTACGTGACGTTTTGTTATTATGTTTGTTTTATTTAGTTGGACGTAGTTATGCAAAATGGATCCAACCACAAAAAGTAACTTTTAAGAAAATAGGAGTTTTAGTAAAATTGGTATATCAAAATAACAAGACAGTAGCTTTTTTATGAAATACCTCTTAAAATATACCCAATATTTATTTTGTCTACTTTCTGTATATAAGTTGATATGTAGGTGCCATTTATGACAGTAACTCAAAAAACGGTTTTCGTGGGCTGGATCTATTTTGCATAACTACGTCCATTTGAAACTAGTGATTTGGTGCGACTCTAGGTGCCTAATAGTAACCGTATTCATTACTCCAGGTCATAGTTTATCTGTATACTAAATCAACCAAATCCGAGTGATTTCAACGTGAAGGAGTAACAAACATACACACAAGCAAATTGTCGCATTTATAACAAATTATAATATACCATGGTTAAAATAAAACAACAGATAAATAATACGTTCTTATGTTAACGAGCTGTTTTAATAATATTAAATAGAAATCATTTACGAACCTTTAAAATCTTAAATTTACTTAGTTCCGACTACGCAATTTTTCATTTATTTAAGAATTATTATTGTATGATTATATGTATGTTTTATTAATAAAAGAAGCTATGCTTCGTTAAGATCTGTTAACCCAGTTAAATATTAGATGTAGTAGTTTCCTATTTTATGTATGTACGAACAGGTTTCATTATTCAAATGATCTTTTTACAATATACATCTGAAGAACCAAAACAAAAAGAAAAAATGTTATATAGAATTTATAGAATTTAAATAATTATCTCAACAGTAAAAACGTTGTTTATTTATTTATGTTCTTTTTTGTACTTTAGGAGTGTCACTTCTGCAGTATTCACTCGTGAAGATAAAGTTGTATCGGGCTCCGACGATCGATCAGTTAAGGTATGTTAATAATTGTATCTTCAAGTGTAAAACTGTAGTATTTTTTGCTATTAAGTAATAAGTTTTAAGTACAAAATTTAATTCAAATCCATCCATCCTTGGCGAAGTGAAGGATTAACAGATGTACACAACATACACACATACACAATAGGGAAAATGCGTGTGATTTAAACAAAGGTGAATTGTTTTTTTTTATAATCTTTATTGCTTTTGAATTAAGCCTATATTAATATTTTTTAATGTAATTTCTTTTTGAATAAGAAAATAATAATTAAAAAATAAAAAGTGCAAATATAATAAGGTGGAGAATTCAAAGAAGTTGAATCGCGACGCCATTGGTCAGACAGAGTGTAACGTCAAACTATGAGAGAGCCAGCGCTGCCAATTTATCACTAAAAATGACGAGTTTTGCTTAACCAAAAGTCGTTATTTTTTACAATTATATAAGGACTAGCATTGCCCGCGGCTCAGTCCGCGTTCAGATGACCTAAAAGCACATTCTTAGGTTTTACATATTAGTATACTCTTACATTGCAGTTTTTGTATTTTTTTCTCGAAAATGAGATCTTTTCCCGCGGTAAAAAGTATCCTATATGTTGACCCGAATAACCAGCTATCACCATACCAAATTTCATCAAAATCCCTCAAGTGATTTTTCTGTGATACGATAACAGACAGGCAGGGAGACAAAAATTCAAAAAGTATAGATTCGGCCTCTGTATCGATAATAATGACTATTTCAATAAGATTTTCCAAAAAATATTTAATGTACAGAATCGGCTTAGTTAGAATTTTACTATATGTATAGATATAAGCTATTGTATAAAAAAAAAATAAAAAAAATTACTCGTATTTCGTATTACGTCGTAAAGACCTAAACTGTTGGCGATCACGTTATAATTTTTTTTGTGAAGAATTAAGATATCCAAAGCTTTAATTCAAAGTTAAAATATTAAAAAAAATATATGTCGAAGTTACTCAAACATTCATTTGAAATTTTCACTTCCGGTTTACTATACGTAAAAAGAACCAAATTTGTAATTCGATAAAAAAATTAAAAACTGCATCCTTTTATCTTTCAGAAACGATATTTTTTAGATATTTTTACAAATTGATTAATACAAATAATAAGCGTTCAAAAAGTACGGATTTCATACTTCGTAAATTTTTAAAAGCTCATAACTCGGCAATAAAGCATCATACGAAAAAAATAATGTATTTGCACATCCATGTCCACTAGAACTATAACCAGAGTATGAACAATTTTCACAACCTCACTTTATTTTCGTTGTCCGCTTCACGTGAAATGCCCCATATGATATACCGTAAAGTGTAAAGTTTTTTCTCTCTGTTTATGTAGTGTTTATAATACCTACATATTTTTTTATTTATGTTTATATATGGAAATATAGTGTCTTTATATATTTATATCTTTATATGTTGTATATATGTGTATATTGTTTTCTTTCACATAATATGCTTATCGTTATATATTTTCTTTACACTTTCTCTTTCTGTCCCGCTACTTAACTTAACACTATTTCCCACATACCTACATGACTGGAAGAGATCTCTTATAGAGTCCACCGTTGTCCACGTCATTTTCTATGTATTTTTTTACTTGTTTAGTGCAATAATAAATACTATATATTATGTATGTATATAATATATTATGTATATATATAATATATTATGTATGAATAATATATTACTTACTTAAAATCCTAATTTTTAACAAATGTATTAATGATCTGGAGGTGGAAATTAATGGCTAAGACACTGTTTTAAACTTATATTATAATTTTTTATCGTACAAAATTATATATATTTGAAAACGTTCCAATAAAGATAAATTTTTAATTTTAGTATTAAATTAATATATATATTTTTAAATAAAGATTTTTTCTTTTAAAAAGGTCGGAATATTTTGTTTTTAATTATGTAATATTTACTGCCTATAAAAACCATAGTGTCATGCATATTTTCTATACAAAATAGTTTCCATATTTCAATAGTTTTTTTTTGTACTTACACCTCCAGGTGTGGGACGTCCGCAACATGCGGTCCGCGCTAGCCACGATCCGGTCGGACTCGTCCGTGAACCGCGTGTGCGTGAGCGGCGGCGGCCTCATCGCCATCCCGCACGACAACCGCCAGGTGCGCCTGTTCGACCTGCAGGGGCAGCGGCTGGCGCGCCTGCCGCGCTCCAGTAGACAGGTGCGTGGAGTGTTATGTATTTGGTTTGTTTTTTTTTTAGAAGCGAAACTTCTTTACGCACGCTTGACTTGGGGAGTAAGCTGGTGAATGCGTGACGAGAGCGTTACGAAAAGTGTCATCGTTTGTTGCCATGGTAACCGTTGTTATTGTCTGACAAGTGATATATAATAATATTATATTCTTTCCTTAAATGATATTCTATAAATATATGATTGTAATATGCCACATATGTATTATTTAATTATTTTTATTAAAATTTATCATTCCTTTTACAAACAGATGTGACATACGGGATGAAATCTATAGCTATTTTTGTTCTGTTACGCCAAAAATGTATAACTTCTTACTTGCGGTCATGAGTTACATTACATTACACACACGTTTTTTTTGAAAGTGAAGCTTTTTTAGGATCGTTGTCATTTGAAACTCGATAAAACAAAAATGCGACATGAGAAAGAGACAAGATTATTGAGAAGAGACAAACACATAAATATGTAGTATTAAGTCGGCGAGAGAACGAGATAGTATACATTACACAGGAAGTGAAAAATAATTAATACTTAATAATATGTTATGTAATATATATTAAATGAAATATAAAATAACTTTTAAACTTGGTAAAAAAAACTAAACTTATTACTTATAATAAAAATGAATATTTATTACTGTGGGATGAATGTGCATAAATTAAATAAAAGCTATGACTAATTGTTGCCATGGTAGCCGTTGTTATTGTCTGACAAATATATAATATTATATTCTTTCCGTAAAGGTTACACACACCCATTTTTTAACCTGTCATATAACACTAGGCTATAGGACACTAGCACTTTAGCATCTGTCACTATACTTTTTGCTTTTATATATTTATAAAAAAACATACAGACAGTAATAGTATAACATAATTCACATTTATAATCCAACTTTATATTACAATCATATATTTATCTTTATATATATAATTCTTCTGTGAGTGTGTATGTCACTGAACTTCTCTCAAACGACTGGACCGATTTTGATGAAATTTTTTGTGTGTGTTCAAGGGGATCTGGGAATGGTTTAGATTCACAATTTGAATAATAATTTTCATCAAAATGGTCCAGAAGGTTTTAGCTTATTAAAAAAAGTTTGAAATTTTCAAATTAAAGACGTGTAGACAGGACAACGTCTGTCGGGTCCGCTAGTAATAGTATATAAACAAATCATTATTTCTTCATCTTACAGGGTCATCGCCGTATGGTGACATCAGTGGCGTGGGCAGAAGATATTTCGTCGAACATAAACTTCTTCAGCTGTGGCTTCGACCGCCGCATACTCGGCTGGTCCATACAACCGTCTAAGGATAATTGAATCTGAGTATATAAATAAGATTTACCCCTGTATTTATGGGTTGCAACTTCTACCAAAATTTATATTTTCAAGTCACTTATTGTGACTGACAAAATGACAGACGCATTGAAGTATTTCAAACGGACGTAATAAAGAATATTTTAATCAATATTCATTAATTTAATCATTAAGTAATGCGTTATGGATATATTATAAACTAGCGTTGCTCTACTCGCTTAGTTAATTAACGTATGACAGTTATATATAGAATAACTTATTTGCTTGTAGCAGAAAAAACAGGCCCTTCATAAAAAGTTATGATAACCTTAAGACTCCCTTAATTGGGGCTTTACAAAAGCCATCCTTACAATGGACAAGTTTCCTAATGTTGATAATATCACATTTAACGCAATGGAATTATTATACAGATCAAAACTAATAAATACAGTGATTTTTTTAAATCTTTCAATTTAATAAATGACTGAGAAATTAACAAAAATTTGGCCCTTCAGGTCGTATGACGTCTCGAAATTATTATTACAAGCGCAACTTTCACAACCTTTTCATTTGTTGAAATATTTTATTAATTCTTTTATACTTTTACTTAAATTTTTCAATTAAAACAAAAGGGAAACTTCTCCATTAACTAACGTCTCCTACATACAAACTGCCTACTTGACTTTCGTCTTAAGAAACTATACACACGATGGCTTATTAACGCGCCATCGATACGATCGCAAGCAATCTGCATTTTCCTTTACCAACGCAGAATATGCGAAGACGGTGTATACATTCGTTATAGGCATGTCGTCGGCGAGTCGTTTTTTTAGTTTAGCAGCGAAGAAAGAGTACGGTGGAATAAAAAGTACGAATTAAAAATTTTCGTCTTCATGTATGTAGGCCCTTATAGATCAAGCAGTTTTTGAGATTTCGTGTTAAGTGAGTGTGATAGTGACCTTTCGCCTTTGTAAATTTTATATGGATAAAATTATAAAAGAAATACGGACAACGCGCAAATGATGCGACGCAATTAGCGGTTTGAAGTTCCACAATAACGTATTATGTATGTAGTTTATTTGAATATGTACGGGAGAGGGTCCTGCTCGAGGAACCCTGACAGGCACTATGGCTCAGAAGGCTCGAATTTCTGCCGATATTAAAAACTATGGAATCTGGTAAGATAGATTGGTACTTTTACTTCTTGTTGACATGATGCTTACGTGTGACATAATTATAGTGTGACAAATATAATTATTTTTAATAGAAAAATATATAAAAAATCACGTTTTTTTTTAGTTTTGTTGTGAATTGAAAAAATGAGATTTTTGGACTTTCAATGCGTCTGAATATGTATATTAAAGTCACATTTGTAAACAAAAAATATTACGACATTTTTATAAGAGAAGTGTGTTATGTGTTCCAAATATCGAGTCATATTTGGGAGGTAACAGTAGCTAAAACGTTACATTCTTAGGATTTCATAACTGCTACTGTTATAGTAAACCTTTACTGTTCTATTATATTATGACTACGTGCCACACGTTATTTTGTTTTTTAATAATATATTCTGGTAATAAATAATAATTTGGCACAAGTAACTTAATTGAAAATGGGGTTTTGGCCCTTTATGTCAAATTCATTATAGTGAGTTGGAGATAGACATATAATAAATAATTTCACATATTATATTGGACTATAAATATATAGCACCGTTGATATTGAAAGGCTCAAGATTAGGTCGAATTAAAAAAAGAATCTTAAAATTATTTTTGTTAAAGACAATTTTAAATAAAAACACTTTTTCTTTTTAATTTTTCTGACTGTTAAGCTTAAAACTTTTTCAAAACTGTAACAATAACCTACTTTCGTTTAAAGTTGCCATTTAATTGAGAAAATTTGTTGAATTTTTTTTCTTGCATATATATGTAAAATTGTTTTATTATACTATTGACTTTTGCTCAGTCTTTTAGATCAAACATTAACATAGAGGTGTTGGAAACCGTATTTCTTATATAAATTATTAAAAAAAAGTATTTAGCAGTTACACTAAATATTATATTCATATTAAGATTTAAAAATATTAATGAGATACTATTTGAAAAAAATAAATAAAACAAGTTCAAATTTAAGAATAAGTGAAATATAATTACAGGAAGTCATACATATTAAACAAAACGTTTAATATCAGTTGATCACTTATCCCATGTTGCATATCAAAAGTTAAAAATAATCATAAAAACATTTCACATACTAGGATTATAATGAAAAATAAATAAATTACTAAAAAAAAAGCCATATTCTTGTTTTTAGATATATTATTAAAAGTTCTCTTTAGATGACCATGAAGATTTTATTGTTTTATTTTATTTTAAGATATTTTAAGGTTAAAATAATAATAGTTTCATTATTAATAAATCTTTTATTATTTTAACAATTAAAATAAATTTTATTAGGGCCTCTTCCGTAATAAATAAAACCAGTGTATAGATTAACGTACTTTTATAATGTACACTTCAGTGCATATATAGATTAATATTAGAAAAAACAATAGGTACTCTGTGAATAAATGCTGTTATTGGTAATATATATATTGGATGAAATATGTTAAATCAAACCAAAAACAAATAAAACACTCATTGGAATTTAAACTCTAGAGAAGAATATGTTGCAACAAAAACGTTTCAGTGATCTAAAATTATTGACTTTTAGTATTTAGTTATTAATCTTAGTTAATTGACACACAAAACAAAAATGTAAGTGTGAATAGTATGGAAATAGCCTTAGCCAAGAAAACTCGAAACAGTTAATAAAAAGATAAGTTAATAAAAATATAATGTCTGCTTTCGCACGGCTAATATTTTAGTCCTTGTAATCAAAATTTGCATAAAAATTGTTGAGTAGATATTATATTATATTGGATTATGACGGCTATATAACTTTAAAATTAATTATCATGTACACATAATTTTCTAGAGTTATATAAAAAGAGTAAGGCTTAATACACAAGTTGTATTTTTTACATACATACATGTTGATAATTCAAAGTGTAGTTATTATGTGATAATTTATGTACCTATACTATTCCTAAGGAGAATTCATCTTTAATAAATGTATTTTACTAAATGTATGTGTTGCTTGAAAAATGATTCAATGCTTAGATTGTTTCAATAAAAAAATTACGATAATTCGCACAATATTTGTTATCAGGGCCGGATTTAAAAGTATGGGGGCTCTAGGCCAAATAAGAAGTGAAGGCCCCTAATAATATTGCAAAGAAGATGTATGTATAATTAAAAAAGGTACTTTGGTTTCCTAATTATTTTAGTTTGTTAAATTTACGGAAGCATAAAAATTGATTAACTCATTAATTTCACATAAAAAAGAAACAAATTTTATTTTTTTTTGTGGGCCCTGCTCAAGTGGGAATAATCCCCGAGTGTCTAACCTAACCCTAAATCCGGCTCTGCTTGTTATTTACAAAATTAGAACTATTGTTGTTGGCTTTTAGTAGTTTATTTATGTATAAGATTTGTTTTCTTTGTATCTAACAAATGTGTGATGTGTATTTAAATTGCATTATGGCAGTATTTTATAGGTGACTTTGCATATAAGTAGCAATTTTCCCGGCGTAATTATATACTTAAGATTGTTGTTGGCTAAAATATGCTACTCTTTTAAGAGATGTTTGTCGAAAACAGATTGAGTGTCAAATATGATTAAACTTAATTGTTATTATTTCGTTACAACCCTTCAGGTTTTTAACATAAAATTTTAATAAACATGAAATAAAACAATAATACTACATATACATATATGTACATCATGACAGATCTCATACTCATTACTGTAGTCTTGGGTAGAAAAAAAATCATTATTGTCTAATATATAACATATATAATATATTGACTTACATAATATATTTTAAGTGGACAATAGCTTATATTGTTTTTTTAATAACAATTCCTTTATGCATTTTAATTTTCGTAATGTCTATTGTTTATACTATTGTATCAAGTTGCAGAGCATTATTTTTCACCTTTGTAAAGTCGAAGTTCAGACCAGTCGTCGACTTATTAAACTAACCTCAGTAAGGTTATTGAACAACTATTTTCTATATTTTTAATATAAATATATGCTTTCTTGGACGTAGATCGAAAGGTTAGAACTTAACGATTATGATTTTTGTAATAACTGTTTAGAAAATGTTTAAAATTACGGATTATGTGTTATTTTCTTGGGTAATTACTATAAGAATTCGTTTCACAAAAACCAGTGATTTAATAGCATTATGTACATACATATTCTTACCTGTTGCAAAAATTCAATGATAAAGCAATCTTCCTAGTCAAGTGCGACAATGGGAACTAACAAGGTATAATAAAGATTAAAACATATTTATTTGTTAAGAAGATGAAGTTTATTTGAACATTATACTATTTAAAAATCAGCATAGACAACATATAATTATGTAAAAGTGAATAAAATTTTCATTTACCTGTTAGTCCCTATTGATTCTTTACCAAAGATGAAACTCTGAATACGTCCTTAGTTTACAACGCTATATTCTATTTATCTTGCTTTTTTAAAGTATAAGTAACTTCTGTTTTATTATACAGGTGTAGGTTGATTGTAACGTTAATTCGTCATTCATCATGTTATATGTGTGCGTGTACTTAACTAAAGTTTTTAATTTTAAGGATAGAAAATTAAGTAAAATTTTGTCACATAAAAATATCTATTAAATTGTTCAACTACTTAGTAACTACTATTACAATAGGTACACACTCAAGAGTAATGGTAATGGTGACATTATGTTAGTGTGGTAGGAAATAATTGTATTATCACTTTGTCTAGGTATATATAGATTTTTGTTAATAGCAATTTAATGTTTAACAGTCGGTTTTATGCATAATAAATGGATGTGGTAAATTCCTATGTAATTATTGTAACTATGGAAATCAGTTCTTCTTTAAATGATCTGAGTATTTTTGTTATGCCTTGTACGGTATGGAATATATAAATTGGACAAAAACTTGGTTTTTATTTAACTAATCTAATCTCATCATTAACCTTATTTATTACAAGCTTTTATTTGCAATGTTTGTATGCATGTTTGTTCGGGTCAAATCTTGCAAATGATTTTTTAAGCAATTATCCTCCACCGATTGAGTAGAAATTTTGCATACATATTTAGGTTAGGATGACAATGCATGGTTCGATAAGTGATGTTATTCTAAATTCAACATGGCGGTCTCCCCGCAATGGCGAACTATGTTTTTTTTTATTCACCCCCATGATATGGATATCAAATGAAAGGGGTTGCTGAGAAAAATACGAATACGAACCTAAAAAATAAAACCTTAAATGAAATCAAACCCATTTTTTACTATTACATTACATTACACGTATATTATTACATTACACAATTTATAGGATATAAAAGCTTGTTTTTAAAAATATTTTTTAAATATTAATTTATAAATTTTACTGCATGAAAAACTCGCTATAAGCGCTCAAAATAATATACGGCAAGATTATTTAAATCTTTTATTGAGTAAATTACATAAGCATTCTTAAAGCTAAAAAAACATTTATGATTAAACATTGTTTTACTTTTTTTTGTAGATTCACTTCGCTATAAATTGCAGTTAACGCAATTGCATTGTATAATACCTTCCAAATTGTACGTAGAGATTAGGTAGCCTAGAATGACTTATATAATATTCTAGGACATAAGATGCATCCTGGATGGAATGAGACCTATATCGATCCCGAGGGATACTGTGGAGGTAGCATGCTAGCGCAGGTGCAATTTGAGCTAAAATAATAACCCATCCAATTAATAATATGTATATGTGTTCCATAAGTAAGAATATTTAACAGAAAATCTTTACTACGAAAAACGGTGATACAGGTTAGTGGAATAGAACGTGCTACCGGTAGTAATTCGAGACCACGTCGTAATGGAAGAAGAGTATATGTAACCCTTTTTATGGAGAAGTTTCATGATGTTGTTATTTGTTAATATATTCATAATTTAACGCAATGGAATTATAATATACATCAAACTAATAAATCAGCGATTTTTTTTAAATCTATCAATAAATGATTGAGAAATTAATTTAAATTACGGCTGTTCGCAATGTTACCTTTTTTTAATGTTGGGAAATGCATTTTCGTATATCACGTATTATGTGGGAGTTGAGACTCACCGTGAATTCAAAATCGACCAAGTCAAAATATTCTTGGTGTATACAAAATTTCATTGAAATCCGTCTAGCCATTTTAAGATGTAGGATTTTTAAGGACTAAGGAGTTTTTCGACTTCTGTTCGAAATTTGTGGGGAATTACCGTTTATTCTTTATGTTCTTTGTGCAATGTTGCCAACTTGAAAGATTCGCCGTCACATTTAGCGGCTAAAGGCAATAAGGAAGCGGTTTATAAAAATAATTCAATAAATAAATGAAAACTTTATTGCAACAATTCAGTTCCGATCCCATACCGCAACTGATAATCCGTATTAATCTGTATAAATATTATAAATGAGAAAGCTTGTGAGTGTGGATGGTTGTTATTCTTACACGCCAGAACGGCTCAACGGATCTGGATGAAATTTGGCACAGAAATAGATTATAGTCTGGAATAATACATAGGCTACTATTTATCCTGGAAAAGTTTACGGTTACCGTGGGATAGGTTTGTTTATATTTTTCTAGAGGTGAACCCGAGCGAAGCGAGGGTGAGCCGCTAGTATGCTTATAAAATGTTGGCTAATGTACAGCCTGACTTACATGCACCTCCAGGTAAATTTCTAACAAATTAATTAAAATTCTAAGAAATCTATTGTTAACTGACACGCCAGCCTGTCCGCGGTCGTGGAGGGATTAGATGGTCGTAGAATAGATTACTTACAGGCAACAGAGTAATTATAGTAGTAGTAGTACTATTTTTAAATAATATACAATCCTTCAGGTTTATTGTTGGTATAGACGTGATAATTAATGTAAATAAATACGAAGTACTGTACCAAACATTTGTAGTCCAAACCAGATTAAACCAAAACTATTTTTTACTGTAGTATAAAAGAAAAGAGTTTTAAGTTATTAAAAGTAATATAACACAGTTAATTTGCTCTTCAGTGTAGCATGGACGCTTGCGAGTTGCGACGTTTGAGCAAGGGAACGGGGAACAGGAGATTTTAATTTTAAATTGATATTTTATCTTATTCTATCACTAGAAATGATTAATTGCAAGACAAAGATAGTTAATTATATGTTCTACCAATCAGTGCATTCCACAATTCTACCCCCTCTGCATCTACCATAAAATTTATTTCAACGCAAGCTTAATCCGATAATCAATAGCGCCACTACCCGATTCTAGGTAAACGTTGGTTTTATAGTATTGCGGGTATAATAGATATAACATGGGAGCCACACGTTCGGCAAGCTAGCAACTCTAACGTAAAATTATTTAGTTAGACCTACATGATGCTTACATTTTTAAACCATCATGCAAAGCATAAAGTTTTCAATAGAGTTTTTTTTATATTTTACAATGCACGTGAACATAGTAATCTGAACATTAGCACCTCTTTATTACAAGCCGAATAGATTTTTTTGCACATTGAATGAGTACCTACCTACATAATTTATCATCTTTTAGATATTATCTTTTTAAATTATATTTAAAATGTTGTAAGCTAGTAGTCGCATCTCTTAAATGTGGAAAAATATTATATTAATTTATACGTATTATTTCAAATATATACAAGCAAGCTTTAATATTAGTAGTTTTTAACGCTTTTCGACTTTGAATTGATACTTTACTTTATGTTGCTACTCTTGTAAATGTACCTGAATTTGAAGGAAAAATATTATAATTTTATGATTAATATATTTTGATGCTAGCAACACTGTAATATTGTATTGCTATTGATTAATGTCAAAAGAGAAAAGCAAACAAGCAGTTTAAATAGTTTTGACTTTTGGTCAGCAGTATTTCAATTTTCGTTAACCCGCGCAACGAAGAGTTGCCGACGAGACGTAGTTCTTATTTTATATACCTAGTATTTTTGCAAGTAATGGGAATAAAATATTTTTGCAATTTTGTTTGTAATTGTACTTACAGTTAACTTTAACAATGGATGAGCTACGTGATTTTTTTAAAAATCCATGCCCATCGGCAGCTCAACTTATTAGACTCAAGCCTCCTATTACTGGTGGGCATCGTGTAACTAAAGATGACCAAATAAATGACCTAAACAGACGTGAGGAACATAGACATTCAGTTGTTCCTTCAGGCACGGACTACGCTCGAGAAATTAAAGAGAGAGAAACAGAAATTTACTTAAGGGTAAGTTGCAACCAAAAGTACTTTCATAGAGTATATTGCTACATGTATTAAAGTACTTTGATGAATGTAAACAAATATTAGTACCAGACAATATTTTAAAAATAAAAGCCTTTTCATATTCTTATTTCGTAATAAATTATATATTACCTTCTTCTATATTTATATGCTAATGATTTTAACATACACAACATCTGAATTAAAATCGACAAAGAACTAGGGATTTCTTATTTAAAAATTCTTCTTACAAAATCATTTAATATTCAGTTATTACATTATTATTGATAGGGGGAAAAATTGTGTTACTGTGAAATTGTAAATAATAATCATTATTTAAAGAATATTTCAATGGGAGTCTTTTATCTTTTAAAAATTCATTTCATTTTTCTATATAAATTCCAGAATGAAAGAGAACGGGAGTCATTTGACAGCATTTCTGGAGGCTTAGATTCTTTGGAGCAATTGTCGTCCTGGGGTGCATCTACACAAAATTTAGAGAACTTAACAGAAGAAGCTATGACTCAGGTGTATAACAAGTACTCCTTTAAATTGAGAGAAGACACAAAGAATCTGGCTATACATGCATACCAGGAGAAGGTAAGCATGCCATAATTTTTTTTGAAGGTATATCTACTTTTTTTGGCACATTTGAAAAAATATTAGACTATAATTTTTATGATGCACGAGCACACCGAAAGCCAAAAAGAGACATGTTGAAGTTAGCTGAAAGCGAAAATATTATATTTTATTTATAATCACTTCAATATGAAAACAGAATCCAAAAAAAACCCTACCTTTAAACTGAACAACTCTTTAGAATCCCATAATTTGACAACTAAACCTCAAAGAAAAAAATATTATGTGTGCATGTTCATATTCCCTAGAGGTACAAATATGCCTAATATGAACAAACTGCAGAACCTCAGTTTTTTTCTTTGTCCGATTCACATGAAATGCCCCATATGTTATTATATTTTTGATAAACTTAAAAAAAATATTTATGTTTTAGATCTTTCAGAATGCTTTGTATCTAAACTTGTAACCAAATATCTTTAATACTTTAAAATTCACAGATTCTAGACAGAATCAAGGCTTTTCCAGTTGTTATAATTGAAGGACCCACAGGGTGTGGTAAGACAACTCAAGTGCCACAGTGGATTCTTGATGATGCATATAACAATAGAAAACCATGTAAAATTGTTGTGACTCAACCCAGGAAAATAGCAGCTATATCCATTGCAAGAAGAGTAGCTCAAGAAAGAGGATGGGATGTGGGTGGCGTTGTTGGTTACCAGGTAAATATTTGCTATATAATTGACTACAAAATACAACTTTTAAAAATTGACCCTTTTAAAAAACAAATATAATGTGAAATTATAAATCTAAATAAATAAATAAAATAAAAATGTATAAATATAATTCATCCCTACGTAAAAAGTATTTTGAATTTGAATTATATGTAGTATGGACCTACTATATTTGTATTTCGATATTATGTAAAATATCATTAATATTGTGCAGGTTGGACTTGAAAATAGAACTACAACAGATACAAGAATTCATTATGTGACAACAGGTGTATTGCTTCAAAAACTTGGTTAGTAAATACAATGAAAAATAAAATATTGATAGAGCTCGCGATTTGTATTATTGTTACTTAATTTTTGTTGTTAATAAATAAGCATGCTGGTGAATTTCTAATTTAAAAAAATCGATATATTTAATGCGAATTTCATATAATAATATTTATTGAATAAAATATGATCTTTCGTGAATAATTTCTTGCTAATATAAGTTTTAATGTCTGGCTTGTTTCTATTGTTGTCTTGTACAAAACTGCATTAAGCATTTCAATATCTCATTGAATTTTCTTAACATAAGTTTCTTTTAATGTTGTAGTAATTTAATTTCTAGCTTGACTAGCGCACCTAGAGTTTATGTTAGTTATGTTTTAACATAAATATTCTGTTAGTTTTAAAGTAAAATATTGATCCATGTACAATATTCATTTTATTGACGACACAGTTAAGTTCATATTTTATAGTGTTTCAATGTAAAACAAAGTAAGTATTGCGGTCAGTTAATTGTTTAATGCTTTAAACCGACATGGTCTCATAACTTAAATACTAGTACTCATAAGTTAAATAAAGAATTTTGTCAAAAGCTCTTTTATCATCCTATCCTATGCTTCAGTAAAATAGTCATAAAAATATCTATATCAATCACCTATCGAGTCATACGTCACATGCCCATGAGAAATCAAATAATAAAAAACAATCATTTTTTTATTTAAAAAATGTTGATTTTTGAAATGAGAATTTTTGTTACAGTAAATGCAAAAAATATGAATGAATACACTCATGTCATACTCGATGAAGTCCATGAACGTGGTCAAGAAATGGATTTTCTTCTGTTAGTGGTTAAAAAGCTGCTGTACACAGTTTCGCCTAGAGTCAAAGTAGTTCTTATGTCAGCTACATTCAATTCTAAAGCTTTTGCGGACTACTTCTTTATCCCTACACCTCGAGGCCATCAAATGTCGTCGTGTTTGAATGTTACAAGTGATAGACCAATGTTCACTGTCAAAACTTTTTATTTGAACCACCTTACTAAGTTTGGAAGTGTGAGTACTGATCATATAATAATAAGATTGATTGCTGTGGTACTGTCAGCAATTTCACGTTTTTATAATAATGTAAAAGTTTTTTAGTATATCTTATATCTTTAAACGAGCAATTCTTGTGTATATATATAAACTGAATCTCGGAAATGGCTCCAACGATTTTGCTGAAATTTGGTGTGTGGGAGTTTTCGGAGGTGAAAAATCGATCTAGATTAGTCTTATGTCTGAGAAAACGCCTGTTTTCGAGTTTTCACGCAGTTTTCTTTTGCATTATTCCACACAAAATATGGTCGGTAATTTTGCACACTCTGGCATAAGCATCGTGATCAAGCGGCAAAGGCGCAAAATCGACAATCACAGGTGTCAGGTTCGAATCTCGGTGGGATACAAAGATTTTACTTTTGTTTTTTTTATATATTTTTTATTATATATAGTTTTTGTTTAAAAAAAAAATGTATTTTAGGCCAAAAACTCCGAGCAAAGCTTGGTAGCCCAGGTACTAAATATTTAAAATAAGAAATCAATATATATTTTGATTAATTTTATTTCAGTATGTGTGATTTTTAAGTAGTTATAAATCACAAATGATTTCACTGCCATATTTAATATACTTATTGTTTCATTTTTATGGAGAATTTGAAATATACATGTAAAAAAATTTCTGAGTTATATCTATATTAGGAAAATTTTTTCATTTGACAATGTTTATTTACAATTTATATAGGTACATAATATTCTAACCTAAGATGTATAATATAAAAATGTCATATTATATGTAATATTCTTATATTATTGTCAATACACCAATAAACCTAAGTTTTTAAATTTTTGTTTAAGGATACCAGATTTAAAAGTAAACTGATTTTAATGAATACTTTCTTTTAGATCATATTTTTTTGTACTCGCATATAAATAATCTCTTCTAGAGTTAATTTGCCTATGGTGGTATCTGTATGATTGTGTGTATTAATATAGAATAAAGAATGTAATAGTAACATAATAATGTAAAAATAGTAGTGTATTAAATATTAATTATATTTTTAAAACTTAACAAACTGTTTTGTAGCTAATTCAACAAGTGACACCCAAAAACAATGAACCAATGATTATGCCAGAAGCACACCACTTAGTTATTAAACTTGTGAATGCATTCGAACACATTGACACGCAAGAGGAGTATACTGAAAGAGAAGGTGCAGATTTGCCTTCTGTTCTCATATTCCTACCAGGTATACATGAGATAGAGGAACTGTATGCTTGTTTGATGGACACTGACTTGAGGTAAGTTTAGGTTTCCATCTTGTTTTTTTTTCATGGAAACAGGATATTTTGCAAAGTATAGCAGACGATCCGACGACCTTCCTTTCTCCTTCCTTACGACCTCACATCGGATCTCAGACTAATTGAGACATTACACAAGAGATCAAGAGTGACAATGAGTTATATTATTTGCTTCTGTACCATACATGAAGTAGTTTGTAGTTATTATATAATAACAGTATTATATCGAAAGTCACTGCACTTTATTTCGGATATATTTCAGAATAGGAACTAACTTCTTTTTTTTCGTATAAATCGAAAATGTGTTTTATACATTTTATTATACTTGAAATATTTATTTTTAGAAAGAAAATAGCAGATGCTGAATGTGCAAAGTACAATTGGTGGGTGTTGCCACTGCACTCCACAATCACGGCAGATGAACAAGTGCGGGTATTTCAAAGAGCCCCGCCAGGCCATAGGAAGATCATTCTAGCCACTAACATTGCAGAGAGCTCTATAACTGTACCTGATATTAAATACGGTAAGTTATTTTTTCTTAATTGTTTAAAATTCCTTTAAGCAGATAATAAAAAAATAATATATCATACCTATGTATATATACATAGGTATGATGAGTTGTTGTGGGTTGTATTATAACGTGTTTTTCCGTTGGAATGAGATGATCTCTCGCGGTATAAAGTAGCCTATTTCACTCTCCAACCCTCCAAATATCCCTACGTCAATCCGTCACTGGTACGATTTGAAAAAAGTATAAACACACACACTTTCACATAATAGAATATCAACGCCTTAACCTACTCCACCAAGTCTCTCCAACCATTTCTGTTAAGAAACTTTAGTTTTTTTGTATTTATTTGTATTCTTAACAAATCGATACAGACAATGCCATCTATTGACATTTATTTAAACTTGTCTTTGCCTGATGAGAATCCATGATCTAAACAAAGAGACCAACGACATCTATCTTGTACTTATGCAAATGTAGTTTTTATGTACAATGCCATCTATTGGCAACATAAAATAACTTGTTTCTTCACAACTATTGAAGCTAGAGTTCGTGTGAGTGAAACCATTAAAAATATAGAATTTTTATATAAGAAGATAATTTATTAAAATTGGCATTTTAATTTATAAAATATTATTTCTTATGAGACTGAAAATAGTTTGCAAAAATTAATTTTAATTCATTATGTACTAAATATTCTTATAGACTTAAAAATTGTATTGTGTTAATCCTATAATATTTAAATATTGTTTTAATTATTAAGTTCTTTACTTAAATAAAATATAAAACATTATAATTATTTAAAAATAAAAACTAAAAAGTTCTCTCCGGCGGGGAATCGAACCCCGGTCTCCCGCGTGACAGGCGGGGATACTTACCACTATACTACCGAAGATATGATAGGATTATCGAAATTCTGTATTTGTATCAGTGAATTGCTCATATTCGATCACTGTCAAAGTTTTAACCTATAATATTTCATTGGAATTTAAACACACAATATAAAAAATTGAATTATTAACAATTTACTATCGAATATGACTTTGTTTTAAATATGGAAGTGCTGTTCTAGGTGATGTCTTCAAAATATTTTTGTGTAAAACCTACATATTTTTTGAAGGGTTAAATAACTAAGATAAATTAAGGAACTTTTTGTTTCAGTCATCGATTTCTGTCTAATGAAAGTGTTGGTAGCCGATCAGAACACAAATTTCACATCACTTCAGTTGTCCTGGGCGTCTAAAAGTAATTGTGAGCAAAGAGCGGGGCGGGCGGGGCGTGTTCGTGATGGACGCGTTTATAGATTGGTTACCGATAAATTTTTTGTAAGTTATAATATTAGTATGAATCATCACAATTTATTTATTATGTTGACTAGGGACTTACCCTCGCTTCGCTTGGGTGCGTCCTTAGGTACGTTTTTTTTGAGAGGAAGCCAAAATTCTTATTGTAACATAAGAGTACATTAGCTATCTGCCAGTGAAAGCCCCATCAAAATCGGTCTAGCCGTTTTGGAGTTTAGCCGCAACAAACAGACAGACAGAAATTTTTTAAAATTTTTAATGCTTTTGTACCGTAGATAATTTCATTTGTATTTAATTTTATTACACACATTTAATACACTTAAAATTTATTAATCTGTATAGCTAATTCAAGAACATATATAGATTAAATGAATTTCTACTTCAGGATTCGTTTTCACAAGATTGTCAGCCGGAAATCGTCAGATGCCCATTAGAACGATTGGTACTCTTAGCTAAAATGTTAAACATGGGCCCTCCAAGTGAGATCCTGGCGTTAGCAATGGACCCGCCCGATATGTCCAACATACACCGCACGATTTTGGTGCTTAAAGAGGTATGATTGTAATCTTATTTTGTTTGTATACATTTTTAACAAGGATCTTTTCTTTGGTTTTGTAAACAATTATTATATTAATAAACCTACATCTTATTATGGAAGAAAGATGTAAGAAAAAAAGGGACAATAATATTTATTTAAACTAAAAAGGAAATATAATGACCGAGTTTAAAAAGTAAAACTAATAAATGAAGAAAATTTAAAAAGAATAACAAACGAAAAAAAAAGGAATAGTTCTCTCCGGCGGGGAATCGAACCCCGGTCTCCCGCGTGACAGGCGGGGATACTTACCACTATACTACCGAAGATGTGAGTGTAAGTGTAAAAACATAAACCTGTATCAGTGAACTATTCAATAGTTGAATGACGTAATCTGACTTTGTATCTGTGTTTTCGTTATTTTTATCAATAATGATTTTTTTTTGGTAATCATTTGATAAAAATAACCTTATTACTGTTCTAAATGTATTTTCACAAAAACTATGAAAAATATACAATACTAATCACTATTTAGATTAATTCTTATACTATTTTTTTTTCTTGCATTTCTGCTTAAGTTTAATAAAAAATATGTACGTTGAAACATTTTTCATTTTTGTGCTTTATAAAATACTAGCGACTCACACTCCCTCCACTCGGGTTCGTCCCTAGATACATTTTAACAGTTAGTAGGTATAGATTTCTCAAGAGATGAGATATTTTCACGCAATAAAAGTATATTATATTGCACACCGACTTTTGGATGATAAATATGCAAGACGTCTCAAAAGAAAAGCCATACTAGATCTAGCTTCGTAATTCTAGTTTTAATAATGAATGAGATTAGATCGTAATGAGGATCAACTTCACATGCCTGCACCAAAGCCAAATTTCAAAACTATAATTTCGGTATCTGTATCGATAGTAATGACTGTGGAGCAGCAAAAAAAAATCTACAGATTAGACTCAGATAGAATTTTAGTAGGTATATGTATAGATAAAGAATAAACTAAATTAATAGTAACGGACTTTAAAGTCTCTACAGGATGTCGTTGAATCTTTACCCCTTGGGTTTACACAAAAAAATATTCCTAGTTAACAGAAAAATAACTTTAGTTTCTTTTTAAATTAATATATTACTACAACTTCAATTTTTGTTAATTATAATAATACATTTTTTATCTACAAGATGGGAGCACTAATGAAGACTATTGATGAAGAATGGTCTAATTCAGACGGCGACATCACATACATGGGGCGTATTATGGCAAAGCTACCTATAGATGTCAGATGCTCTAAACTTATTGTCCTAGGATATGTATTCGGTTGCTTAGAAGAGTGCGTTATTATGGGTAATGGATTTAAAAAAATTATATTAGTATATTTTGAAATATTATAAAGCACTTTTTTAAATCTTTTGAATAAATTTTGATAAAAACAAAGCGATTGGATGCTTTAGTCAATTGAGTATTTCAACAACTGAAATGAAACGAAAAATATTGTTGCAATTTCAACTTTACTTGTATATGAGAATCATTTTTTATATCAAATTTATCTATTACAGAAGCAGCACTATCAGAGTTACTTCTGTATTGGTCGATCATTTAAGATTTTTAATAATATATTCTTGTTTTTGTATCTTTTTTTTAAATTAATAATAGATTTTTTATGCGTATAAATAAAACAAAAAATATATTTTTAGCCGCGGGAATGTCAGTGAAGAATGTATTCAGCAGTCCGTTTAGAGAGCGACTAAACGCTTACAACTCTAAGCTGACGTGGGCTGACGGCTCTACGAGTGACAGCATCGCGCTATTGAATGTTTATAAGGTACTTTGTAATATTTTTTTGATTTATTATATACCAGCGACGCACCCTCGCTCCGCTCGGTTTCGTCTTTAGTTTCATTTTAACGTTTAGTATAGATTTCTCAGAGATGAGATATTTTCTCAAAGTAAAAATTATCCTGTATGTTGACCCGGATAACCAGCTATCATCATTCCAAATTTCATCAAAATCTGTCCAGTGGTTTTTCTCGTGATGCGATCACAGACAGACGACATAAATTCTAAAAATCTTATAATTTTATTATATGTATAGATATAATCATGTGAATTTGGTGCAATTTTGATCTTTTATAGTACCTAATACCATTATTCTTATGTTTAATCGTTAATTTCTGTAAAAAATGATATCTAAATTTTGTATATGTAAGAAAAAGGTCGCATAAAAATCATCTATGATTAAAAGTAATAAATTTTAAAATTTAAAATGAATAATATAGTGATAATGACAAGATAGTAATTATAATGTATATAATAGAAGCAGCCCAGCAGTTTATCATTTGTATTCCCTATTAGTGAGTGAATGAATTTAGGATTTTTGAGGGGTAGTTTTTTAAATAATATATATATATATATATATATATATATATATATATATATATATATATATATATATATATATATTTATTATAAATTTATTATCTAGCCTTTCTGATTACTTAAATCAGTTATAAATAAAAAATATTTAAAAAAATACGATGAACTTTCATACATGTACATAAATTTTAGGTGTGGAACCACCTCCGTCAACAAAGATATTTTAAGCAACAAGGCACAAGCGAAGTGCAATGGGCGCGCCGATTTTACATACAAATACGAGCGTTGAAGGAACTGGATGATATGGTGCGGGAACTGCGCATGCGCTGCTCTAGGGAAGGGATTGAGCCCTTAAAGGGAAACTCCCCGTGGGATAAACAAGAAGTGCCCTTGGTCCTTAAGGTATGTATTAACACAGGGCTATCATAAAGCAAGGAGTCGTTAGAAGTGGCATTTTGCTTCATTTTTACGTATCGATTTAGATTACTTAGGATTTACATATCGTTATTGTCACTTCTAGTGTCTTTCCTTGTTCTAAAATTTGCTCATAATAAAATATTACATAATTATTACACAAAAGTATTTATTTTTGATTTACTAAAATTTGTTGCAAAATTGAATTAATATTTATCCATCTATTTCTAATTTATACTAACAAGGAATACTGGTAAGTATTAAATGAAAAGATACATTTGTAGCTATTTTAATCAATATTTTAGTATTTCTATAAGAATAAATCGTTTGGGAAAGTGTAGTTAAGCTGTTATTTTAATGGCTCTCATACATTATGCGGATAATTTTTCAAACTTAGTATACATTATTTAGTAACTTAATATAATGGTTTTAATCTGAGGAATTAGTAGTAGTAGTAGAGAAGTAAGTAGCCGAGTGGTTATGGGGAAGAGATCAAATGAAGCGAGATCAAATCCCGGGCCTCGCACCTCTGATAATTAATGTCATGTGTGTCTGTTTTCAACATAATTACCACTTGCCTTAGGAAAATATCGTGAGAAAACCCAACAAATTTTCGAATGACATGAAATCTCGCATCAAAAAATTAATACGCACTTGGCCAGCTCGGTGGACCAAGGCTTGAATCCCCTTGTATGGAAGGAAATCCCTACAGGGCGGCGTTAAAAAGGACTGAATACAAGTACAAACTATTGGTGGCGGGTTCTATGCTAGTCTAACGGAAATCTCCGTCAGACAATCATAGAACCTGTTCCAGTAAGTAAATTTAGAGCTCCACTTGAACATCGATAGTATTAACATTGAAGAAAATGATGAATAAAAATGATAACTGAAATAGAATAAACATATTCTCCGTGCAATAGATGCTATGCTTTTCCAACAGAGTTGTAAGCCATCCTTTGGGAAAGCATAGAGCTTAGTGTGCTGAGTGTTGCGTCATTATTATTTAATACTAGCGAAATACCCTTACATCATCCCTAGGTACCAAATAGTTATTTGCTCCATACTTAACATAAGTTACTTCAAGTTATAATCTATACACTAAACATCCAAATCCATCAGCTAGCTGTTATAGCGTAAAAGAGTGAAAATATACACACTTATAAACTTTTTTATATAGTTGTCCGATATTTATATTATTACGAGTATATAAAGAAAAAAAAGTAAATAAATTAGTGCTTTGTGCCAGGGGTTCTGTGCTCTTCCAAACGAGATACAGGTTATCCTTTGGGAAAGCATAGAGCTTAACGCGCTTAGCAATACATCGATATATATGTATGTATATTGTATATAGTAATTTTATTACACGTAATATGTAAAATGTTTTTTTTTATTTGCATTGTTGTGTACGTTAGTAATAATTGTTTTACGAGTAGTATATAGTAACAATAAAAAAACTATTTAATATTAAAGTAATAAGTGAATTTAAAATTTGTTTGAACTTAAACTAGAATATAGTCCACAATATTGTAAATATATACCTAAGTGTAAAAGTTTGAACAGTCATTTGCATATTGCATCCCAGGCGATTTATATATTTAAAATCTTTCACAGTCAAATTATTATGTCATTAGTAACTTCAATATAATATGTATTTATATTTGGTTTTTACTCTCTCTCTAGGTATTACTAGCGGGCGCGTTTTACCCTCAATATTTCGTGCAAGCGGGCACAGACGAGGAACGCGAAAGGGACGCAGTGCGCATTCTGGGTGGTCTAGATCCAAGGAACACAGTGTACTTGAGGGAATTCCCCGATAATCAACCTGGTATCGTCTATTCCACAGCAATTAAAAACATTATAAAACAGCACATTGGTGATGAACCTAGAGTCACCTTTGATAATAATAGCAGGTAAATATTTATATATTATAATATTGTAAATTATTTTTTTATAAGCATTTCTTAATATTTATTTTGTTTTCTGTAGAAAGGTGTACTTGACTTTCCAAGACAACAGCCAGAATTCTATGACCGACAAAAATAAGGGTGGTGTAAGTTACAATTTTAAATAATTTTATTTACCTTTAAATATCAATTATTATATAATATGTATATAATAATAATGTATATAATGCTATAAATTTTATCGCAGGATCCTACTATACCTGGACAAGTGGTATTGTCAGTATACAAAGCGGTCAAAGCGCGCCAATTGAATATGAATATTAGACTTCCTTTGTTACCGTAAGTTTTGATACTTTAATATAATGAGTTTTTTGAAGAAAATACAATAGATAAAGGACAAAAAAATAACTTACTTTTTTTTCAAACTTATAAATGTTTAGTTTTTAAGACACAAAAAAAAATTAATATGTTTTATATTGCATTTCAGAATTGATAAAGCCGAGGCTCTCGCTGCGGCAATGAAATCGTTAAAGGAAAGTATGGACCTGAACAACATGGTGCCGCGTTTGCCCTCCATTGATGACACTTACTTCCGTCTGAAGATATCACAAGTAGTTTTTCAATGAAAATGATTTCGTTTACGTTACCAAATATAGTTTTTAAATCCATAGTATTTAATTGCATGAGTAACAATAACGTTTTTAGAATTTTTAAAATATTTAATTGCAATATTAATTTTTCAAATCGGACTAATAGTTCCTGAGATTAGCGCGTTTAAACAAACAAACTCTGCCTCTTTATAATATTTCTATATATATGCATATATTATATTACAGACGTACTCTTAGTCTGGATAAAAAAATGTTCTTTTTTTAATACCACGAATAGTTAATCAACGTGGGAAAATTCTGGGTGCAATACGATGAGGAGTCAACCGAGAACGAACTTCGCCAGATACAAGCATCCCTCAATAAAAAGAGCTCACTGCTGTGCCCGAGCTCTATCACAGTGGATATGGTGGTGGCGGCGCCCTACGCGGACGAGAGGGGCACTATGCTGTATAGGGCTCGGGTGACTAAGATACTGCCCAGAGATATGTTGGAGGTGAGTGGATTTCAGAAAATTTAGAAAAAAATATTTATTTATTTATCATTGGGAAACATACAGTGTATGAATAATAAAATTTAGTTAAACACTTCTAAACAAAAATCTTAAGCCAATAAAGTTTCCACTAAAAACATAACGAAGTGTACTTAAAATTAGCAGCTATTGAATCGAACAAAAAGCAAGAATACTAAACATTAACACAATTTATGTTTTTTTTAATAGGTGAGCGAATTTTTTGAACCCATCATTGAACAAGTCGTTATACTTTATTAACTGACTTCCAAAAAGGAGAAGGCTTTCAATTCGTCGGAATCTTTTTTTTTATGTACGTTCACCGATAACTCGAAGACCCCTGAACCGATTTGGATGTATTTTTTCAAAGGGTAGGTTGGTTTCAAAGAGTATACTTCCCAGGTGGTCCCATATAAATTTTATCGAAATCGGTTGAGCGGTTTTTTAAAAAATCAACAATAATATTTTTTTTTAAAATAAATTGTTTAATTGAAACTTAAAAAAAACATAACCGACTTCCAGGCACTAAAATGTAAAACATAACTAAACGGGGGTTTTCATTTAGAATAGATACCTAAACAGATATTTTCGAAGTCGGTGCCAGCCGACAATATTTTAAGATATGAGTATCTAATAGGTAAATAATATGTATTTTACGTATCGAATTATATTAGATTTGCTTTGCATCGTTTTATTTTGTCATTTAACATCGGGGATTTTTCATTGGAGGGCTACTTCCTCCAAAAAGAAGTAAATAGGGGGCTATTACATCTCCGTCTTATGATATTCGATTTAGATAGTTCTTTTTTTATTTGAAAGGCTGTAGCTTTAAGTTGATCTCATAAAAAATTGGTGAAGATCTGATGGGAATCCTCGGCGTGATGTACAGAATAGCTCCTCAAAATGCACTATGTTCTCGCGAGGTCTATTGTTCACAGAAGTACTAGTTATTATACTGTGATAATATGGACATTGTGGAACAGGTGCTTTACATCGACTACGGCAGCGTAGGCATGGTGGCGGCGGGCAGCGTGCGCGAGGTGGGCGCGGGCGGCGCGCGCGTGCCGCCGCTGGCGCTGCAGTGCGCGCTGGCGGGCGTGGCGCCGGCGCCGCTGCACGGCCACGCGCACTGGCCGCCGCAGGCGCTGCGCCTGTTCACCGAGCTGGTCGCGCGCGGCCGCCTCATGGGCAAGGTCGGCTTGATGAAGTTATTTATTATTTCTTATTTCCCTTATATCATACTAGCGACTCAACCTCGCTTTGCTCGGGTTCGTCCCTAGGTACGTTTTAAAGGTTAGTATGAAATAGAAATCTTTGAATTTCTCGGTTATTCTGTACTATGATACGCATGTATTATACATATAAACTTTCTTCTTGAATCACTCTATCTATTAAAAAAACACATAAAATCTGTTGCGTAGTTTTAAAGATCTAAGCATACATAGGGACAAACAGACAGTAGAAAGCGACTTTGTTTTATACTATACTAGCATTGCCCGCGGCTCCGCCCGCGTTCAGATGACCAAAAACTAAATTCTTAGGTGTTACATATTAGTATACTCTTACATTGCAGTTTTTGTATTTTTCCTCAGAAATAAGATATTTTCCCGCGGTAAAAAGTATCCTAGGATCGCGCGCTACATCGCCCGGTTTATATAGCTTGAGCAGGCGGTCGAGCGATGCGGGGCAGAGGGGATGGACTCGCCGTAGGCATCTCAATGCTCGCCAAGCATTAAAAATGTTTCGCTACTAATTACTTCTAACAACGATATCTCAAAAACTATTCATCTGATTGATTTAGTGTAAAGAGCAATTTTAATCTGCATTAAATGACTAAGCTAACTAAAATATTCATTTGGATAAGGATTAATACCGAACTAAAGAAAATAACTTTGAAAATAACGTAATGTTTTTAATTAAAAATGTTAACATAAAAGTGGTTATTGTAAGTCAACCGTAAGAGATAGAGATATGCTATCGCGGACTTTTTTGTAGCATTTTTATAGATTTTGAATTCTCTAGTACATTACTTAACTGTATCTTTGCTAGTTTACGCGGCGTTCGCGTGGAAAGTTCCCATTTGGCGAGATTTTTTGCGACCTCTTCAACATTTGTCGCCGTATTTCAGCTAATTTACATAAAAGCATAATAAATTATATACCTAAACCTTCCTCAAGAATTACTCTTTCTATTGTTGAAAACCGTATAAAAATCCGTTCAGTAGTTTTCGAGTTTATCGCGTACAGACAGACAGGAGGACAGACAGGAGGACAGAAAGACGCGGCCGGGGGACTTATTTTTATAATAAGTATAGATAATGATGTCATTAGAGTTCCATAGCTCTAAAGAATGAAAGAACCCTTATAGGACGTATCAATTCGAAATTAATATCAAATACTCAGGTCTGTAGTCCCTTGGAAATGTAGAAAAGTGAAACTTCTAAGTCAAAGGAAATATTTACAACGACGATTAACAAGGATGAAAAAAATATTTCTATGCAATTATAAACTTATCTTAATGTTCATGCTATGTATTTTTTTTAATTCTGTTTATATAATTTATAACTGCTTATAATAAGCTGTATACATTTTTAATTGAACTTATCTAGTTGAAACGAAACTTAGTCAATGCTTCAGTTGAAATATTTTCTTTATTTTACTATGGACGTGTTTCTTTTTTTTTATTTAAATGCTCTTTTGCCAAGTGATGAGCATGTAAGCCAAAAAAGACTTACATACTTTCAAAATATAAATATTTAACTTGTATTTTTACTATTTTTTTTTTATGAAAATAGTTTTAATATTTTTAATATAAATAACAAAATGCATCATCCAATCTAGAATCAAAATCATTTGAAATAAATATTGGAATAATAGCTTATGTTTCATTTTCAGATTTACTCAGTGACACATGGAATAGTCCATATAGAACTGCTTGCCGAGGAAGGCAAAATTAATATCAATAAAGAATTGATTGCCAAGAATTTCGCTGTGCCGTGCGAAGAGAGCTATGAGTCGAAGGTAAGTTTTGAGAACTAACAAACTAAAACCATTACTTCTTTTTTAACAGTAATATATGCACCTATAATCTCTTATTACTTTATTATCTGGAGATGCATTAATCGATGCTCATATTATATAAACAATAAATATCGATAAAATAGTGACTTTATCATCAAACTTTATGATAATTTCTCCAGAATTGATTTTCAATTTTTGTATCTTAAATTTTAATATATAAAGAAAGTAAATTATATAAGTAATATTAAAAAAATCTATATAATATGTTGGTAAAATCTATTTTTTTCCAGTTAAATCACGATTTGAGGCAAACTGCAACGGAATTAAATCTGGCCCAAAGACGTGCATACAATAAGGAGCAAACCGAACTTGCCTGCAGTCAGTTTCTAGATATAGAACCGCCTAACTACAAAGAGTGTATATCCGACGTTCAACTAAAAGGACCTAACAGGTATATTTTAAAAAAAATCTTTGTTGAAGTAAAATAAGCCGTAACTGGAGGGGTAAGTCAATACATTGGATAAATGAGTGTTGCAGAAGTGATAGTCAAATTTATTATTAATAATTAAAAAAGAAATTTTATTTATATTTTTATAATAATTATGATTTATAAATATGAATATTTATTATTAATAATTTTATAAAAATTACTATATGTATTTATATTTTAATTTATTCTTATTTAATTGCGGTAATTCCTACAGCGCCGAAGAAATTTTACTTCAATCGCGCACAATTTTTTTTTATATGTTTTTAAAAGTAACTAATGCTATTAAAATTATGTTGTGGTAAAGAATAGGATGTGCAGATAATGGACTCGCCCGAAAATTCATCTATACATATAATAAAATTTTAACTGAGTCGAATCTGTACATTAAATATTTTTATTATTACAGAGGCCGAATCTATAGTTTTTAGAATTTTTGTCAGTCTGTCTGGCTGTGTGTGACCGCATCACGGAAAACCATTTGAGCGATTTTGATGATCAAATATAAACAAAATCCCTCCAGTGGTTTTTCATAACTTATAATTTTTGTTCTTTTAAAACAAGTAATATAAAAATATATAATTCCTTTACAAAGTCCATTGGAGTCGAGACTGCACAACTTAATGTATGCAAGTCGCGACAAGCTTGTGCAAGTGGAATCCAGCTCCGTCAATGGTGTGCTTCTGGACACCGAGCCCCAGGAAATATATGAAAGGTATCTGTTTTTTAAATGCTTTTCTTATTATTTTCTATGCAGAGTGGAAAGAATTTAGTTCGATCCATGTAAAATTCGAATCTGTGATATCTGGTGCAATGCCGGTCTGACACTACAATAAAGTTCTTTAAAATGAATGTGGAATCATTGATATACAAAAATTCATGATATATAATTAGTGTCTCAAAAGTGTCCTCAAAAAAAGCGCACAATTCGAAATAATGCGTTTTTATCAAATCTCTTTTATTCGTTGCCTTTTGGATGACAAAATTAAAACGCACGTTGTTTTGTTTAAAAATAAATATTTGTGGTGTGCGTAAGCTCGAATTTGTGTTTAGACAATTAGGACTTTCGATTTTTTTAATTTTATTCTTTGGAATGATTTGTCGACGCCACTTTTTGAAGGAATATTTGTTAGGAAATGTGTATCTATGTTTTTATGTGTGGAATATCAATGTGTGGAACATATTAAAAGGCTCGGACTAAGAAATCATATGAACAAGAGTGTCATAGAACTAAACATGAAGCCATGCAATATTTTTTTAAAATAGTACATACATCTATATAATCAATACTAAAATATTGGAAAATATTTACAGATCTAATATGTAGTAAGTACCGATTCGATCAGAGTTCGTGCGTCTATGTCTGTCGCCATTGTGTTCATTCCAATGTCAGAATAAACAAATATATTTTTGTATGTACAAGGTTGCTAGTGGCAGGGGATGTGGGACAGAACGAGATCGGCAGCAGGCTGACCCTGCGGCACACCACCCTCATGCCCAACATCCGAGGCCTGCCCGCCATACTCGCCTTGCTGTTTTGTCCTGAGTTTGTATATGTTTTAATATGATATTTTATGTTTACCTTTGTTTTTATGTTTTGTCAAGGTTATGTATATGGATCATAGTGATTCTGTGTTAAACAGTGGTTGTTTATGATACATGCTACATGGGGTCAAATAAGTTTCTTTAATTATTTTATGAGTTTATGGATTAACCCCCTTTGTGGTTTATATACGCAAACAAAAGTATCTCGAACAATATCCTGAATTAAGACTGTTCAATTTATTTAGACGTAATGACCTGTACTAGCATAGTATAAAAACACACACACACACATATATATATATATATATATATAAATACAAAATCCACATCCACACAAAACGTGATCGTACTCAATCAATCGTGTCGCCGCAGGGCCGAGCTGCGACGCAACAAGGCGTGCACGCGCTACGTGAGCGTGCTGTGCGGGCTGGGCGCCAACGCGCACCACGCGCCGCTCTTCCCCGAACACGACCTGCTTGTCAACGTGGACGCCGATCTAGACGTGAATGATATTGCTGCCGTGAGTCCTTACGTGTATAGTTTTATAAAACACTAGCGAGTACGTCCCTGTGCCTATGCGCTATTTCAGGTTATATACAGAGTGGACTTTTAGGCGGAGCAGTTAGGGCCGGTACCTTAACTCCTATAGTTACAGGAAAACGTTCCTAGGAGACCATAACTTTTTGAGATATGTACCCTGAATTACATACACATATTTTGGAAAATAATGTAGAGTCAGGTAAAAAAATGCTAAAAACCAAAAAAAAAATTTTATCTCAATCGATCCTATTTCTTGTAGGGATCACAACTCTCTATGAGACCATTTAAGGTATAAGTACTAGAAATGAGAGAAATCGCCAAAAACTTTTCCCATACATTTTGTAACTACGGAAAAACGATTAAGCAACTCGAAATATTCTTATAAAAGATATATCGTGTAAAAGAACTTATCAATGTGCATATTAATCTTTACGCTGCCTACTACCTATGATTTAGGTTTCTATAAAAAGAATAATATACATAAATTGAATAAATCACTAATACGAATAAGAATTTCGACATATCTCTTACATCTTCGGTAGTATAGTGGTAAGTATCCCCGCCTGTCACGCGGGAGACCGGGGTTCGATTCCCCGCCGGAGAGAACATTTTTTTATATTATATTCTTTTTATTTGTGTCAATATAAATATTTTTTTTATCATTTGATATATTTTAATAAATTATAAATATGATATTTTCTTTTTTACCTATTTATTAAAATGTGACTTATTATTTCCCAAAACAGGGGAAAGATATTACTTAAAATATTTCTTTAATGAAAACTAATAAAGAAGAGTGAAAATTAATTAACCTATCATCTTGCCACGGTTTCGCTCGTGTGATATTTATTTAATATTTTTTTTAAATGAAATGTGTTTTAGTTACAAAGATTAAAAATTGTAACAAAGATTTCAAACATATTTTTAATTAAATATCTAAATATGTTTAACCATAGGTTTCATTTTAATTTTTTATTACATAATAATAATGACATTTAATAATAATGTACAAAACAATAATATCATTTAGTCAATTTAGACATTGATGATTTTTAAATATATCTATATCTATACTTAATATTATAAAGAGGTAAAGTTTGTGATGTTGTAGGGGGTAATGTCAGGATCTACTGAACCGATTTAGATGTTTGGTAAGAAGATAGTTTGAGGCCCTGGGAAGGACATAGGATACTTTTTATCCCGGAAATCATCCCTTAAGAGGTTGAAAATGGGGATGAAAGTATGTATGGGGAAGCAAGCTAGGAACTACGAACCCGAGCTAAGCGAGGGTGCGTCGCTAGTAATAAATAAAATTAATAACTACATATGTTTGTTACAGATAAACCATATACGGTATTTATTGGACCACATGTTGTCGTGCGAAGACGGCGAGGACGTTCCTACTACAGATGACGAATTCAGAATTAATGTGCCAAAATTGATTCGTAACGATCTGTTACAGTAAGTATAGTTATTATTAGTCAGGAATAATATTTTATCAACAAAACATATGTATGATACTCGTGTTATAATAATCATATATCGTCATAATAATAATCATCATATTGTTTATTTTATTTAACAAAATATGTATAGCAAATATTTTTTTTAAACTATACTTGTTTTTGAAGAATAAAGTTTATTATTATTATAAAAGACTTTTTAGTAAAATATTGACTAATTACTTTTGGTCGATATATACTATGTATAATTCTTCTTTAGATATTTGTAGCATTGTATTTCTGGTATAATTGTTATAGAATTTATTAAAATATTATAATATATTAGTAATTAGTATATTTAGTATTTAGGGATATATTTTTTTAATATTTTATGTACTTACTTTTCTATACCTATGTATATAATATAGTCTATCTATTCCATAATAACCGTTACAACGGACCTAGAGACGAACCCGAGCAAAGCAAGGACGGGTTGCTAGTTTATAATGTTACAGTAGACAGACAGTAGTTTGAAGTAATTACGAATAAACAAATACAACTAAAAACTTAGACTGCTGAAGCGTCGCCGCAAGCACCGCGAGCCGGAGAGCGTGGTGGGTGCGTGGGAGTGGGGCACGGCGCCGGCCGACGAGCTGCTGGAGGTGGACGCCGCCACGCTGCCGCGCCGCCCGCTGCTGTACGTGCTGCACGCGCCGCTCGACCTGCGCGCCGCCGACCGCGATCTGCTGCTGCAGCTCAAGCGGGACGTGGACGAGCTGCGCCTCGTCGTCGCCAGGTGACGCGCGCGCACACGCGTACTCCCACAAGTAGACACATATACATACACACATGCAGGGTCAAATGCTACTATGCCGTCATCTCCTGTTATACTTGAAGAGATGTTGATCTGCGCTATTGTCAGCAAGTGACATTATATGGTATACGCTCACATGCGAACATACACTTACTCTCATATCACTTACATATACGCATACATACAGACATATTTTAACACATATATGTAAGCGATAAATCTACATATATTTCAGATATGTTTGAATTGAAGACTTAACATGTTTTTTTTATTTGTGTAATGACATAACAAGCTCATATAAAACTAACACAAGAATTAATAACTTTTAATTTATAAACATGCTAATACGATAAATAACAACCAATATATAATTCCATAGGACGTCAATATCCTCTACGGTAAATTTAGTGTGCAAGTTGTGCGGGACACCGCCCATGCCCACGCACGCCATGCGCATACACCTGTGCTCTAACTCACACCAGGAGAAGGAAGAGGAAGATTTCCGCGTGCTGCAGTCATAAATGTTTAAAAACTACTCAAAATACCATCGTCATCAGCAAGGAACAATATTATAACTTACAATTAGTATGTCATAGAACTAAGAATGGTAATTAATTAATTGCCATTTTATACTTTCTTAATTTTACGGTCTTTTCGGTTTTTTTCGCGTATTTATTTTGCTTTTTGGTTCCCGACGTTTCGAATGCTTTACAGCAATTATGGTGACGAGAGAGACTGAGATCTTAGAAGTCTCAGAAATCATTATATACTTTTCACAGACAGTGCCCGCCTACCTATAAATGATTGCTGTAAAGTATTCGAAACGTCGAGAGCCAAAAATTAAAATAAATCTGCAAAAAAATCCGAAAAGATAAGTTTGAGTATTAGAAGTTTAATGTAATTGCCATTTCTCATTTGCTTTGAAGAATAAATTGCAATTTGGTTCCATGCATTTTTTTTGGCTACGATCAAATAGAGACGAGAAAATATAGACGATGTTGAATTTATAGTCGTGTAATGTGATTTTTCGAATTATTTTTTCGTACTTTAAAGTTTTAGTTTTACAATAACTTTGTATGATGATTATTGATTTTGAGTGATAGGAACCAAAAATTATACTGTTCCCTATAATATGTTGGAATCTTATAAAAATCTTGTATAGTGTAATGAAGAAACACTAGATAAAAGTATAGTTAAATATGATTAAATATAAGGACTTATATTTGTTGTATTCACCCAATGAATGCAAATATCACATGTAAATAAAACAAATTGTTTTATGTACGACTACTATAATTAAAAGGATTACAAATTTAGAAATACAGTAAGAGAAATGAAATATTAGTGTACCACAGTACAAAATATACCCTCTGTGAATCTTCTAGCAAATGGGTGATATTTGTCATTTGAATTTAGTTTTGTACTAAAAACGTTGATTTAAGCTTAAATATTATGTTTATTTAATAATGACCGTAATATGAGGTACTTCCAGTATCAGAAAATATTTTTTTGTAGCTTATGACAACTTGTGACGTGACAATATTCAGATATTTTTCTATCTGATTCTTTTTGTGTAGAACTTTTGTTTTTTTAGATTTGTTATTCTAATCATATATCGGTCTGCATCAGCGTATTGACTTAAATGATTTGTTAAGAAAATAAAGTTTTTGTTCAATATTGATTTGTTTCATTTGCTCTGTAAAGGCGTATATACTTAATATTTTTATTTTTAAAATGTCTGACGATAAAAGCCATGATCTATTTGGATTTAAAAATTAGGCGAATATAGATTACTGATGACTTTTTACTAAATGCATATGAAATTATCATGGACGAATTAGAGACAATTCGTTCATGGAAATTATATACGGTATTTATAAAAAAAAACATATTCCCAAGGAGGGTTGACGTCAGGCAGGCGGCCGGTCGTAAAACTTTTGCCAAATCCTATCAGCAGTACACTGAAGATGTACTGCGCCGACCCCAAGTGATTTGGGAAATGGGCAGGGCGAAGAAGAAGAAGAAGATTTATAAAAAAAAACAATTTTTAAAAATTTTGTTGATCTGCACACCATTCTGGCTAATCGGATGGAGTGATTTTAACGGGTTTTAACAACAGACTTAACAGATAGACAGACAGAGTAGTTTAGGCTACTTAAATTTTAGAAAAGAAGGGAACCCTCAATAAAATTAAAACGTACCTACCGAAGGGACGAAACCGATTGAAGGAAGGGTAGGTCGCTAGTTTAGTACAAATATAACTACAACAAACTATCAACCGAAAAATGTTGCAAGGGCTATTGTACACCCATGTTAATGTCCCACTGCTGTGCACGTGCCTCACTTCTAAACGAGGGCCATAGTCCACCACGCTGGCTGAGTGCGGGTTGGCGGATTTTACAGGGTTTTCAAATACTTGTTAGGTTCTGTCAGACATGTTTTCCTCACGATATTGTCCTCCACCACTTACGGTTTAGGCCTTAGCTAATGACCAACAGGGGAATAGCATAGGTGCAAGACCTGACATTTGAACCCGCTCCACTTGGTTCTTATTACTGGGCTAACACTGCTCTTTCTAGGGCTATATTTCTACGTGTCTTGTTATTCTTTGTAAAATGATATATCTATTCCATATGTGCTTATAAAAATTGTTTGTCTACATCTGTTTTAAAATTTGATAACAATGTATCTGTAACAGTATTGATAAAAATATTTGCCTGAATAGTTTTCCAAAAAATAAGAAGAAACAAATTTAGATGTATTTTAAAAGTAAAATACTTAATAACAATATTAATTAGAAACATAATTTGCTAATACGTAAGTAATAATAATTAATAAGTTATTCATAACATTAAAAGTTAATAGTGTTAAACATTCGAGTCACGAGATCAATAGTACCGTGGTCTTCTAATTTCCATGTTTTCCTTAAAGAAAATCTGTGCGGTAAGTACCCTAAATGGATTTGTTTGTATGAACCATAAAGTAAAAGTTATTTAATAAAGTGGTAAGACCAGTTTTTGTCTTCCGAGTCGTGAGATAGACGGGCAGTAGACGTACAGGTGCACTCGATAACAAGACGTCGAATTCGCTAAATGTGTGTTATGTGATAGATATAATAAATAAAACAAACATGTGGAAAACTCAAGAAGATTTAGAATTAGTTCTCAAGTAAGTAGCTATAACATGTCATTATTAGTGTCTAGCAGTAGAATTTTTAAATACCACTTCAAAACACTATAATCATTTTTGCTATAATATTATATTTTTATTATAAAATAGAAGCGTACTATCCTTATAGGTATTTTAGGTGTATTCAGTATTTAATATTGCCGGTAGGATAGTGACCTTGAAAATTTCAAGCATGAGTTTCATTTGGCAAAAAAATATATTTTGTACATTGGAAAAAATTAAAAAACTTGACTCAGACTATTTTGATTGTGTAAAATATCTTAAGTATAATATATTAAAGTCAGAAGTTAGGAACATAATGGTCTAATAGGTTATGCATATTTATGTATTCTAACGTTTTTTTAATCTCTGCTTTAAGTTCAACATTATATTAAGTAGCCTGTACGTAAAATCAGAACATGGAATATATTATGTATATATTATACGAGCAATTATTAAACTATATGTACATATAATATACCTACCGACCCAACCAATATTATTTATTTAGAATGTTTATTTAACGCGCACCCTTATTGTATATTTATTTGTTAGATTTATACTAGATTTTTTAAAAGGATTAAATTCTAAAATTTTAAAATTTAAAATATTATTCCCGGTCTTACAAGCTTTCGCTGGCGTTAAGTTTGGTGGTTGCAGACTGAATACATACGACATATTATGAGCTAAGTCGAATGCTGTAATTTCATACTTCATATTACAATAAATAAAACTCTTCATATTGTATATTATTATGTGACAAAACTTAAAATTGCGAAATGTGCGTTTGTTTCTTTGACCTTTTTTGCGGGAAGGGGCACGAATTGCACGTATTTTTGCATAATATAGGTAGTTGGTAGGTATATAATAGACAGACGCAAATAACGCCCCCTTTTTATACCGGTAGGTAAGTAGTTACTGCAGAATTAGTTTATTTGAAAACAAAAAACGTATCTAAGAGAAGCAAGCATGATAATTTAATAAAAATCCTAATAATTGAGAACTTAGCTTACACACTTATACCTACATCTAGCTTGTAGATTTCTGCTAACTTTTTATGTAGGTAGACTGTAGAGTTCAACTAATGTGCTATAAAATATAAATGAGTAGGTATATCAGGTATTCAATTATTATTATTTTTTTACGATAATTTTAAGTATGTCGGTAAAAAAATATCAATGTATAAAGAATATAGGTAAGCTTTATGCATTCGAAATTTCATTTCACTCAAATCCTTTGAGCTGTGAGGAAGTCACGCTCATGAACATTCAAATTAGGCTTAGCCATTGTTTTTTAAATTAACTACAATTAAAAAAGTATTAAAAGTTTTTAATTGTGATATTGACTGATATTTAGACGCTGGCCCACTGGACACAGAGTCACGTAGCTTCAGTTCAGCATCACATAAATATAGCTTCATCTTATAATACATATAAGAATGTTTATTGTATAGTAAAGCAATAAAACATCCCACGAATATAATAAATACGAAAGTTTGGATGGATGGATGTTTGTTATTCAATCACGCCAGAACGGATCTGGATAAACTTTGGGGTCCCTGATTCAAGAGGGCCCCAGCGGGCCACAAACGATTATTTTAATTTAAAACATATTTTCGAGGACGGCCCTCATAGAATTTTAAAAGAAACTGCAAGAAAGAGAAACCGCAAAAAAAACCTTAAACAAATGAAATCTAGCAGCCCTCATTTTTTTTATGTCACCTTGAGAACACTTGGACTATTAAGACGAATCTAACGATACCTTAATTAAAGAAATCCATCGAGTGGTTTGGAAGATATGAGGGAATAAAGAATATTGCAAACATAAAAATAGGCACGAAAAACATAACACTTTTTTTGCAGTCGGATAAAAAATGTTTTTAATTTCCGCATATGTATCTATTACTTTTTACGAGGACCGCGAAGAATGTGATCGTACCTACCAATGTTCTATAAAACGATGAATGGTCCTCTAAGCTCAGCTTTTTTATTAAATTTTACTCTGCGCGTTCTCCCGTGAGAGCGGTTTGATAAAAGTGAGAAGTTCGAAAATTGTCTCTGTCATATTTAAGTAGATATTATAAGAGTGCGACAAGGCTTCCGCTGGTGTTTTTTTATACTTATTTGATGTCGAGCCACTAACGTGGATCTTAATAGTAGAATGAACTATATTTCATCGATCTTCTTATCTGGTATTAGGTATTGCTACATTTTTAATATAATATGTTTTTATAGCAACTGATTACTAATCATGAGTTCTTCATCATGATGAATTTAAAAAAGAAATGGGGATTAATTCATTTTTATTGAAATTAACTTAATGATTATCTTTCACTACCTCAGTCTGTATATAATGATTGTGTTGTGTATAAAACATAACTTGAGTTAAAAAAAGAATAACAATTTCTGTTTTTATTCATTTATAATAAAACCCAGCTTTCAGCCTTCAGGTGTCTATTGCCGACTAGCCGACTTCTCGGTCAAAGCTCGGCAGTCCACACTCATTTTCATAATAGACAAAGGGGGGCGGGCACTTCCATTTTTTTTGCATTGGGGCCCAAAAATGCTCGTTACGCCACTAAAGATATTATTATAACGATCACCGTTAGCTTGTCCTGGATGAGACTTGAATCCGCGTCCTCTAGCGTAGATGCTACAAGATATCATATCTACGCTTCTTAAAAAAGAAGCTCCTTGTTTCATATATTTGTTTACAAATTTAATTATTTAATAGTTCGAGTAATTAGCGTAATAGAATCTTTAACAATATCGACTGATAAAAATATTTATCTAATAGTCTCAAGTTAAAAGCAACAGAAACCAGTCACATTAGGATTATTCGTCAGTCTATTTTTTTTTAGAAAATTTTGTATTACTAGAATTTCATATCTATAACAAAATAACGTAGTTCTTTAATTAAATATTATACATTGTGATTGTTATGAAAAAATAATTTTAGCTTGAGCTTTGATAAGACTTTACGCAGCTATTTAGAAGGAGAGAAAAATGGTTTTGAACTATATTCGTACGTTACGTAGATCTATACATGTACAAATAAAGAATGCAAAATTTTTTTGCGAAGAATGTCTGCGGTAAGTTTTTACAATAACTATGATTAATTAGTAAAGCGAAGTACTATTTGATAAGTTTTTTATAATCTCTTAGAATGCACTACAGTTTTAATATGAATAGGTATGTATATACATATATTATAGTAGGTACATTGGATGTATTTGATATTATCTTCCGTGGGTTATCGTAGGTTGTGAATGAGAAGAGCGAGTTTTTGTTAGCAATTTTAGTGGTTATCGCGTCTTCTGTCAGTCCACTTGTTATTATGGCGGCACAAGTGATTTCCGGGACTCAAATCGCTCGGTATGGATATCTGCCTTTAATTATGTCTTAAATTTATTTTCCATAATATAGGATACTACAATATTTACACCGTATTGTCTTTGTTTTACAAAAATATATAAATGCTGGTATAATCTCTTAATAATTATAAATATTCTTTGTATTTCGAAATAGATCTTGTTTTTTTTTAATTTATTTATAGAAAATTACAGGTAATTTTAAAATGGTATTTTTTTACAAATAGATTTTTAACAGAAAAATTTATTAGTATCAGATTCGCGGACGAAAACTAATTAATTACATAATACAAATATTTACTGTCATAAAATGCCGACTTATCAGGTGTTCATTGAAAAATAAGTTTGTACATTTATATCTATTTAAACGCATAATGAAACCCTTGAATTAAAAGTACCTACATGTTTTTTACTAACTATAAAATGTTAAAAATATTAATATTTATCTACTATTATTTATAATACTAGATCAATCGAGAATGATCTCCGAGAGCAAGTTTCGGAAATGCGGCAAAAGAGCCCAGGGTTTCAGCCGAGGCTTGCCATCGTGCAGGTCGGGGGCCGAGAGGACTCCAACGTGTACATCCGTATGAAGCTAAAGGCTGCCGACAACATCGGGATCTACGCTGAGCATATTAAACTACCAAGGGAATGCAATCAAAATGAGGTATATTAAACATTAGTTTTCAATAAAATTAATAATAACTAAGGTACTGTTTTAAAAAGTCCAATAAACTAAGCATTGAAATTGAAGTTGACAGAATCTTTTAAGATTGTTGTCAACCCCTGTCGATACACCATTTGATATGACAACTAATTTGATTTGATACACCCCGATTGATATGTCGTAAATATCTGTCGAAATAAATCAATACGCCTTAGAGTGTTAGTTAGGTTTTTTTTTAATTATTATAGATATACTCACGTATTTTTGATTACTCTATTGTAATCGAAAGCTTACCTATGCATGTACAATGTAACGAATATTGGACTTAATAATATTATATTTTCTTCTTGTTTTTACTATGCTTAACAATTTCGAAACCACAGAATATTCAATCAGTGAAATACAAATTTTTGAGATTAATTTGAGTCGGCAAAAGTGGAGCGTAAAATGTTTAAATTGATACCTGATAAAGAATTTTTGTTACGAAATATTTATAAAACCACCCTCTAGGCAGACATTATTGAAGGCATTAATAAAAAATTCTTTAAATTAGAAATCTCACAGAAAATATACCCAAGACCGTTACGTCATATTATACCTACTTCAGGGATATTATTTAACTGGTGTACCTACCTAATTACAATTACACACATCTGTGACAGTTTTAATTACGTTTGGAGTATATTTTTTATTACCTAGCAGAATATTTTATTTGCCCATATAAAATTGCTTATGTATAATTATTACATTAGAAAGAAATGAAAAAGTTTAAAGAGTTTTGATTATATAGAAGTTTTTTAGAAATTTATTTATATTCGCCTTTACCGATTTGGTAAAAATATTAGTAAAAAATAAATAGTAATTACATACATAATAAAAGTACATAAATTAAAAAATGTACATGATACGTATCGTGAATTTCTATTTTCTTATAAAATGTATTGACGTAAACAAAATTTACGATGTTGTCAAGTAGCTGTGATACCCCTGTCCCCTGGCATCTGACCTCCACCTATGTGATACAATTACGTGATATGGTATTGAAATTTGTTGTCTTCATATTATGATGTAATTCACCATTTATTCTTACTACAAACGAACATTCTTTATTCATATTTTTTCGATTTTCTTCGCGGTTTTATTTTAATTTCTAGTTTCCAACGTTTCGACTGCTTTGCAAATATAGGCTATAGCCACAGGAGATAAAGGTCTTTGATGGGTCAAAAGTATACAAGATGGTGTCTAACCTAACGACGAAAAAATAATTTTATTCAAAATATGAATATTCCTAAATCTAAGAAAGTATTATTTTAATGTTATTTATTTATATTAAAATGAAGAAGAAAAAATTTGACAACGTCAATACAAAATTTATTGTGTAATCGAAATTTATTTTAAAATATACCCAAAAATAACATTAATAATTGAATTAATAGTATAAAAAATGTTTTAAAACACAACAAAATCGAAAGTGCATAATATTTAACACCATTCAGACAAAGAAAGACAATAGCATTCCCAAGGAGGGTTGACGTCAGGCAGGCGGCCGGTCGTAAAACTTTTGCCAAATCCTATCAGCAGTACACTGAAGATGTACTGCGCCGACCCCAAGTGATTTGGGAAATGGGCAGGGAGAAGAAGAAGAAGAAGAAAATGAAGATGAAAATTTCAAAACGAAGTGCCCTCATAGGAAACTATATCTTTTATTCTACACAATTTACCTTTTTTGTAAATAAAATTATTCATATATTTGAAAATATTTGTTGCTGATACTCTCATGTGTATTGTCCACAGCTGCTCACACGGCTTGGCGAACTCAACGACTCACCGTTGGTGCACGGCATCATCGTGCAGATGCCGCCGGACTCCGCGCACCCCATAGACGCTCACCTAATTACCGACGCTGTTTCGCCACATAAAGACGTCGATGGGTATGGTTTACAGTTGAATATTGAAGTAAAATTAGGTTTTCTAAAAAGAGTAATTAATCGAAACACTATAAAATTAATTTCCCTATGTTATTATTTTATAAACTAAAAAGGCGTTAAAGAGGATAAGCACTGCCACAATTTTTTCATTTAGTTTTTCGGTAAATAATATTTTTAGTTAATAAATAAAAGTAGATGATCAATTAATAATCTTTTATTACCTAATTAAAAATAAGTACTAATTTATATTATTTTTAATTAGTGAAACCGTATAAATTCAGAAACCTGACAAATTAAAACATTTTTCTGCTTGGTGTGTAGTCTGAACACTAACAATGAAGGGCGAGTCGCGCTTGGAGATATGTCAGGCTTTGTACCTTGCACTCCGGCCGGCTGCATAGAGCTCATCAAGAGTACTGGAGTGACTATTGCTGGCAAAAATGCCGTAGTGCTTGGAAGAAGTCGTATTGTGGGTACACCCGTTGCAGAACTCCTGAAATGGGAGCACGCTACAGTCACTGTATGCCATTCGAAGACCAAAAACTTAAGCGAAATTGTGAGTTAAGTACCTGAGTTAAAGGAAATTTAATTTAATTTGTAAGAATTTGTTTATTAAAATGCATTATAAATTTTACTTAGATTGATGCCTAAGTAATGAGTTTTGTATCTTTAGTACTTTATTTCTATTTTACATACGCTATTAGACGACGAAAAAAAAATTTAACATAATCGTTAACTAATTCATAAAAATATATTTAAGCGCGAATCGGACTCACATAATGGTGGGTTCCGTGTCGATTTCGGATTTTCCATAAAGAGTTTTAGCTAACAATCAACAAGATCTTCTATTCCGTTCTATTCTTTCAATATCTCTAAAAGTAAGCGTTTTTAAATTTTTTTCAACTAAGTATTTTCTTGATACCTATAAACAACTTCCAGAATTAAAATTCGTTTATTTACGGTATATCGGGATTTAGGTTATTCATATTTTCCGTGAAGTACCTAGGTTTGCAGAAAATAAAATGCTACGGACGGACAAAAAGACAGACACACGATACACTCAACAGCATTCTATTTAGGAAAATTCATTCGTAGGAACGGAACCCTAAATTATGTCATGGTAGCAATTTAATGATAAGCAGTGTATTGAGTATATAGTGGTTACAGTACAAATGATTTTTTAAAAACCAGTTAAACAGTATCTATAAAGTCAACAGTCCATGTTTTAAGTAACTTAAAATTAATTTGTTACTTTTATATGTAAGACTTTAAATTAACTTTGTGTTTCAGACAAAAACTGCCGATATATTAGTAGTAGCAATAGGCAAACCCGAGCTGGTACGAGGCTCGTGGATCAAGCCAGGCGCTGTCGTGATTGACTGCGGTATAAATGCTATCCCTGGTAAGTTCACGTTATGTTAATTTTTTAAGGTAAACCCTCACTACCGACTGCATTGCAAGTGTCTGTGCCACATAAAGACAGGATCTTAAATTACTTGTTTACAAAATAATTAATTCCCACAATAAGATAATGAACGATCGATGTGTGTAGTTCGCTATATCGGTTTTACTTACGTGTTGAAAAGTGACAATTTGTAATGGGTTTTTAGTATTCATGATAAAGTAAGTATAACTTTTTAGTTTATAACAATAATAACGTACGGAAATTAATTTTATAGTGTTTTAGTATTAGTTACTCTTTTTAGAAAAGTCAATTTTACTTTAATATTATTCAAATGTAAACCATACCCATCGACGTCTTACAAAATTTATTGTGTAATCGAAATTTATTTTAAAATATATCCAAAAATAACATTAATAATTGAATTAATAGTATAAAAAATGTTTTAAAGCACAACAAAATCGAAAGTGCATAATATTTAACACCATTCAGACAAAGAAAGACAATAGCATTCCCAAGGAGGGTTGACGTCAGGCAGGCGGCTGGTCGTAAAACTTTTGCCAAATCCTATCAGCAGTACACTGAAGATGTACTGCGCCGACCCCAAGTGATTTGGGAAATGGGCAGGGAGAAGAAGAGTATTCATGATAATTTACAATGTATTAAGTATTATAATCACATGTCGCCAGTGTTAGGTAGTGTCAGTTAGGAGTTTTAAAATAAATAGAAAAAAAATTATACATCAGCGAAGTTAATTATAAATAAGTAGTTGGTGGTGCTATACAACATATTGTGAGTTAACATTGCAATTATTCTAAAGTCTAGGGTTTTAGACATACCTATACGTAAAGATGCGCGTATCGTATATATGTTTTTTTGTAATGGATAAACTAAAAATCCGCTGAACCGATTTAGATGTAATTTGGTATAGAGATAGTTTGACACCCTGAGATGGACATATCTTATGGACATATTTTATCCTAGAAATCATAGTAAAAAGGGGTGAAAAGGGATGCGAAAATTTGTATGGGGAATCAATCATTTCAAGTAAGGGGTATTAAACTCCTCATACCTATGTATGTTTGTATATAGTCTATCTATTCCAGACTTAGTGTCGAAACGCACTTAGGGACGGACCCGAGCGAAGCGAGTGTAAGTCGCTAGTAGGTATCTATATTATGTGATAAAATGTGTGTATGTTTGTTACTCCTTCATGCTGAAACGGTTCGATGGATTTGGATGAAGTACAGTGGTAGATTATGGAGTATCACATGGCTACTATTTGGCACCTAAGGACGCACCCGCGTGTAGGGTAACTCGCTAGTCTAATTTATTAACAATAGGTACTTAGTTATAAATATAAACTTAAATTCTAGATTCATCAAAAGCTAGTGGACAACGTTTAGTGGGAGACGTGGCATACTCGGAGGCGGCTCAGGTCGCCAGCCACGTGACGCCGGTGCCGGGCGGCGTGGGCCCCATGACGGTGGCCATGCTCATGCGCAACACCGTGCTGGCGGCGCGCCGGCAGTTCGACCGTCTCACCAGCCCGAGCTGGCCTTTGCAGGCCTTGCATTTGAACACATTGACACCTGTACCTAGGTACTATACCTATTTAAACACGTCATTAAAGATCTTTTGCATGATGTTTCGTTTTTTATCGCTCTTCTCTCTCCTTGCTATCGAGCTAGTAGGTGTGAGAGGACGGATTGCTATAACGTTATGGTTTTTTATTACATATTGACAATCTTGATAAATAGGTATATTGATTTTTCTTAATTTAAAAATATTTTTATCTATAGGTAGTTATATCATTGGAATTATAATTGTAATATATTATATTTCAGTGATATAGTGATTGCGCGCTCTCAAAAACCTAAGCATATCACACAGCTGGCTAAGGAAATTGGATTATCCCCGAACGAAGTATCGCAATATGGCAACACTAAGGCAAAAATATCTCTGTCCGTACTAGATCGCTTGAAAGATCAACCCAGTGGAAAATATATAGTAGTTGCAGGGTAAGTATTTTATTTATAAGTATATTATTCGATGAACTTCTACTCGTAAGGAAAATGATCCATATATTTTAAAATATTCATTACCTATGCATTCTTTAATTTGAAAAGATGTTTTAAATATTATTGTGCTAATTATGGTCAGGGGCTATTTGGCTGACTAACCGACGTAAATGTAAAAACTTAAAGAAGATCAACCATTTCTTACTATAATCATCCGAATGTATTAGTAGCACCATGGCAACCAAGCTTCGCTCGGCAATTTTAAAGTTTTTTTTCTGTAACGACATCTACTCCTATATACCTAGATCAATTTTACAAGTAAAACCTTATCTAAATACAAAGTTTAATCCAGATCATTAGAGCCATAGTTAACTGAAAAGCAATATTAAATAATAACATATCCAAACAGTATAACACCCACACCGCTAGGCGAGGGCAAGAGTACGACGCTCCTCGGCCTCGTGCAGGCGCTGGGCGCGCACCGCGGCCGCAACGCCTTCGCCTGCATGCGCCAGCCTAGCCAGGGGCCCACCTTCGGGGTGAAGGGAGGGGCGGCTGGTGGTGGTTACTCGCAGGTATCTTGTCAAATCGATATTATGATACTCAGATTTCATATTACTATTTAATATGTAATTATTGTAAAAAAGAATAGGTGTCGGATTATATCATTGAATGTTTTGTGTAGAAGAGATGGTTGTGTTGATCATTCAAGACAAGTTTTTGAAATTTTTGTTTAATTTTATTTAATCACATTATGGAAAACAAGTGATTATGATAGATTTTTCTTTATTATTCACGTAATTATTTGAGTTAAAAATATATCTAATTAATATTAATGAACTTATAAGTTTTACTTATACTGTATGTGTAATTTAGTATGACGCAAGTCTTATAGTCTCTTATAGTCTTATAGTTTTAATTCTTATTAGTTTTTCATTTGAAAGAATTTATTAATTGTTCGAAAACCGTTAATAACGTTAACTAAAAACATAAATATTCTAGTATATAACTTAATGAATTATTTCAAACAGGTAATTCCTATGGAAGACTTCAATCTACATCTTACGGGTGATATCCACGCAGTTACCGCTGCAAACAATCTTTTGGCAGCGCAAATGGACGCTAGAATCTTCCACGAACTAACACAAAAAGACGGTCCTTTATACGATCGCTTAGTACCAAAGATAAAAGGAGTCAGAAAATTCTCCCCCATACAGTTGAGAAGGCTCAACAGATTGGGTATTAACAAGACTGATCCTGACGCGTTAACTCCGGAAGAAAGAACTAAATTTGCCAGACTAAATATCGACATTAAGAACATTATGTGGAACAGAGGTAATAATTAGTTGATGAAAATTGCAATTATTTACCTTAAGCAAACATTTTATATGTATGGTTATTTTTCAGTGGTGGATCTTAATGATAGGTATTTACGTAAAATTACAATCGGTCAGTCACCAACGGAAAAAGGTTTCACGCGCGAGACGAGCTTCGATATCTCTGTGGCTTCGGAGATTATGGCTGTGTTGGCTCTCGGCAAAGATATAGATGACATCAAAGAAAGGCTCGCTAACATGGTTGTTGCATTGGACACAAGCGGCAATCCTGTCACAGCTGACGATTTGGTAAGCTGATGATATGGTAAGACTACCTTAGTAAAAAATATATTCAAAATTGATTTAATATTACGAGAAAAAATATTTTTCGTTCTTTTCTAATAATAATGCCTATAATAATATAATATTTTTTTTGCGTAACAGGGTATTACTGGAGCTTTATTAGTGCTTCTAAAGGACGCATTTGAACCAACGTTGATGCAATCATTAGAGGGAACACCTGTTCTGGTACACACTGGGCCTTTTGCTAACATCGCGCACGGCTGCTCATCCATCTTGGCTGACAAGATTGCAATGAAGTTGGCTCGCAAAGATGGATATGTTGCTACGGAAGCTGGTTTCGGATCTGATATTGGTATGAATTAAGTTTCGACACTATTATTTTATTATAAAGTTTTTAACAATAATAATCGGCATATTAAAAGTTACTTTAACTCTGCTTGGAACGCTTTCCTTATTTATACATCTTAATTATATAAGCATATTTAACGTATCCTGACATCGGTTTTAAATCTATCTGGGGCTATGACTCTATTTGAGTATATTTAAGTAGCGTGCCGCTCTGAAACTTGGCTTCTCAAAATCTGCGAACCGAATGTTAGTCATTCTCGCATTTTTAAAGCATTATAGTTATTATACGGATATATTCCTTATTTTGACTCGCATCCTATTTTAGGTATGGAAAAATTCTTTGATATTAAGTGCAGAGCGAGCGGTGACACCCCGCACTGTGCGGTCATCGTGAGCACGGTACGAGCACTCAAGATGCACGGTGGCGGGCCCACCGTCAGTCCGGGGCTTCCCCTAAATGAGGTTTACTTGAAGGTAACTAACAGCTCAAACTTTGCTGAAATATATTATACGCTTTTCTCTTCAAGCCAATTTAAAACACGAATTAAAATTATAGGAAAATTTGGAGCTATTGAACAAAGGCTTATGCAACTTAGGCAAGCATATTAGCAATGGCAATAAATTCGGAGTTCCCGTGGTTATCGCCATTAACAGACATGGGTGAGACTCATTTTTTTTTGGTGATTAATTCTGGTCGACATTGGCATATTGGATCTTCTTAGGACGGAGGCATATTTTTGAACTGGTAGACTTACAATGTACCTACAGTATAAATATTGTAACAATTTAATGCCGATTTTTTTCATTTTGAATTTTTGAAAAACGTACTCAAGTAACACGCCTATATACTATAAAAAAAGAAAAGAACTAATATTCTTTAAAATAGTGTTAAAGAAATTATAAAAAAATATTTTTACTCCATAGAAATGATACAGAGGCAGAACTGAACATGGTCAAGGAATACGCTTTAAAGAATGGCGCCTTTAGAGCGGTTGTATGCAACCATTGGGCTAAGGGAGGCGAGGGTGCATTAGATCTGGCGGACGCGGTCATCGCGGCTTGTGATAAACCCTCTAACTTCGAATTCTTGTACCCCCTGAGCATGCCGCTTCAGGATAAGATACAGAAGATCGCTACAGAAATGTATGGCGCTGGATATGTAGAATACACTGATGAAGTTTTGGAGAAAATGAAAGGATTTACTCAAAAAGTAAGTACTTATATATAATACAGCTAGTTAAAATTAGTATGAATGTGCAACAAATTATCACAACCGTCACATATGTAACTGCATTGTCGTTTTGTTGTTTGTAGTTTTCGTGGTCTGTATAACAGAAAAGAATCAAATATGGTATTTAGTATGTTTTTATAAATATGTAACGTTAACTGCTATTTTTATACAGGGTTACGATAAATTAGCAGTATGCATGGCTAAGACATCGAACTCGCTCACCGGAGACCCGAGTGTGAAGGGCGCTCCAACAGGCTTCACTTTACGCATCAACGACATTTTCGTATCAGTTGGCGCCGGCTTCGTTGTCCCGATGGTGGGAGAGATATCTAAAATGCCGGGACTTCCCACTCGCCCTAGCATCTACGATATAGATCTAGATACCAAAACTGGTGAAATTAAAGGGCTCTTCTAAATGTGGTCTTATTTAAATTTATACGTTATTGTTTGTTATTTCATGTTTACACTTTTTGTTTTTAACTTTCAAGACATATCAAATAAAACCGTTAATTATCTTTTTAAATAAACGAATGAAGAGGCGTGATTGTTTTGTTACTCCCTTGCAAACTGCAAACTTCCCTATCTTCTAAAGCTTTACAGATTACCGTTTTGTTGCTTATTCTGATTTTTCAATTTTTTTAACTTTTAACTTTAAAATACGCATATTTAAACATAAACAAAGATTTTATTATAAACATTAGTTAAAACTAACATATTAATTAGTCGTATAAATCATATAAAATAAATATCTTACGTCTTTATATATAGCAAAGTGTCTGGAGTTTGGTTTTACCTAATTTTGATATGATATATGCGAACAGACATAGATTTCCCTATAAGACTAGGTTGACATTTTTTAAAAGATTTTTAAGCAATAATGACTTACAAAAATAGAATTCAATTTTTGGGGTGGATTTCGTCTACAGTTATGATATGTAGATATGTTCTCAAATTCCAGAATTCCATTTACACTGTTATCTCTTCACGAACAAATGAAAAATAGTTCAAGTAAATGTCAATAGATGGCATTATACATGTCGATTTGTTATAAAGGCTTGCGCAAAATTAAGTTCATGAATTTATAGTAGATATTCACAGATGGCGTTGTAAGTTATACTTTAATAAGTTAATGGGGAAGGACTTTGAGGCTATATTAAATTCATTTTAAGATCACTTAATCGAAAAAACTGATCAAGATTTTATAAAAAAAATATAGTTTGAAAGAAATAAATAAAAAAATATATATTGTTTACAAAGTATTTATTTTCCTTACAAATAATCTACATAGAAACACAATAGTTACTTCATTAAAACACATTGTTGCTCAAGATAAAAATAGGCTATTAAAAACAATTCGCTGCTATGAGATAAATTCTTGGGAAAAATAAATTGTAACGTACCTTTACATAATACTTTAATAACATTTTTAGTAATTTATTAGGGGATTTATTAGAGTCAAGACTATCGAAAATCCAGGAAAGAAAATGGGAACAAACATATCAATGTCAATAACTTCAGTAGTTAGATAATTTTAGAAAACGTTATTTTTAAGATTTGTTTATTAAAAATAATTTATTCTAAAATTTCAGCGGCAAAAAGTGTAATGTGCCATCCATCCATCAATTATACAGAACAGGTGTTAACAAGTTTCATCAAAGGTGTTTCATCAATCAGAATATTCTCATATTCTGAAACTATCTCCCAAACATCATACTAATGTCGATAAACTCCTTGACGATACGCGTGTTGAAACTATATAAACTTTAATTAAATCAATAAGGAACTTACAAAAACACGTTTGACTATCGTTACAGTAAAGAATTGAATTAAGTTATAAGAATGATTGTCAGTAAAATTTTGATTTTTTTTCATCAGCTTTTAACGCTCCTCTTAACCTATTTTAATTTATTTTTATTATACGAATCATTGGTCAGGTTCCTCCACTTCGTTGACGATCTCGGTGGGCTGGAAGTCTTCGTCGTCGCTATCGTGCGCGGCGCCGGGGTGCGCCGGCACGAAGTGCTGCGGCTCCTTGTGCACGAACGTGCCCGGCGCGCTCCACGTGCTCTTGCTCTTCTGTTGAATAAATTTTCAATTCAATTCTTATACTAGCACAACCCGCGGCTTCGCTCGCGTTTTCGATGTTTTCCTTCACCGTAAGACAAGTGGTAATAATCACGTTGGAAATGATTTGCACATGAAAATATCCAGGGCGCGAGCCGGGATTTGAATCCGTTTCACTCGTTTTCTCAAGCGAACACGTTATCACTGGGCTACCACTGCTACATTTATTTAGTACTAGCAGTACCCGCATTCAAACTTTTGATCACTACGAAACTTCACAAAATCATTCGCTGGGTTTATCTGAAGTTTACCTGAAATGTCAGCAAAATCGCTCAAACGGTTTTGGAGTCCATAGGAAACATACATACAGACATCGATTTTTATATGAATACATATATGAAAATACAGATAGATGTAAAGCAAACCTGGTCTCCGGCGCGCCGCACGATGTCCACGTACATGTCGTACACGTAGCGCGCCATGTGCGGCATGTCGCGCACGCGCAGGCTTGCCGCCGCCGCCGCCGCGCCGCGCTGCGCCGGGTAGCGCTCGCCCGGCACCAGCTCCAGCTCCAGCGACCGCTCGGTTAGCTGGACGGGGAATTGAATGTTATACCATGGTCCATGTTATTGTTATAATTAACTAGCTTCCCTCGGGTACATCCCTAGGTACGTTTTGACGCTTAGTATGGATTAGTTATTTTTTTCTTGAATTTTTCTGATGTATTAATAATTATACTGCTATTCTAGGAAAAGACAAATCCTACAAAACAAAGATCATAAAAATCAGTCCAGCAGTTTTCTAGTTTAAAGTGTTGTAACAAACCCAACTTTGTTTTATATATATAGATATGTCAAAGTATAAGTATTATAGAGCATATATAATATATGTGGAGGCTTACCCTTGCACCGCTTTCATGAGAGACTATTTTTTTCCGATGTAATTTACCAATATTGTATGATATATTATTTTTGCAAAATGTTTATTTTATTTTAAATCACAATCACAACCTTCAATAATACCTCTTTCTATTAATCAAAAGCTTATGGAAATCCATACAGGTATTTCTGAGAATAACCGAAGAAACATAAATTCATTTTTATTTATAACGATATTATAAGCTAGCGATTTACCCTGCCTTTACTTGGGTACATACAGATAGACCACCTTCATTAGTGACAGTAGCCTATGTATTAATCCAGATCATAATTTATCTGTGTTCTACATCTCATCTAAATTAGCCCAGTCACTTTAGTGCGAAAGAGTGACAAACATACACACGTGCAATTTTCGTCTTTATAATACTAGTAGTTTAGCTGATATAGAGGTAAACGTACTAACAAATTATATTGTTTAGTCAGTAGGCTATAATATAATTATAGCAATAACAAAATGACTTATAATAAAACCCTGGGGTCACAGGCACACCCTTAAAATTTACTTTATTAACATTGCTACGATCGCCCTTATATTATATTGAACTTTCAAAAGTAATAAAGATAATTTTCGACGTAAACATAATTACGTGACCATGCTTGACACAGGTCATCCTGAATAATCAAACGACAATATCCATTGAGAGTAAAAATAGAACCTGGAACCATAAAATAACTAATATCTGATTAAAAATGATCGATGATCGAACGATCTTACCAAACATACCTGATTAAAAGTGGGCTGTAATTCAAAGCAGTTCTTGAAGAGGTTAGCTCTCGCGAATATATAGAGTCCGAGGCGAGCACGGGACGCGGCCACTATGAGGCGGCGCAGGTCGCGCACGTGTCCCACCGCCTTGGTCCGCACCAGGGAGATCAGCGCCACATCATTCTGTTGACCCTGGTACTTGTCCACTGTGGCCACCTGGTTATAATAGAATATAGTTTTAATATTATTGATTACCATACCTTCCTAGATTTACGCGATATTTGATATTTAAATGAAAGATGTCGAGACTAAAAATAAAAATAAATTCATGAAATATCGGAGATAAAAGTTTTATTTAATACTTAGCTTGATTCCATATACAAAATTTCATCCCCATTTTCACCCCCTTAATAGATGATTTCTAGGATAAAAAGTATTCTATGTCCTTCCCAGGGTCTGAAACTATCTTCTTACCAAATTTTATCTAATCGGTAGATTCAGAGATTACTCCCTACACTCTACAATGTCACAAACTCGCAAACTCACAAACTCACAAACTTTACTTCTTTATAATATTAGTATAGATAACATTAAGCATACATACTTGTACAAAGGTACGTCCTGTTTTCATAGAATTTATTAAAAAAAACACGCACGTTTTACAAATGGCATAAAAATAGGACCTATACGAAAAAGGAGAGACAATTATAGACGTGCAATCAGATTTTTCATTGTATGTTAATATTGATAACAATTATGACATTATAATTTAAATACGTCATAAATCCTGCCCAAAATTATGGACATAATATAGCATCTCTCATGTCGCAGGTAGGTCCGTCGATAAAAGAGACGATTTTTTTATAAGAATAAGCTACGTCCATTAAATTTTTTATTGAATGAATTACTCAAAACTTTCGCATCTGTAGATCTATTGTGAAACTTATTAAACAACGTAAATACTATGTAGGTACGAGTATCAATAGAAACGCGCAATGTGTGAATGAAAAAACGATCGCTCCGAACTTACCTTATATGCGAATTTACACTGCGATTAATAAATAAATGAAGGAAAATTAATATAAGTGGATTAGTATGAAGAAACTCAATGTTGTAGCTAATGACCAACAATCATTTGTTTTTTTATGTAGGAAAGTTTTCAAATTATCCCAAATAATTAAAATTTTTAGTACCTAATCAATTTGTTTTTCAGATGACGGTAACAAATTACGATTTATTTGGTAATGAATAAATAGTGACATATATATGAAAAAGGGAAGGAAAATTTATGTTTAGTTAAATTAAATTATGTAATTATAACTATATATACTTTCCTATAGTTTTAGATTTTATTATCTAGCAAACAGTTATTAATTACTATCGTCCCTAATGTCCTTTTAGAATTCAATTGACGTTACAAATATGCTTGTAAAGGTAAAATTGTAATTAATTAAATGATAACGAAAGCTCAATTTACCTTATGTGGATATCCAATAAGCGGGTTGTCGGCGCATCTTTTGGCGATGACGTCACGGATGAGGTGCTTTTGCCCATTGTATGTGGTCAGTATTGAGATCTTCTCTGCGGGCCACCCTATTAGCCTCATGTACATGAACACTGCCACTACATACTCGGCCTCGGCTAAATTCTGTTAAAAACATTAAATAAATATTTAAATATAAGTTACATCTTAATATAATTAATTTTCAATTTAGTTAATTACGATCCAAAAATAATGTGAAGCTTCACAATAAAGGTAAAAGGTTAAACAATTCACGACACGCGTATTATTTGCTTACATTTTTTTTAACTGCGATTTTATCAATGTTTACTACGGAAGTTATAAAGGTCATATCAAAGACATATAAAAATTTATAATCTACACACTAAAATTTTAATAATTTTATTTCTTTGACTGCACGACAATTTAAGAATTTCGTATAAAAAATATTTTGAGCTTTTCCAAATTCCCAATTTCCCAGCTAACAATCCAATTTCGTTCCCTTCCTTTCAAACGAACGGAGTACATTGAATATTTAAAAAATGCCAAATCGGCTCAGAGCCCTTTCCAAGCGATGCTATATTATATTTTTACCTGATAGAAGTAAGGGCTGGGTTCAGTTTCGCCGGCGCCATTGAAGTCGTCGACGTTGATCAGCTGGAAGTCATAGCGCAGGCCGGCGTTGGCCGCGCGGTACTCGGGCTGCGAGCACACGTGCGCCAGGTCGCCTAGGTTGCGGTACCTCCACCGGTACAGGTTGCAGATGCTGGGGAGACAGTTATTGTAATATAATTTTAACAAATAATCTCTTGTTATATATAATACTTGTTCTTTATGAATTTATTTTGTTTTTTTTTGTTCCTGAAGTTTCGACAATTCATTCATGGTCACAGGAGCGACCAAAATCCGAAAATATAGATTTATTTAAAACTAGCGGCTCACCCTCGCTTCGCTCGGGTTCACCTCTAGAAAAGCACAAACAGATCTATCCCATGGGAACCGTTCATTTTTCCGGGATAAAAATAAAATAAATACAATAAAATAAGTAACCTGTTGTTTGAGCTGCAATATAAGGTATCAGAATGCCAAATTTTACTAAATTAGGTGCATAAGTTGTTGTGTACTGAGCTGTATAAGTTACTATAATTTTTTAACTATCCCACGGGAACTCTTTAATTTTCCGGAATGAAAAGTATCAAATTTCATTTAAATAGGTTCAATAGTATCGGAGATTAGCCCGTTCGAACAGACAAACAGACAGAGAAACAAAAAATTGAAAAAATCTGGATTTGTTCTATTTCTCTCCTTACGGGATGTAAGAAGAGAACTGACTCGTTTTTTAGCAATTTTTTCTACCATCTATGTACAGACATTCGACCTCTACAGTTTTGCTATTCATATATGTACCTATATTCAGATAGAATAAATAACGTACAATAAAACAGAAATATATAACAATGAAAATAGTTATAGCGAGTGTACCTTAGGAGATAGACATATACTATGTAGAACTTTTCTATAGACCTTTTTAAGACTTACAATTTTCTTGTACAATGTTTTGATCTATCTCTTAAGGTTGAGCCAACGTTAGCCATATAAATTTCTGAGGACAATTCGATAGAACCAGTTATTGTATTTTCCCGTGGGAATGAATAATTTGCCTGTCGTAAAAAGTATTCTAAATGTTGACCCGAGCACTAAGTTTTATTACTATACAAAATTAAGTTTAAATCGGTTGAGTACTTTTTGCGTGAAACGCGCACATCGATTTGACTAAGTTTTATTATAGGTATAGATAAGAATAAATATTGCGAGTGTAACTTAGAAGATAGACATATACTATTCACAACTTTTCTGTAGGACTTTTCAAGACCTACAATTTTTTAGTATATTGTTTTGATGTATGTCTTAAGGCTTAGTCAGAGGAAGGTTTCTAGGGAGGACTCGATAAAACCAGTTATTGTATTTTCCCGTGGGAAAGAAAGATTTTCTTTAAGTAAAAGGTATCTAGGCAGTGGTATCCCAGTGGTAACGCGCTCGCTTGGGAAACCGAGTGATATTTTCATATGCGAATCATTTCTAACACAGTTATCACTTGTCTAAACGGCGAAGGAAAACCTGCATGTCTGACATAACCTAGCAAATTTTCGAAAGACATGTGAAGTCCACCAACCCGCACTTGGCCAGCGTGGTGGACTATGGCCTGATCCACCTCGTACTGAAGGGAGGCCCGTGCATGTGTTAAAAAGGGCTGAATACAACATACATACATACATACATACAAAAGGTACCCTAAATGTTGACTCGAGTAATAAGTTATCACTTCACCAAATTTTGTTGAAATTGGTACATTACTTTTCGCGTGAAACGCACACACAAAAACAGACAAACAGACATATAGCCAAACAGACAAATAGGCAATTTTTTTAATTACTATTGTTTTGGGGTCTATGTTGTGTACATAATACGTTACAAATAAACAAAGACATCTATCCCACGGGAAAAGTACATTTTTCCGGGATACACAGTTACCTATTTGTTATTCTGATGTATGAACTATATTATTGCAAAGTTTCATCAAAATCCAATCAGTGGTTTTTGTGTACTAAGCTGTATAAGTTACTATAGTTTTTTGACTATCCCACGGAAACTCTTTAATTTTCCGGGATGAAAATCAGCTGATTTGTTTTTGTCATGTATGAACTATATTATTGTAAAGTTTCATTAAAACCCAATCAGTAGTTTTTGTGTACTAAGCTGTATAAGTTGTTATAGTTTTTTAACTATCCCACGGGAACTCTTTAATTTTCCGGGATAAAAAGTATCTAAGATGTTGCCCGGGGATATAAGGTACCACCATGCAAAATTTTATTTAAATAGGTCCAATAGATCCGGAGATTAGCCCGTACAAAGAGAAAAACAGATAAACAGCTCGTTTGGGTTCGTCCATACATACGAATATGTTGTATTATCTCTTTAACTATTTGTCCAAATTATATGCAGTAAAAGGGAAAAGTCTTTTATTTTAAACATTTTAGACGATAAATTTACTTATTTTGATAAGAATTCATAATTGTTGATAATATGACTAATAAACATGACCTACCGATTTAAATGATTTTTTTTAATACAAAAAACTACTTTTTGTGACTTAAATATAAAAGTTAGACATATGCTGTCGCTGACTTTTTTGTAGGCATTATTAAGCTCTACAACTTTTCTCAAGAACATAATCATATATCTCTCATCGTTAAGGCAGCGTTCGTAAGAAACGTTTTCGTTCGACCGTGTTTTCTCCGACTTACTTTGCAAATCCGACTGCCACGAAAAAGCCTTTTAATTTTTCGGGTTAATATATAGCCTATGACACTCAGAAAGAACGTGGCTTTCTATTGGTAAAAGAATTTTGAAAATCGGTTCAGTAAATCCAGAGATTACCCCCTACAACGTCACAAACTCACAAACTCACAAACTCACAAACTCACAAGATCACAAACTTTACCTCTTTATAATATTAGTATAGATAATCAACATATTAATATATAAAAGTCGAAAGTTATTCTATGTTTTTTTTAGTATTTAGTTCGCTTCGCTTGTTTTCTTTTAGGTGATAGAAGGTCAGACTAACTATTTAGCATATATGTATAATATTATAGAAGTTCTAAGATGGTATGATTTCTTTTACTTAATTTACAAATATCATTGTATCGGCATCTTGTTTTTGTAATATGTATTTTAAATTATGGCCTAAAAACTTCCTTAATAGTTCCTCTTTCTATTGCTAAAAATTGTATGAAAAATCCGTAGTTTTGAGGTTAGCCCGAACAAAAAAAAAAACTAGCGTGGCAATATACCTTAATTTATAATATTATGTAGTGACTCAAATTATCGCATTATAAAGGAAGGAACTGAACCTTATCTACGTTGTGCGGATAGTCGTAGTTAATAGACGGCTACAAAAACATGAGTTCCTCATACAAATCATTTAATCTAATAAATTCTAAGGAAGTTAATGTCTATCAATAGTTGTAAAATTACTATGAAATGATTAAATCTTAGTCTATATTCTATAACTAGCCACTCACCCTGGCTTCGTTTCGTTCGTCCCTAGCTTGCTTCCCAATACAACCTTTATCCCCATTTTCACCCCCTCAAGGATGATTTCCGGGATAAAAAGTATCTTATGTCTTTCCCATGGTCTCAAACTATCTTCTTACCAAATTTCATCTAAATCAGTTCAGTAGATCCAGAGCTTACTACCCCCTACAACCTTACAAACTCACAAAATTTATCTCTTTATAATATTAGTATCTACAAATGATTATCACACGAAAGTACTTAGAATTAAAATATAAGTTACGTAATAACAAACTATAAATAAATTATTATGTAAACTATACCGTGTGGGTTTAGCACAATATACAGAGTGGTCCAAGAGGTGACGTCATAAAATTTTTTTTAGATTCCTCACATCTGGTTGTATCCAAAAATACCTCATGTATGTTCCGCGATATTTTGTAGTTTAGAAGTTATGATTTTTTTAATGTGTATTTGCGAATTTTCTACCGGAGCAATTTAAAAAAATCATATCTTGTTTACTAGTAAAAAAATTTTGGTTTCTTTTTCTGTAACGTCATCGTCTTAAATCACTCTTTCATACGTTATAATCAACTACACAACGTTCTTCGTTATAAGTTACCAAAAAAAGGGTCGAAAGTGAAATTTTTAGGTTTGAGTTGGACGGAGTTAAATTTTCAATATTCTCTTAACAATACAAAATGGAAGTTTCATAGATTCAAAGTACTTTTAAAAACTTCAGCGACTTATCAGTTTACCAAATATTAAAAAAAAGATTGTTCCTAACAGGTGATTTTACGATGAAATCGACTTCCGAACTTTGTTAGGTGAAAATGCGTTAAGAAAAAATTTGTCCGAAAAAATTGTTTTAGCTATTTTTCTCAACCTTATCACCAACATTAGTACGGAATTGTCAAAAGCATTCAAATAATCTCAAATTGAACGATCCGTGACCCATTTTGTTGAAATTGTATTTTTTGTAAAACAAAATAATTTTGTCTCATTTAGTGCAATACACAATAAATATAGTGCACCGAGGCAGTTATATCCGCCTCGGTGGTCTAGTGGCTAGCATATAGTGTCGCAGATTTAATGTCCCGGGGTTTGACTCCCGGGTCGGGCAAAGTTTAGTTATTGAGTTTTCTCTTGAGGAATTCTTAGTAGGAGCCCGGAGTTGGAAAGTTAGCGGTGTTGCACACCAATACCTCAGAGAGCACGTAAACCCGTCGGTTCTACGCCTTGACGGCCACACAGACCGTCCCATCAGACATTGAGAGTGAAAAGGAAAAGAGAGTGCACTGATGTCTGCACTATCTATATAAATAAAAATCAATCACTGAAATGTATGTGCGCGCATATATTCCGATCGACTGCACCAAATTATTCTTTTTTTCTGTGTTTGTTATTATCAGGACAAGCTTTGAATAGAGAAAATTAAAAGAATTATTATTTTTTTACTAAAGTAAGAGTTTTTTTTAATCTCATGATATGAAAAATGAGTGAGTGAATAGTTTTTATCCAGGAAATCATCACTTTAGAGGGTAAGAATGGGGATGAAAGTTTGTGTGGGAAAGTTAGCTAGGGACGAACCCGAGCGAAGCGAAGGTGAGTCACTAGTAATATACATATAAAATAGTCTCAGTGAGATTGGCCGCCGTGGCCGAAATCGGTCAGGAGGACATCATCATTCATCAATCACCTTGCATAAGACCTAAGAATTGTAAAAATAAATTTTACACATACGCAATTCATTTTTAAATAAAGATAACATTATGTAAATTGTACGTTTATAGTAACTAATTATTATGTAAAGATGCAAACTATCGTTGAGGTCATCTCAGACGTGATGTCACGTGTCTTTAACCGGCTTTGATCATAATTTGCTATTTAAAAGGAAATTTATATATACATTGTACATTTACATATATATAATAGACGTAACAAAATTTTCAAAGAAGTTTTCATTCTGCTTCTGCAGTTTAATGATTTCACATTGTTGCCCATATGAAGAATTCCGGTATTGATATTCCATGATTTTCTCTTTACTATATCGACCTTTCGGCATTTGTATAAAGAATACAAAATACACATATATTTCCCGTATATTAAAATCGAACCCACTTCTGACGTAAAAGGTAGACTTGTTGTAATAATATAAATTATTTAAGGTAAAAAAGAAAAGAACGTGAACCTAAGGTTTAGTAAAATATTTGAATACAGTGAAATTAATAATTTGAATACACAATAATTATAGATTATAGATATCTATATATATAGAACAAAGTCGGGTTTGTTACAGCACTTGTAACTCGAGAACTGATGGACCGTTTTTATGATCTTTATTTTGTTGGATTTGTATTCATCCCGAATAGCAGAATAACCATTAAAACATCGAAAAAAAAAATAAAAAAAATCTATTCCATACTAAGCGTCAAAACGTACCAAGTCAGTATAATTTAAAAGAATGTATTGAAAAAATATAAACTACTTACCTAGGCCTCGCTCGTCCTTGAGCATCTAATTCAACGTACGGCACCCCGAGCCTCACCATGCGGGTGAAGAGACTCTGTTCCATGTTACAGTATTTCTGGAAGGCCATGTTCTTCACCACGGGAGGGAGCTGATGGTGGTCACCAATCATGATCCAGCGTTTGAGACGAGACCTCCCATCTTGAGGGTTTTGGAGCAGGAGTGGTATGAAAGTCTCAATTTCTAAGATTTGTGCCGACTCTTCCATTAGTATGTTGTCGTATTTGAAACCTATTGAGAGAACATATTTTTAATATGTAATTATAAAATAATTAATAACTATTGTTTTATTAATAATGCGTTTTAAGAACAATCTATTTCATGAAACAGTGAAAAATCATTACGATCGCCGCTATTTTGTTTTTTAAACGGTAGTTTATCAAAGTGAAAATAAATTTAATTACTCAACCAATTGAAAATACTCTTGACTATGTTTGGAATTAAATATAAACGTATGCAATCAAAATTCCAATGAAGTAGATACAACCGTTCTTAAGTGTAACGTAAATAAAAGGACGGACATACAGAAAACTACAAGCACATTTTTTGTATCATTGATAGCAAAATTCTGTGATTTATGAATTTCTTCTTTATTTTTTTGTGAAAATTTATTCCGTAAATATAACATGTCAATATGCTTTAGTCATATATTTTTTTGTATGTTATGCACACCCATTTCCACAAGCTCAGAGCGTTTTAGGGCTGCGTGTGTACACGTCATGGCGATGATCTTTGCCTCCTTGACCAAAAGGTACTTGGAGCGGTCCAGACCAGACCGCAACAATTCGAAGGCACGGAACTCTTCTAACTCTTCGAAAATGTGATCTATGTATCTGTATGGGATTAAAAAGATATGTAAATTAGAGACTTGAGAATCATTTATTTTCTAATATAAAATTTTTATACTACACTACCAATCAAACACTATCATATTTATAATATTATTGAAGATATTTAAACATTATGAAATATCAATATTTCATAAGCAAGTACATGTGCAAAGTATTAAAAAAATAATCAAGTGGATTATTTCATAGTATATCCTATACCTAATATCAAAAAACCAATCAATAATTTATCATCCACTTGGCATTTGCACTCGAATTCAAGAGTGAACATTACTTAAGTATATTAAAAATGTATAGAGAAGTAAAAACCTATTTCATTTAAAACATATTTGTAGAATTATAAACTGGTACGTAAAAATTTTGACAAAACACTTGACACAAAATTCTTAGTAAGTAGTTAAAAAATATAGTTTAAAAAAGTAAAAAATAAACACGCTTTAATGATGAACCGAACAAAAAAGTAAAAAAATTTTTTTTTAGTATAACAATAAAGTGATTAATTAACGAGAAAATTAATGTGATTGTGATATAAATATTCCATTGGACAGTTAGTACAAAAAAAAATTATACAAAGCACCCCACGTTTTTTCCCACGGTTCATAATTAAAGCTAAAAAAATATAATTTATTTTGCATTTTTAGTTTGATCTTCTATGAATGCATATTTTTTAGGTCAAATTATTTTCTTTAATTTTTTTGTCATCGGTCCTTGTTAAATGTGCAAAGTTTCAGTTCAATCTAAAGTTTTGCTTTGGGTGAAAATCGCGTTCAAAGATAGATAGATAGATAGAAATATTTTATTAATCACATAGATACAGGTGAATATAATAAAAGCATGTTAAAAAATAATGTAAATTAGATACTTTAATTGTAACATGTAAGATGTTATCTACGAACGGACGTGACGTGTTACGTGAATTTATTAACGTGAATGTTATTCCATCAATATAACCTTGCTAATTCATTTTGAGATTTGAGAAATAATAATTATTAATTAAGAAATATTTTCTTAATACTACTATTTTTGATATAACATTATTATTGTAAGGTATCTAAAAATGAATGAATAAAGAAAAAGGTGCGCTTGCATAAATTAAGGAAAATTAGTTTATTATAGTCTTAATATGTATGCAAAAACGTAACCCTTACTAATTGTAAGGTAATTTATGAATACAAAAATTTGTTGACGCAAAATAAAATAAAAACATTGTATTGACACATAATTGAAATAATTTTAAAACCTGTAACAACTCTTTGCGATTTCCATGTCCTCTTCATACGACTTCCCAGGGAACAGCGGCTTAGGAGCATCCTCGAAAAATTCGTGGAAAGGAAACTCCTTACTGATGGTTTCTATAGACTTTTTCTGGAAATTTATAATTTTATTTTAGCTACAAGCTTCTAATACAACAGGATCGAAGAAAATGTTCAAAAAGCTTCTATCGCCGAATTCAAAAAAATTGTTAAAGAACGTTTGTTTGCTAAAGGCTATTGATTCAATCAATGATTTTATAGAAGATGGCACGCCTCGGGAGTGAAGTGATCGCTTCCAGGCTACTTTAGCTTTATAGAAATATTGTAAATTACGATTTAACTTTATAAAAAAGATAACGAAATAATATTAGTCCCGCTGAGTTTCTTTCGCCTGTTCTTCTCAGGTCTGAGGCTTTTTCTTATTAATACTGGTAGTAGACTCATGACGTTCAGTAAAAAATTATAATAATTTAATGCTGAATAAAATATTTAGAATTTGAATAGATTTAGGATGTAAGATGACGTAGCAAATTTTTTCATTTGGTTTTTGTCTGTCAGCATGATGTTTGTAAAGTTCAATTTGTATTAATGAACTTGAAATTCAGTGTTTTATTAGGAACTTCGATGTCACCGCTACCAATAATTTTAATTACCTTACAACGTAGATGTTTGCGTTGGTCATAGACATTTGTTCATGTTAAGTCAAACTATATTGAAAAAAAAAAACAGAAATATGGCCAACATTGGTAAAAATTAGTTATTGGTAAATCAAGATAAAATATAACCATCAATACGTATAACAACGAAATTGAACAGTACTTTGAATTGTTTAATGTTTTTCATTTACTTTCATGAGTTCCCGATGTGTCGGCACTGTTACAAGCGCCATGATCTCTTATCTACATATATGTAAATAGTATAAAACTATCTGACTCTGTCTGTTTCTCCGCTTATTTCTTCGCAACTGCACAACCGATTTTGAACGGTTTTCATAAATAGAAATAGCGATAAACTAGGAAGATTTGTATAAGTTAGAATGAGGTTTTGTACAAACTGGCTGAGTCTAGACGGTGTTTTGTCAAAATAAATGCCAAAACAAAAAAAATCAGGCACTTATAAAAATAAATGAAAACATGGGAAATAACCCTTCTTATTTGACAAAAATATTTATCGGAGGATTTTTAATCATTATGGATACCTGGTCCTTTTCGCAGGTGCGTGTGAAGGTCCGCCAGCGCGGCCGCACATGGTACACGTGGAAGTGGTGCGCGAGCTCGCACGTGGCGCCCGCGTCGCCGCCCGCGCCCAGCGCGCGCTGCAGCCGCGCCACGTGCTCCAGCAGCTCCAGCCGCTTCGACAGCACGTAGTTCACTCGCCCGTATCTAGTTTGGGAAGATTTTTTGATATTGGGGTTGTAAAAGCAATATATTGCATGTTATTTGTAATCTATCTAGAAATCTATAATATTTGTATTAAAAGAAAGAATATTGCACAGAAAAATATGTAAATTATATTTTTGATAAATTTATATTTCAAAAATAACTGATTTTATAATATTCAATCTTTACAAATAATTGTAAATTATTGTATCGGACTATTGTTCTGCCGCGCTTACAATAACTACAATAACTAGGTTAAAGCCAACTTCAAGAAAGACGCGGTTAAAGATAAAATAAAAATGAATTTTATTTTCTTTACACCTCCATTAGTATATAAGGTAACGATTAGAAATCTTCACTAAACCATGAAATATATAAGTGTATAGCATTTCTTGTAATATGTAATATTTGTAAATACATTAATTATATTATAAAAATAAGTACCTATGTACTTGTATGTTTAAATGATTTATTGACCAAAGCTAATGTTTATTTAGTAAATATTATCATGATTCGCGTGTCACTACAGTAAGAAATCTATTTATTCCACTTTATTATATAGAGTAGTATCGAGTAACATTTACAAATTAAAGTTATTTCCATAACCATATTTGAAAAATAAAGAAAGCACAATAGGTACGGAAAAACTGTCTATGGAGGAAACATAGAACTCCTTGTATTGATTGCGGATATGTACAATGCACATACATACATACATAAATTCATATAACCTATAATTTGGGCTGTAAAGACTATACTGTAAACTGCAAGAAATTGAATGAATACACAGATATACCATGCTGGCGTAACAAATGCTACGTAAGGCTACCTAGTCACGTAGGGTTGCACTCGAGTGAAGCGAAGGTAAGTCACTAGTATAATATATTAATAATATTATATATTGGCACATATGCTGCACAATGTTTTGAGAATTAAAGTAATTAAAATGTCATATAGGATGATGATTTGTAACGCGGTAAATACAAGAGTAAATTGTTACAATCAAATACGCAAATCGCTTCAATACTGTACATTAAAATATATTCATAGCAATACAAACCTTGAGAAGTCTTTGTCAGTCTGTAGAGATTCTTCTCCATGTCCAAGACGTAGAAGATGTCGTTCATCCACGTCCAACTCTGCCACTTTCTCGAACAGCTGGTTGAGGGCCTGGTTACTGTGCGTCACTACCAATGTACGTTGCCACGGGAAATTGTGGTACAAGTTCGATATTATTTGGACTGCTACATCGGTTTTACCTAAACAAATATTTGAATTCGTTATCTTTATATTTGAATTGGTTATCTTTGTTTTGTGGATGTTTCTGTTATTTTTAAATTAGATAAACCATATTAAGTTTGTTGATTATCTACAAAACCCAAAACTAAGCAATCATTAAAAGGCAGCTGTAGCCCAGTGCTAACGCGCTCGCTTGGAGAATCGAGTGAAGTGAATTCAAATCCCGGTCCTCGCACCTCTGATATTTTCATGTGCAAATCATTTTACATTTTCCAATATGATTACCCCTTGTCTTACGGTGAAGGAAAACATCGTGAGAAATCTGCATGTCTTAGAGAACTAGTAAGCTTTTGAAAGACATGTAAAGTCCGCCAACTCGCATTTGGCCAGCGTGGTGGACTATGGCCTGATCGTATTGAAGGGACGCCCGTGCCCACCAGTGGGACATTAAAAGGGGCCGAATCCATTAAAAAGAATTACTACACCAGGGTTATATCTATTAATTTTATAATTGCAAAAGTTTGAGTGTGTGTGTTACTTCTTCACCCTGATCTGCTGGACGCATTTAGATGAAATGTAGTGTACCTATACTATAATAACCATGCTACTATAGTACCACCTAGTTCCATCGTAAGCTACGAGGCGTGTTTTATGGATACCAGATAGTTGATACGCTCCACATACTCGTATATTATAAATATAAATACCCATGATTGGAAACATTCGCGCTCATTACACAAATGAATGCTTGCTTCCAACGGGACTCGAACCCGCGACCGCTGGCACAGTAAGTAGGGTCACTACAAACTGAGCCAAACGTGTCGTCATATACTAAGTCTATCTATATAGACGTAAACTGGAGCAATACATAGCTACTTTTTAACACCTAGGGACGCCGAAAGTCGCTAGTAATCTGATGTAACAAAGAGCTTCATTTCATGCTTTTTTGCGTTTAAAGGCATGAGTCACTGTGTTTTTTAGTGTGAGATAGTTTAGACGTATGATGACAATCATAAACCTAGATTTTTTTCCATTCCGTCCATTAATCTAAGACGGCATCATCAAAATTATCAATCTGTATAATCAAACTTCCGTTTATATCATATTTTTAATCTCTTCACTACTAAATGAATACATTATTTGTAATCACATGATACATAAGTTTACCGAGAAGAATTTTAAAAAAACCATTGTCTTATTGCACTGATGACATGATTGTGCAATGAACTCATACATACATCCTACGCTTTTTATTTGTAATTATAATTAATTCGGTTTACAGAACTTTATTTCTCATTACGAACAGGTATTTTACGTGATAAACTTATATGTAGGTAGGTAGGTATAGGAAATTATTATGATCAGTAGAATTGAGAATATTAGTTAGAAAGAATATATTTATATAGTTAACCTAAACTTGAAGCTATTGAAAGTTTTAGATTTTTTTATTTCTTTCGGTAAATTATGGTAGTTTTGTTCCCTCAAAAGTTATAGTTTTTTGTCCAAACTTGGTTCTAGTCTAGTAAGTAGTAATTTATAATTATAATGTACTATAGCTTTATAATAATATGTTCCTACCGCATAAGTATAAAGAATAAAAACGTTCCTTTCTAAGAGAATAGAACATTGGACCTCGTGTGTCGATTTAATTCATGATTTAAGCCATATAATAAAATATAAATTCCAATAATAATGATATGTAAAATAATTCCAATAAATTAACCAAAACTTGTTTTCAATTCTTTATGTTTTTTTTTAATAATTCATTTGAATTAAAATTAATTTTTCAAACAAACTTGCCTGTCTTTAAAATATTCTAAATGTAACTCGCCTGTATCTTGATATATATTGATCAATATTTAGTTACAATTTTATTATATGTATAGATTTTACTCGAGTAATATATGTGCATATTAATGGAATTATAGAACTAGATATCTTCTGTTTTTTTTTAACGTGTAGGAACGTTCTGTTATTTTGGGACAAATTTTATCCTAAATCTTGACTTAGGTACTAAAACTAAAAATATACATGCCATATTTTTATAAATAAAATATATATAATTAGTAATATCATTTTCTGTTACTACGGCTTAAGGTAGCGGAATCGGTTCCCGCTAAAAATATATTTTTATTGAGAATAGGTATATGTAATTGTCACAGTCTGGACGTACATTTTGTTCTATACAGAGCAACGTAAGTTACCGGTTCAACTACGCATTATGAGACTTTGGAACTGCAAAACAAAGAAGTGACTAATACGTTCTGCGAAAAAATATCCAAATACTCGTAAAATGGAGACCTCGTTATCACATTCATTTAATCTAACTCTTGTTATGTTTTTTGGTCATAATTACCGAAATGCTTGTTGTTAGTCATTTTCACGTAGGTATATATGTATATTGTATGTACATACTGTTACAAATCACATCATTCATATAAGCTATGCAATCTTTTCTTCACATACGGGTTTACATCACATTTTTATGTGTGGGTGGGTGTGTATGTTTGTTACTTCTTCTCGCTGAAACGGCTGGACAGATTTGAATGAAAAATACACAGATGTGTAGATTACGACTTGGAGTAACACATAGACTACTGAGTAATGTTAGACACCAAGAGATGCGTCTGAGCGAAGCCCTCGCTTTGTAAGTCACTAATCTATACTAATATTATAAAGAGGCAGAATTTGTTTGTTTGTTTGAACGCGCTAATCTCAGGAACTTTTAATCCGGTTTGAAAAATTCTTTTTGCATTAGATAGCCCGTTTATTGAGGAATTATATATATATATATATATATATATATATATATATATATATATATATATATATATATATATATATATATATCATTATGCTACTACTCAAAAGAGCGAAGCGGTAATCATAAATATCTACAAAACCGGCAGACTTCCATATATTATTCTAAAAGGAAGGGTCATAATAAACCGTAACCGTGTAACCGATTGTTGCGTTAGGTGCACTATGTATTTAATATTTGCCTCGTATGGCGTCAATGTGATTGACGATCGGAGTGACCTTTACATGCCAAATTGGTCAGTGCAATCAAGTTATTCGACACAAAGACTGTGCTATTTTTGAGATGTTTTCTGCTTCCGATTTATAATCAACGTAAAAAAGTGGATTTTTCATCATTATGTTAAACAATATCTTCCTCAAATGTAAACTGAGGGTGTTTGCATACTAATTATAAGGCAAAATGTCTCCACAAATCGTAAAAAAAATACTTTACTCCAATAAGGGTAAAAAGTTATGACATACACCTTTTCAAATTACCTTTTAGTGCTTGTGCTTTAATAGTACGGTATATAAAAAATGTACCTACGTTCATGTGAACCTACTTTAAGTTCCTTTTTATTCGAAAATATTACACCGTTCTCACACTGTATAAGCTTATCGATGCCGAAGTTACGGTATTTTATTTTGTGTAAATCGTACGGTAAGTACATACTTTTTTAAATACTATTTAAATTATATTTTACTATAGAAATTAAATTATTATTACGCGTTTGTTGTCACATATTCCAGTAAATCTAAAAAAACATTAAGTGTAATAAGTTCGTCGCCATTTGATTAAATATACCAAATATGTATAAAATACCTGTTCCTGGTGGTCCCACTACGAGTGTAAGTCCAGGCTGCATTCCGGATCGTATCGCTTCCACTTGGGTTGGTGTGAACAAAATATTGTTTCTACAAAAAAAAAGAATATAGTATTCCTTTATAAGCTAAATATCTTATATAAGAAGTAATATAAAAATAGTTATTTATAATTATTTAATATTGAGTATAATACTGGTATAGTATTATGTCATCCTTGCTATTATTAAAAGGCTATATATATGGCAACTTTTTATTTTTAACGCTCATTTCACGCGTTGTCGACATGCGCTTTTCACGTGTTTGTGTCGCTAAGAACACTAGTAATTTGCATTAAATTTTAAGCTTATCAGCGCAGAACATATGCAAATGATGTATGTTCATGATAACCCTTAAGTATATAATGTTTGTAAAACGTAGTGGGCATAGGCCCTAAGAGACAAACTTGAGATGAGTGTTAAAAATAACTGAGTTCATTGAACTATGTTATTTAGTTTATTCAATAAGAAAAAATTACTACAAGTCGTGATCGTGTAAAGCTATTGTAATTTCAAGGCCAATATTGGTCTAAAAAAACAAACTTGTAATGATACTTTAGTATATTTATAGTATATATTTTAATATTGTTAAATTAAAGGAGTAAGATTTATAACAGAGATTCTTAGCCTGAGTTACCATACTACTGTATCAGTGAAATGTATGTATGTGGGTTAGTTATATCATTTATAACTCAAGAACGGCTGGACCGATTTTTATGACCTTTGATTTTTTGGATTTGTCGTCGCTCCGAATAGCAGAATATCTATTAAAACATTGGAAAATTCAAGATAAAAAAATAAATTTACATGGCCAACGCTGCCTAGTAACTATTTATATGTATTTAAAATTTAATGTACCCAGGAGAGCACCCGAGCGAAGCGAGGGTAATCCGCTAGTTTTACATATAGTACATTAAGATACCTCATACATATATATTCGTGGAATATTATTTAAATATCTATGTATATCTATAAGAACCGGTTGATAAAAACGTTGATAAAATAGCGCTTGCCAATATTTTAATGAATCGCAAAATGATTAACAACTTTTTATGATCGGACTCAAATGACAAAAAAGTTCCGGAAGAAACATAATTAAGGTTTAACACGTTTCATATTTTTAGAAAGTGGTACGTGGAAATTAAAATTATAAGAAGATGACTCATGCTTTAATATTGTATGACAAATAATTAATATATAATTTTTAGGTGCTTTTATTAGTTTCAAATTTCAATTGTAACTAAGCGTGTAATCAAATCTTTGAAGTCGATTTTAACTTTCTTATAATCATATTGTTGTATCGATTTAAAACTTTATATGTGTCTGAAATCGGAATGACTATATAATAACTTAATACCTCTATGGATGATCAGATTTCGGGGCCATGAGGTGGGCATTCGATAAGTTCAATGTCTACTAATAAAAATGTCGACAGTACGTTTATTTGGTCCATTTTAGCGAGTCACATACATTAAGGTTGGGCAAAAAATGTACCGTCTCTTACAAATAAAGTATTTTGGAACAACAAAATTTACGAATCCTGGTCTTTATATTCTTTGGAAGAAAAGGTGTGTATCCTGAGCAAGACTAGTTAAACAGTTAGCTAATAGTCGTCTATTTGTCAAAACGGCTAATTTACCGAAAGCGTTTTTTAAATACGGAATTAGGTATTAACTGTATTTTATCTACACATAAATCTTAGAAATAAGATTTGTTTTTAAAATAGAGGAGAAACTCTGATGTGATGTGATTTTCTCCCGAACGATTCCGGTCACGGCGGCCAATCTTATTGAGACTAGCCAACTGCGCAGGAGATATTATAGTGCACAAGTGTACGCGCAGACACAACGTGCACTCTCTATTCCTGTCACTCTCATATTCGGGACGGGAAAAAACTCTACTGTTAAGTTCAACAAGTATTGATCATTAGAACAAATAAGCACTAACACAACGTAATTATAAAAGTTATACTGACTTTTTAGGCTCATTGTAAAGGTACGGTCCCCTTTTCGGCTGCACGTGCGGCTGTACTGTAATCACTTTGCGTGGTTCATCTTCCTCCATAGCGTTTTCTCCTAGTTCTTGTTTGCGCACAACGTTTTCGAAGGTTAACCTAAATTATTTGGAAATTACACAATTTATTTAATACAAATTTATTTCTTTACAAAAATTATCATAATGATTCACGACACGTGCCTTAAGTCTCATGATAGCACTAGAGGTTAAAGTTCATAGCACATTGTCACATTCTCTTTTTAGCTTATGTTAAGTATTTTACACTTATACATTATTATACAGTAAAGAACGTATATTGATATTTATAGGAAAAATAATTTTACGTACTAATAAAAGTTATCATGTGGTTAAAGATATCTATATGTATCTATATAATAAAAATAAGCATACTTGAAAGGTCGTATTAATTTCCTCGGATCATCAGTTTTCACTTTTATCTCATATCCCGGGAAACTGTTGCGTAGGTGTTCCATGTCCAGGAACGTGTCGTTAAAATCCAGGGTGGGGATTTCATTTGGCATTCTGTGTAAAGTTAAAAAACGTTTAACATAACTTGTATACGGCTTCCCATAAGTGATCGCTTCTTTCCAGTCTACCACCACTACATATGACTATATAATATGTATGGTTAGCGGTATGACCGTAAGTTTTTATGTCGATACATAGCAATGGATTAAAATAAACTTTGTTAGTTTTTAAGGCAGACACAATATAATAAAGCGTCTATTTAGATGTTTTTTTAATAATACAGACAAAATTTCTATTCAAAGCATTGTACAGATAGTTTCTTTTATTATTTAGGTTGCTCCCTTAAGATCTCTTAAGATTTTTCAAATATACCTAATTTTTGGAATATATTATTGATGTTTAATTTAGATTATTTTATTATTATATGTTTTTTGTTACAAGAAACAGTTCTATGTAAGTGTGAATATGGTATAACCTGCTTATTTTACAGTAGTGCTAGCTTACCTGGTGTAGTGTGCTTGACCTGGGTCACCATATCCCAACACGATGTCATGCAGCCACTCTGGTACCACACACTCTGTATTCATCAGTTCCCTAATAGTTTCTAAGACAGCTTTGAAGTTATTCTCTTTGGGTTTTCGACGCATAACAATATTAAAAGTTTCGTATACATCCTGTATATAACATGAATATTCATTAGATAAGAATTTACTCATTAGTTAAATGTTTGTAATAATTTAATATATTTGTAAAAAGTAAACTAAAATTAAGAGAGTATATTTTTCAATCTAATCCTTTAACAATCAAACCTTAAATTATGAACTTTATATGTATGTAAGTAATTAGTGATGTAGTGGCATGTTATTAAGTCGTCGTAATTGTTTAATAAATAGTAGATACTTTGCATCTAGCGAGGTTAAAAGGCTATTAAAACACATGTCATGACCGAAGCATTAATAGATTATGATTAACAGCCTGCTCTATTTTCGATATATGTTATCGAACAAATAAAATACTACTTTTAAACATTAAAAAGTACTGGTATTTGTAATTCTTCTTATGTACCAAGAGAATAATAATACTAGAACATTGAACATAAACAGTCAAAATTAAAGGAATTTGTAAACTTGCCCTTTAAGTGCATATTAGGATGAAATACGAGAGAAGAAAAAGGGAGACCATACAATGTTGGTTGTATTTGTAATAATGTAATAGTTTATAAGACAGCTTTGAACTTAAAATGTATTTGTAATGCTGAGAATCCAATGGTTTACATTAAGTAATTTTAAGAGGTTTCCTACCAAAGAAGTACCTAAACTGTTACTGGATGGTATGGTTGAGTTTGGATGATATTAACATTACACTAATATACACATACTGATACATATACCTACGTTTATGCTTTAAAGTTATTTATACTTCAAACTCATGTTTTAATACCACCTTAAATATAAATATTTTTCTAAACTCTAAAGCGTATTTTTTACCGACGTGTTTTTCCGCAGATGTAAACCAAATCCATCTAGCACATACCTGAGATGTTATTTAAAGAGAGATTCTTCGAACTAACTATTCAATCGAACGCGCATGGATAATATCCTCTTAAATTTTTGTACCACAAATAATATTGAACTAATAAAACAACAACAAATTTTTAATTAAGTATATAGAATTGAAATTATATTGTAATGCTGAGGAATATAAGTAAAATTTCAGACTTATAAATAATAATAATAATAATAAAGCCTTTATTTTTCTGTTATACAGGTTTTTCATTTTAACATTTGTACATCTTACATACTAACAGATCCCTTTCGGGTATAGGCCTCCTCCAAGCTCTTCCATTTTTCTCTGTCCTTGGCAATATTTATTTAGACTTATAAATATATTACTTATAAATATATTTTGCGTATCGGAACAGGGATTACCATATGATAAAGCTCTATAAAATAATATGTAAAAAATGTAGATATAAAATGAACAGACTAAATTTTATTATTCGAGCAGATGTAACATCGATAATAGCACTGACGTCAGGCATGGATGGATTATGTTTTTTATTTAGCACTTTGTATTAGAGCGTATAGAATGGAGCATTCATCCTGTGTTTTTGGATATACTTTAAATTTTTTCTTGGCATAATTACCATTAATAAAAAGTCGGAAAATAAAGTTCCCGAAAGAAAAAGTAAGAGCGTTGTTTTTTTCTAAAAATATAGTAGGTAATATGTATCACTGACATACAATGAATTTTTTTTATGAATAATATTTTTTTAAGAATAAACACAACCTACCTAAGTATATTGAAGTTAATTGGAAAAGGAAACGTATGAAAAAAAACAGACGCCATGAAAAATGAATGTATCATAAATTTTAATATTACAGTCGTCAATCGCCAGATGTTTCAGTAATTGAATCGGAACATTAGATACGTTGTGATTCATTAACAGCAGTACAAGAGCATTTGTATTGGATAATAAATATATCGTATATTACGATAAAAATATACCTAGGATTTGTTTATAACAACGTATGTAAAGTGTATACGTATATGTAAATTTGACATCTACTATACATAAGATATTAAGCTACAGAGTTTGTTCATTGATACGCTAATCTCCGTAACTGCAAGTGTGATTTAAAATATCAGCATTCAGCATCAACTTTTTGCTATTTGTAGCCTAATTACTGAGAAAAATAACAGGCCAGCATCTCACTATATGCCACTTTAGGGAGCAGAGCAATTCCACAAAAATAAACTACGTGATATTCGATACATATACTTCTAATATTTTTTACTTAAATCTATCCATCCATTTTTAAGGTCAATTTATATATGCTGTTAACCATTATTTTAATTCTGTGGGTATGGCATGAGGCTAGGTAAAGTTATTGATTCCTAAATCCAATAGTTGTGGTCAACACAGTTACCTAAAGTTGTTTTCAAGAAAATGGTCTAATGGTCCAAGAAATCCAAGGTTTACAGCTAAGCTTTAATTCTTGTAATTTACAAGGTGAAAATCGATTTATCGACTATCAGTGTGTTTTTCTTATTACTTCAACAAAATAATTAGTACTTTTTGAAATCGTGCCTTGTAGGTTATAGAGTAGAGCTTGTGTTACTTAAGGCGGACCAAATCACACAAATCAACAAATGTTTCTCATATAGGTTTCCGGAGTAGTTAGAAATTTCATAACAGTTCACATAGTTTGTATAGTATGAATACAAACATTCGAACCCACGTCATTGAGTGTAGCATTGCTAACATTTAGTTAATCTGACGAAAAGGTTTAGAGCTAGTTAGATTCGCGAGGAGTATGTAGGTATGTCCCATACGTTACGGAAGTTAAAGGTTTTCGGAGTTTTGCTATTTGAATTAAATTATTACAAATACCAAAACTTTTTTTCAATATTTATGCTTTGCTCAATTTCGTATATTTTCTGTTATACATTTTTAATTAGAATACGTTTTAAAATTATAAAATACATATTATATACTATTTGTATGTATATCATTCATAAATCATAATGCACCTTTTTTGGTAATTCATATTTCATATATTGTACTTAGATCTTTTATTTTAATTTTACACTTTAAGCCCTAAAAGCCCTCAAATTCAATAGGCATTCATTTACTCATCATTGACCCATAATTGGGTCACCTAATTCTACATAATATATACGAAATTGAAACTTTTCGAAAATTAGATTCGTAAAAAATTTAGCGCCACAGACGGCAAGATCAGAAAGACATTATCCAATAAGGATTCTATTAAAATGCTTTATGGGTTTTTACTTTTTTCAACCGACTTCAAAAAGGAGGAGGTTCTCAATTCGACTGTATGTTTTTTTTTTTATGTTTGTTACCTCAGAACTCCGTCATTTATTAACCGATTTGGACAATTTTTGTTTTGTTTGAAAGGGTATACTTTCAGATTGGTCCCATTTAAATTTCAAAAAAAAAAAATACCACCTCTAAGGGTGGAAAAACAACTAATGATGAATTTAACCTACTTCTAATTGTCATATTGACTTGAAACTTTGCAAGTATTTCTATTTCCGTTGATAGTACAGTGGTTCGGTGTTGTTGACCTGATCTGATGGCCAGGCCAGAAGGTGGATAGGTGGAACTCTTCAACGGCTAATAGTAGATACTTTGAGTTTGGGCCTATTTTGTTTGATTTGACAAGCCTAACACGTTAGAATCCTTACTTTGCTACTACTGTCTACACTAAAAAGGGAAAAATAAAAATTTTTAACAAAAAAATAAAAACCGACTTCAAACAAAAGCACTAAAAAGTTAAAAATAACTGATTGGTAGTTTTCATTTACTATACATACCTAATCAAATATTTTCGAAGTCGGTGTGCTTTGGCTAAGTAATTAAAGCCTACCTATTAATTATATACCTAATCAAATATTTTCGAAATCGGTGCCAGCCCATACAAAGCAAAGCACACCGACTTCGAAAATATTTGATTAGGTATGTATAGTAAATGAAAACTACCAATCAGTTATTTTTAACTTTTTAGTGCTTTTGTTTGAAGTCGGTTTTTATTTTTTTGTTAAATTTTTTTATTTATATTGGACGCACAAAGGTATCAATATAAGATGTTGTTATATTTCATTCTAAATAATAAACATACGCATTTTTGTACCTTCTACTAGACAGTCGGAACGAAGAAAGGATTGGTTACCAAGCTTTTTAGCATAAATTATAATACAATGCGTTACGTAATCGGGTGGTTCAAAATAAACATAGACCGTGTATGTTTATTTTCATGTGATGTTATGTGTACGGATGAAGGACTATTAATCGTCATGCTAATTATTTTAAAGTAGAAAAATACAACAATTTTTATAGGGTATGCACAGACAAAGACAAATCTTGAATCAGATTTCAGAATCTTATGAAGATATACAGTAAACTATTACAATTTCATGCTACACTCCCTGAACCGACCCTACCCATCTCGCAAGCACATTATAATCGCCGAGTTAAAAAACAGTCTACATACGTATATAATATTATGTACATATGTACTACTGTAGTAGTTGCATTATAAGTCAAAAATTGCATTAGCACCTTTTAATTGATTTACCTCACGTGCTTGAACGTATAGTTGCAAATCCCATAGAGTATTATGCAGTATATAACGGATACAGGTCGGATACAGGTTGTGTATTAATTATTGCGACCGGTCTCACTTTTACTTTTTGTCGGTGGGGTTAGCTTGAAATATCGATTACATAAAAGTGGATCTTTTAATATAGAAGCTTGCTTTAAAAAAAACAAACGTGTAATTAATTCAATAAGCCTAACGAAGCCGTCATTGCATTACCTACTACTTATATGAATATGTAGAATGTATTGTACAAATAGAGTTATTAATCAAACTTTATTACTCTGGGTACACTGTAAAACAACGAACCTAGATTACGTCAACGTTACGCTCTTGGAACTACTCTATTAAAGGAGCACATAGTTAATTTGTATAATTTCATGCTAAGATTAGTATTGTTCCTTAAAAGAGGGACCACCTAGTTTAATGGCTTCCATTGCCAAAAAATGTACAATTTAAAATTTAAACATTTTACTATGCATTATCAGTTAAATCTATACTAATATTATAAAGTGGTAAAGTTTGTGAGTTTGTGACGTTGTAGGGGATAATCTCTGGGTCTACTGTACCGATTTAGATAATTTGGTAAGAAAATAGTTTGAGACCCTAAGGAAGGACATAGAATATTTTTTATTCCAGAAGTCATTCCTTAAGGGGGTGAAAATGGGAATGAAAGTGTGTATTGGGAAGCAAGCGAGGGTGAGTCGCTAGTAGTTAAATATGTGGGTTCCTTAACACACAACACCATATAGTTCCATGGTAAGCTACTAAGCCTGTGTTATGGATACCACACAGTTGATACCCTAGACATACCTATACAACTTTTAATACATACATATTATAAATATAAATACCCATGACTGGAGTAAAACATTCGTGCTCATCACACAAAGGAATGCACCCCAGCGGGACTCGAACCCGCGACCGCTGGCACAGCAAGTAGAGTCACTACAAACTGAGCCAAATGTGTCGTCATTTTTTAAAGAGTTATTTACTTACTTCTTTTCCTTTACTAGCTTGATCCAAATCTAATCTGTACTGGTTTGGATCTAGAAGCAGTCTGAAGGTTCTAGAATCTCCATCTAGTTCTGGTCGCGGCTCTGGGCCTTCTTCAATAACTCGCCCTGATGCATCCAACATGCCCTCAACTTCGCATCCTCGTACATACACAATCCCCGCTTGCTCTACCATACTTCTCTTGTAATCATATTTTGTTCCTACAAATTAAAGATAGTACAAAATCTTTGTAAAATAAACTCGTACAAATAATTTCTAAAAGTGTGAAACAATGTTTGTTTTTCTTTGATCTATAAGGCTGCAACGTATCAATGTCAAATATGTGATTTTCTTTTGTATTGAACTTCTAATTTTCCTAGATTTCTGTAGAGCCGCGATAAAACTAATATAAAACATTGATTCATATAAAAACTAACGACCAACCAACAAATATTCATTTTTAATTGTTAAGAAACTTTTGTTCGAAGGAGACTTGCATAGCCAATTAAACATTAGCTCCATAGAAAAACTGAACATATATCTATCCAAGCAGAAGACATAATCAATCAAAGACCACACTACAATGATCATATTACCTACTGCGTCATAACTCATAAGGTGAAATATTAGCATTCCTTTAAACGAATTCCGTGAATTGTGCGTCATTTGTCGTGAAAAAAACAAATAAAACTTTTTTATTGCAGACATTTCCACTTTCTATAAGTATATAGTATTAGAGACAAAGCTGCACTTAATGGAAATAGTACACGTAGTAAAAACAGTTTATTTTCTAAAATGATTTACATTATTACATTAGAGCCATTTAAGTCACATTATTGATGCCTAAGTGTTACTACAGATCATAATCTATTATTATCTTCGTACTAAATTTCATCTAAATCCACCCAGTGGTTTCAGCGTGAAGGAGTAACAAGCGTACACATAAACATATATAAACTTTTATAGGTAAAAGTTGTCTGACTTGACGATCGGTTAGCATATTAACATTTGTGGTATATGCATAATTCATTGCAGATCGCAGTTGTATTCTTTGAGTGTTGCAAAAAAATTGGTAAGAACAAAAAAACAGAATATTTTGTCTTTAAAACTTTTCGTATAGAATTTTCTCATTCGTAAATTAATTGAGACTGACCAGCGTCAGTAATATACAAGCATATAATAAATAATATATAAGTATACACATACATGTATATACTACTAGAAGAGGTCTGTTCCAAATATAACACTAAATATTTTTCCACGAGTAGTAATTACTAAAATGAACTGTTGCTTGAAATAACAAACAGTTTTCTATTCTCGTATCTGATAATAGCACTTGATGGAAACATTTCAAATTTGATGGGTTTCCCGCCTACGTAACATTTTAAGATTTGCTTTATACTCATCATCTTCCTAAGAAATAGGAAAAAAGTGACGCATGTAAACTTTAAAATTTAATTAAGGGGAAAAAGAGCGAAATATATGTAAACAAAAGATACAAATAAAACTTAATTCTAAAGATTTTTTTAAGGAGTTTTAGACAAATAAGAAATTAATTGTCATGTATTTTCACTGTTCAGTCAATACCCTTCGATATTGTATTTTTTTAAACAAAATACAAGAGAAATAATATGTTTAAAAACTTTTTGTAGCTTAGGTAGCTATTGGTTGACATTTAAAGTAATTTTATAGTCTTACTGGATTATGACAAAATGTTAAGTAAAAATACATGCAATAGCAGTACATATTACATACTATTACACTCTAAAAAGTTAACAATATAAAAAATAATTATAAACACTAATGAATGAAATTTAGGAATTGATAGAAATTCTTACCTATTCCTTGGGTTGGTCGTACTGTTATCAAAAAGCAGACATCGTGTTTCCTTAAACTTTCCCATTCCTGTTTGATCTCGTTCCTTACACTCAATGTGACGCTCACATCAGCTCGAACTCTTGAAGGTGCTTTCTCTCCTATATTAGGCTTTGCCACTTCAACGACAGCGAAACTTTGTATTGGATGTGCCATTCGAGCCCAGCCACCGAAGTATACACTATCGTCTTCTGCACGCCTGTATGAAAAAAGGTTTTGTTTTGGAAAAAGGCTTTTAAATGAATTTCGTTTCATATTTTAGTCATACATAATTACTTAAAACGGAAGATACGAAATGTATTAAAAGAAAGACGGTCGTAGTGAAGGGAAGAATTGAAAAAGTTTAAGAATGTGAACAACTTACCACGGCGCCAGCCGGTAAACAGCATCTTCAATATCTTGGCGAATTTCATCTGTAAAAGTTTATAGTTTTATAGAATCGAAAATGTATAATTACCTCTACAAATAACTAAGACGTCAGTATGTAAGTACGAAAATAACTTGTTCTACGTTATCATTGCGAGTGACAGTTAAACAAACAGTGTATGAACCGTTGATAAAATCTTGCAAATATAATCAAGGTTGACTCGCCTGTGACCTAATTTAACTTTTTATTTATAATTTTCATAGATAATTTTAAATATAGTGCAAAAAACTAATGAGTAAATGCTAAAACTTTTACTTAAAAGTCATACGAATTTGACCATAAGAATATTGTATCATATAACAGATGGGTTTGCTTCTAGTACTTATCAAATATGTTATAGAAATTTTCTACTATAGAAGAAACCATTCAGTATCACAGTCATTGATTCTTAGAAAACGCAATGCAAATCAAAAATTATACAAGATTATATATACATAAAGCATGAAATCACTAAATGGTATCATTGAAAACCGCACCTATTTCCTAGATAGACTCATAATGCCATGATTGTATGGAAACACATCATGATATTGTCATCTGTATCTATGAAAATTGCTCATTTAAAATGAAAGACTAGTAACTTCATGCAGTTTTGATACCATGAAATACAATGTAAAAATTACGAAATCTCGTAAAGGGTTAAAATTACGACACATTTGTACTTACATGTACTCTCCAAACGAAACAAGTTAAAATTTCTCAGTAAATAATCGTGCAATGTTAAAAACTGTAGATTAAGTTTTGGCAACGCAAGGCAGTTCTCTCCGCTGTATATTTCAGTGGGAACCACGTTCTCGTCCCAGATTATATCTTCTGTTGGATAAAGAGGCATTGAGTTCAACTCTTCCAACTGTGATATTCGACGTTCATGGCGAGATATCTGATAAAAAACACAGTATTAAAATATTTATATTTTAAATATCTTAATTAAGTATTGTCAATTTGTATAGATATACTTACCAAGAGTTCCTTTAAGAAACCTTTATCAAGTCGATGCCATGGTGCTTCTTCCTCTTTGCCTTCAGGTGGTACGAGGTTTAGATATGTTGCGATAGCCCGCAATGCTTTGTCACTTAAAAATAGTAAAAGTATATGAAAAATGCTTGCATATATTCTTTAAAAAAATTGGGTTAGTTATATGTTTATTTATATATTTTTTCACAACATCTAATTCTTAATGAGCGATAATAAATAAATAAGAAAACGTAAAATACTATATAAATAAAAAATCCAATGAGTAAACAGTATATAAATTAAAAGGTTCGTCAAATAAAAAAATATAGTTACACAGCAAAAAAATATTTATTTATCGCTATTTACCTGAGGTTTCCAAAATGTTTTTGCAATGATTCTCTTGTATCAACACTTGCAACGTTCGCTAAGGCAAATAATCTTAAGTCTGGAAATTTAGAAAACGCAGCTTTCTGAAACAATGTTTGGTAAGCGAAATAATGTTTATAATAAGATTTACAATGAATTTTAAAAATATACATTGCTTCAAGTCGTATATACGTGAAACAATCTGGCGGTAAATACTTTAAATATCTTCTGTGTTTTAACAATATGTTTTGCCTGTTTGAGTCCAGAAGTTGAAATATTTCCTCTAAGATCCAAAAGTCATTAAATAAAACAAAAATATAATATCGCGTAGTCAAACAATAATATTGGGAATTTTATGCACGTACATATGTGTTACACTTTAGTTTGAGATAGCAGGTAGTATTAATTAATTTTAAGCTATCGCTTGCGTAACAGACAATACATATACGAATAATATAATTAATTAGCAATGAGCAAATAATAATTATACGGTTTTTACTATGAAGATTAATATAATAACAAATTACACTGATATTATTATTGCAAAAGTGCGTTTGTTAGTTGAAGGTTGTCCTTCTTCTAGGATTAACATCATCGTAATTGTTTGTACGAGTATATCTATAGATTTTGGGGCAGAAAGTGATATTTTTAGTCTCGATACTAAGTAACCTCGTATAGATAAAAAACCAGAATTGCGTAATGTATCATAGCTTATAAATTAATTTAACACATCAAATAAAAAAAAATACAGATTTATCTATGACTGCAATTTATATATAGTTAAATATATATATTTACAAATATATAAATTTATGACCGTTTCCAGACTTTAAATTAAAAGTTTTAAGCCGAGAAAGGTTTTTGACCTTATTAAAATAAATCTTTATTTGAGCATTTCTTTTTTCGATAAACCATATGGACCGCATATTTCACGCGAGATGCTTACTGCAGAGCGCACAGCAACCGGTAATATACGAAATTGCATAATATAATAGGTACTCAATATGTGCAATATTAAGTATATGAATGCATACTTCGTATGCTAATATCAATGTTTCATTCCTTACGAGGTAGAAAAATTATGAACACTATAAATATTTTAATAAAGATAAGAATAAAATGAGAGGTTCAATAAATCGTCTCAGCTAAGAGTATGAGCTGCTTCCGGGGTAAGTGGTTACGAGCATCATGTATTTTTTCTCCATTTATTTCTTATCATCTCATAAATTGTTATTACATATTTAAGTGATTTAAACATGACAAGTTATTTACATATGTGTATGAGAGCGAACCTGTAATGAAGTTATTCTTGAATAATGCTCCAAAGCCATATCTCGATCTGTCAAGGGATCCCCGGTTTCATCACTGATTTCGAAACGGGCGTAGAATTTAAGCATCTGCAATAACTGTAACAAATAATTCAAGAATATAATGTCAATAACGAAAGCAACATTTACTGGAACAAATTCTAAATAATTATTCAAAGAAATTACAATTTTGATTTGGTTAAGTACAGTTTTATTTAATATATCTATTTAAGAGGATAAATATGCAAAATTTATCCACTTAAATAGATATATTAAATAAAACTTTTTACGAATACGAATACGATTAGGACTTATACAATTTAGAGTTACGTGTCGTTTTATTTTTCTATTATTTTTATTATAAAATAAGTGGCAGACGGCGCGGCGGTACGAAATCCTCAGGGCGCAACTCCAACTCGCACTTGGCTAATTTTCTTTTTAATTATGTAGCTTATAAGTAAAATGTTGAAGGGTTAATATTTTAATGTGTGAGTTGGTCACGAATTACGATACACTGTACCTCTTCTCAGTTTGCGGTCGAGGTTATACGAGCGTTAACACTCGCGTCGTTCAGTCGTACGTTGGACGTAAAACCTTTAATTTACAAATACGTAACAAATATGTAGATAAATTATTGAATAAATAAATAATATATTTTATAAAAAATAATCAAAAGATATTTTTGAAAACAATGAAGATGAAGCTTTTTATTTCAATTTTATTTTTTGGGGTTTTCGCTCTTGTGTTTGGTGATCCTGAAAGTTCGTTCTGTTGTAAACCAGGACAAGGTGTTTTATCTGACGATGGCCGTAATTGTACAAATAATAGTACTAATACAATAACTCCAACAAAGCTTTTGTGTGAGATAGCAGGTGTTGTGCCTATATCGCTTGTGGAGTTTAGAGTTAGTGATGAAGGAATACTTATAGTGGATTTTAATAACCAGGAAACATATACAGACAGCGACAAGTAAGTTTTCACTTCATTTGATTTCGTTTTTTGAGTATAATACGTGGAATGTGTTATTTCAAAATGTCGTAAAATCGCCGGTCTACCAATTAGCGTGCAAGTATTCACTTCTAGTGGTATGGATATCAATGGGGAAAAATTTTAAGAAATGGGTTGTTGAATGACGCGCGTGACGCAGTTCGAGTCATTCTACTATCGTCTCGGGTACAGTGCCATTTATTTATTATGGTAAATATAGACTAATGGCTTGCCTTCTTCGAGTGCGCCCCTAGAAAAGATTTTTTTCCCGGTTTTATAACATAACGGTAGATTATATTTTCAAATTATTTATAAATAAAAAAAAACGCTTTAAGGTTTCGTAATAATCCCTCTTTTGATTGGTGAAAAGCGTATGAGTGTCATACAGCAGTTTCAGAGATTAGCTGAGTCTTGCGTCTACGACGGAGGTATCCGCGGTCTCATTTCAAATAAATGATTTCTTTATAATATAATTCTTTATATTACTCACCAAGTGAAATCTTTAGCATTTAATTATAATAATAATATTTTTCAGATTTTGCGTGGCAAATGGGACTGTAAACACGACAGAAAGACTTGTTGTATTGTGTTCAGAAGAAGAAGAAGCTATTTTAGACGATCGTGTTCTAGGACATTGTTTGATAGTATCCGTAATTTTTTTAACTTTAACAGCTCTCGTGTATAGTGCATTACCAAAATTAAGGTAAATATTATTAAAATTAAATTTCAATTTATTTTTCTAAGATGACATTAACTTTTATATTTTAAAATACCGTTTTAGAAAAATTGGTTTAATTAGTACAGCTACCTAAAGCTGAAGTAATAGGTTCGATTCCTCCACTAAATTCTTGTTTGTAATTATTGTATATATACGCAAATCGGTTCTTGTATAATGAGAGCAAGTAAATAGAAATGAAAATTAAACAAAATTATACTGTTTTTTCAAAATGTCAAATTCTTACAAGGTACATTACTATTTTCTTATTCAGATATTATTTGGTATATTTTAGGGATCTTCAGGGCAAGAGTCTTGTAAGCTTCTGTGCTAGTTTAGCGATAGGTATGGCTTTCTTATCAATATTGAAGCTGATGGAATACGAGAATATGGACCTATGCGCCGTTAGAGGTAATTTTAGTTTTGTTTAGTATACTAATTACTTGCTATATGCTAACAAAAATATTAATATATACTTGCTATATTCAATTTAAGTGCGAAAATTTAAATAGCCGAAGCAATGTTGAAACTCTTTTAAAAAGAATTAAAATGTGCCGATACTAAAATATCTTACACTAAACTACTTATACTACTAAAATATGCCGATATGTAAAATGATCCAAACTATATAATTAACAAATTGTACACTTCGTTAGTACTCGCAGGTTATAAGTAAATAGAGAGCAAATGTTTCATTAATGTCATATTTATACGTTCTCCTTATGATTAAGCGCACTGCCAAAGACACCCTACTTTTAAAAACAAATAAGAGCTCAAATTGGAGCAGTGAGTCAATATAGGTTTTCTGCCCACGTGTCAGTGAAACGTGAAACTGTTGTGTCTATAAATTATTACTACCTAGGTTTTGCTCTAGACACCGCTGACATCAATACATATAATAAAATTGTAATTAAGCCGAATCTGTACATTAAATATTTTTTGGAAAATCTTATTGAAATAAACATTATTATCGATACAGAAGCCGAATCTATAGTTTATAGAATTTTTGTTTGTCTGTTACCGCATCACAGAAAAACCACAGGAGGGATTTTGATGAAATTTGGTATGGTGATAGCTGGTTATCCGGGTCTTATAGTAATATATATATTTACAGTGACAAAATGTTTCATTTCTGAGAAAAAATACAAAAACTGCAATGTAAGAGTATACTAATATGTAAAACCTAAGAATTTGGTTTTTGTTCATCTGAACGCGGGCGGAGCCGCGGGCAATGCTAGTGTTACAATAAAAATAGCATGGGTCTACCTAAATCCTAGACGCACAGTGTTAGTATCGTAAAAATTAATTCAGTCATCGCGTAGTTCAGTCGAATTTTTAACGGTTTAGTATCGTACAAATAACCATTATTATATGGAATAGCTGTTTTGAAATTACAGTTACTTATTTATTCAAATATTATTTACTAGCTGCTCACCCTCACTTTGCTCGAGTTCGTCTCTAGGTGCATTTTAACAGTTAGTAGAAATAGATAAGTCTTCCTCAATAAACGGGTTATTTAATGCAGAAAGAATTTTTCAAATCGGATTAGTAGTTCCTGAAATTAGCGCGTTTAAACAAACAATCTCTGCCATTTTATAATATTAGTATAGATTAAAAGCATGTACCTACTTATATAAACAGATAATAACTATATCTTAAGATGTTTTCACGTACTATAAAATATGTAAAATATATATTATGTATACATATTCCAAAACAGTTGATCGCTGGCGACCGTGGTCATGGTCGTAGCCGTAAGAGCGGGCGGGGTTAAGTTCATTTTGGTTCTTTATAATACGTGAAATCAGAAATTCATAATGAAATGATCACTCTCACCAAATTCATTTTCACAATTATTGAATTATAAGGCTTAAATATATTTTTTTCAGGGTTCCTCGTCTATTTGTTTCTCATTGCAAGTTTCTTTTGGACAAATGCTATATCTATACAAATACTTCTTAGCATTAGGTGAGTCAACTTAAAATATCTTAAGTAATTTCTGGTGACCTCTTCTAGGTTTTAAAGTTTTAACAGTGTTAATAATATTTAATATATTCACATTTACAATTTTCAATCCTAGAAACAGGAATCGATCTACCTATTTCTTACAAACAAAAACGATCTTCAATGCCTCATGGAAAGTGAAATTTTTTCAGTGTAAAAAAATGTCTGGATTGCAAAAATGATGGAAATCAATTGAGACAAGGCCTAGAGAGTACTATGATGGAGTTTCGGTTGAATAATATTGTGATAGAACATTGTGACACACCCCCCCAACGTGCGTTCACCTTGTCGTGGGCTCAGTAGTGCCCGGCAACCCAACCGGGCGCGAAGCCAAGAAACGCACAGGGAGGTGGCTCACTTCGGTGGGCGGTGGGAGGTGGCCCTCTTCGGAGGGCAGTGTACCATGCAGGTTGCTCCTGGTACTTCTCTGATAGCAGAGTGGACTGTGGAGCAACCCCGTGGTTGTTGTGGTCTGTTTCGGCAGACCTGCCGTCGGGGCGTCGTAGTTGAATGCGTAAGCGATCCTGCGACGCCCCATTAGGACGGGGGAAGGTTTTGTTGGGTTTTAGTGGGTAGTACTGGCTTTGCCGGTGAGTCCCACACCTCGTGCGTAAATGCATTTCCCAACGTTAAAAAAAAAGTCCATTGTGACACAGGGCCTCTATACACTCACAAGTAGTTTCTTTTATATCGGTACGCGTTTAAGACATACAAGTTTCACAGTTATCATACAAGATACCTTTTTTACAAGCAGTAACGTGTTTAAAATTTAGAGCTCTATAAGAAATACCGAATCTTATGTTGAACGCCCCTTTTTACCTTCTAAAGAAAGGCGATCTAAATACAATTATTTACAAGAATAAAGATCATATTATGTTATAATTTACAGTATTTCTTATTTTGTATAAATTCGTTTACAAAGTCGTCAAAACGTAATCATAATAAATCAAGAAATTAATCGAATGTCGAATAAGTTCGACGAGGCTTGCGCGACCCCTTGCAGCCCGCCCTGGGCCATCGACACTACCACATTAGAGTAGATAAGTCCCTGATTACAAGTAACAATCCTATTCAGAATCCCCTCATTATTCTATAAATTACAACAACTTTTGTAATAACTATTTTTCGTGTAAAATTGAAAATAACCGAGTTATTCAATAAACAAGATTCAACCCTTGAATTCAATATGGCGGATGACGCAACGGGTCTAGTACCTCGGGAACCTAAATTTAGACTGCCAGTAAGCCCCAAGAATTCCGAAGGAAAATTGCCAGTATTTTTTTTTAATTTTTGCAATATCAAATCCTAATTCGACCAGGCTTTTTAGTGAGTACAGTCCGAGCCTCTTTTATCTTTCCAATTTGACGTAGGGAATTAATACGTATCGTTTTGTCACTGATATGAAGGTCATCACTAATGACGTGGATAACGATGAACGTCATCACTTTCGTCACCGTACAGTCAATCCTTATTGGGATCAATATTTCTTAATAGGAAGCGAACACACCAAAAACGCATCATGTGGTCACTAGTGGTTTCCGGTTCAATAAGTATGTGAATTGACGTATTCCGCTACTCTCGAATAATGAGCAATCAAACACAGAAAAGTCTAATGTTTTTAACGGCTTAGTAAAAACTATAAAACTTAGAATAGCTTGTAAACTTAACAATTTATATTTAAAATATATGTTGCAAAACACTGTTACATTAAAGATATTTGTTTTAAGGAAATTATTCTATTCATTTCTGATAAGTTTCATATATAACATTCCACAATATTTATTTATTCTTCTATTGTAATCTATCGTGTTTATTATTCATTTAAATACTATTTTAATGATTCAAAATTATTTATTATAAATTTCAGACGGGCGAGTATAGCCGACTATCGATGGAAACCGTTTCTTTGGTATGCTCTTTACTCGTGGGGCATTCCAATCTTATTGACTGTCTGCATGGTCATCGTCAATTATCACCCAGGCCGACACCCAAAGCCCGGTATAGGACTTAACACGTGTTGGTTTTATGGTAAATATTTCACATTTTTGTTAACCAATGCATTTATTATGAGCTAGTATTTTATTTAAAGCAGAAGTACTTACAAAAATGTAGTATGTTTTATCAATATATTTGTGATGGAAGTACCTACCTACGAGTATATACACATATTCCACATATCTTCGCCGGACTTTTTCACATTTGTACAGGAATATATCTTATGGTGCAAATTAACAAAATTAATCCTAAGATATATAACATATTCGCAAATACGGAATCATGAAATTTACACAAAAACATAATTTAGAACCTCTTTCTTTTTAAAACTTAGTCAATAATAGATATCACAAATTATTGTTTTTTGGGTTAATGTTCCCAAAATTGAAATCTTCTAATTACTTTTTATTTTCTATATTTCACCTGAAATCCCATTAATATTATATGTATTGTCCATTAAAGGAAAATTATTCTGAAAGATTTCAAACGATTTTCGAACCAGTAGGGACTAGGGATGAAAAAAAATGGTCTTTGTCCTTTGGTTTTCGGGATGTTTCGGTTTTCAGTATTCTAAGTATATGCTATAAATTTTGTATTTATTTCAGTGTAATTATTATGTACTAGTGACTTAGCCTCACCTCGCTAGGGTGCGTCTCTAGGTACGCGCACAAAGCGTTGCTACAGTTTAATAGGAAGATCTTTTAAGAGGAATAATTCTGTAATAAATTATTTTCATATAACTATTAGTTTACGCGGTGCACACCAATAAAGCTCGCAGTCGGCATGATTGTTTACGACATTCTTCAACAATCAACGTCTTATTTTAGCTAATTTACACAAAATCTAATGCATTATACACTTAAACCTTCCTCATAAAACACCCCATCTATTGGTGAAAACCGTACGAAAATCCATTCGGTAGTTTTTGAGTTTATCGTAATCAGACATACAGACAGACGCGGCGGGGTATTTTAATTTTCTTTTATTTTTATAATTTTTTTCTTTGTTTCATTTCAGATAAACATCAGCAATGGTATTATATGTATAGTGTGATGACAATCCTAATACTTGCAAATATTTGTATATTCGTCTATTTATCGATAAATTTATGTTGTCACACATTTGCTTCCAGTCACATAAAGGCACTAAGATACAAGTAAATAAAATTTGAAATATTTACATCATACATTTAAAGATGGCTCTGTACATTGTTCGAATACGTCGCTGTATATTAATTTTTTAACTGTTTTTTTTTCCAGGTTCGTGATGACAGTTCGAATGTTCATAATAATGGGATTGCCGTGGATATTTGAAATGATTAGTTCGGTGACGAAACCGCATATAATATGGTTAAGTTGTACAATAATTAATTAGAATCATTCACTCTTTTAATATTATAAATGTGAAAGTGTGTTTGTTTGTTTGTTTATTTGTTCGTCCTTCTGTCACGTCAAAACGGAGTGACCGATTGACGTGATTTTTTGTGTGGACGTAGTTGGAAGGCTGGAGAGTGACATAGGCTAATTTATAAATATAAACTATTATCGTCATAATAAAACCATCACTTTTTCAATATAAACTAATTAATTCGATAACCGACTGTTGACATACTATTGAACTCGTTTACTGGGAGCATGAACGAATTAGCCACAATTCGTTCATGACTGGGAGTGATTCATCTGGCCATTTAAATTTTAATAATAAGAAAAAAAAGGCAAAGTTTTTTCGATGTCTATACGAAATATTTTGAAAAATTTTTTAAAGATATACCTACATATATTTATTTTAAATAAGCTTTACCTACCTCTAGGGTGTTTTTATTTTAATTTAGAATAAAAGTTATATCGTAAGGTAGAAAGAAATAATTATTGAAATTTGTTTTAAAGTACTTTTTACATTCAATATAGTGTTGAAACGGAAAACCTAACGTACTTATTACTTTTTTAATGTTTTTCAATATTGCAGGGTGCTGTTCGACATATTCAACACTTTACAAGGACCATTGATATTTTTGCTACTGGTAGTACTGAGAAAACGAGTAATAAAGGCAATGTATGAGAAGGGTTGGTTGGATTGTATATCAGGTTTAGTGGAACGTCATCTAGCTATAGGCGACGACGAAGAGGATGTTGTTGAGCACATGGACGTCGACCTCGACGAGAGGCCCACTCAGGTGCCAACTATAAAGTAAATCAACAAAATATTAACGTGGTTCCCATTAATGTTCAGAGTATTCCGGCTTTCCATGGTGGAGCTGAGGTATATTTACTGAGGACTATTATACGTTAATGTCACTCCCAATAACTGAGATGAATCTACCGACGCCCTTTAATGTTACAAACCATCATGCTGTTTAGATTACAAAGTGTGCCAAAGAAATGACTTTTAAAATTATTCTTTCTGGGGCAGTCGGGTAAAAAGTTAGGTATTATATTGGATAAGCTTATCTTGGAGTCTGAAAAGTCTTTAGACGATCGAATACATAACTCTCTGCCTATTCCTAATGGAACTGCAATAATACTTCCTTCTGTAACCAATTAGTTATACTGATAGTTATTTCCTTATCCATAAAGACCAAGGATAAATAAACAAAAGCGTCTCCAAAAATTATTTCATTAGTTTCGTACGACATTTTTGAACTTCGTTTGAAGCTATAAGTCATGCTTTGTCAAGGCTTTGTCCTTTATCTAACTTTACGTCGGTTCATGGTGCCACCACAAAGTATATTATCATATTTTTTTAACTAACTATACTCCTCTTTTAGTCTATTAAGCGTTTTCTCTATCCCAAGATTGCCTAAGAGATCGCTCACACAGCGATAAATTCGATAATTGTGCCATTTATTTCCTTTTAACAGTTTTATGTTATATGTCTATGTAAAGATTGTTATATAATGTTACTTTAAATAATAAATATTGGTCAAGTGTGAATTGGTATCGCCGCTAAGGGTTCTAACTGCTATTCAATATTGGCTTCTTTTTAATAGTATTTTTATAGGTATTTACATATACGATCCCTGATGCGCAAATCTGACATTGCCTTGGTCAATATTTTATTACAACAATTTATTTTTTGTACATATGTTTTATAAAATAAAATTAGATAAATTTGTCGTGTCTTTTTATTGTTATTTTCATGAAATGATTATTCTGCCCTTATGATAATTTTTGCCTCTTTGTCAACCAATCGACTTTTGAGGAAGTCGTATTTGATGTTTGACAACAAGTACATACTTATATTCTTAATAAATATGAGTAGGTATCATTATTTTTAATTAATAAGTAAATTCTGGGTAATGTTTGCACACGTTTTAGATTCTACATTTAAATAGTAACGGATAATATATTGTGTGTACAGTGAGTGAACACTGTAGTCCGTTAGTAACAATCATAGACATAGAGAGTGGACTGAGTGTTTATTTTCCAGCCGTCAGCTAAAAATGGCGGAAAAGCTTCCGAGACAAAACGATTTCGCGGCCAGAAGTCATCTGTATTAATTAAAATACGATTAATGAAGATAGATATTTATAACCATTTTAATACTATAATAATCGTCAATAATATTATTATTTTTTTACATTCCAGTTATAAATTCAAATTTGAATAAAAGACAAGTATTGAGTGCACATTCGCTTTCTCTCTTTCTGGAGAGTTGTCAATTTCATGACAGAAGTGCGCAGTCCATTCTCTAGGTTTATGGTAACAACAATATTAAGTGAGTGACATCTGTTGATTACTCTCAGAACGACGCTTAGACAATTGCATTTGAAATAAAATTAGCAGCTCCATCTAGCGACGATGTAAAAAGTATTATTAATATAGTTCTTTTTAGCTGGTTAAGGTTTCAGAATTTGTTTTCCAACGGGCACGTGGAATGTGGATACATTAATATCATACAATTTAAGTGCTCCAATTTAATGGTGCAGACGTTGTTAAATTTTTGATTTTGGAAATAATTCCTAACATTTCAAATAAGTTAGTATATTCCATGTTCGAAAATGAAATCATCTAACCATTCATAGGTATGTGGTCAACCTTAAAAAGAGAAAACCCTTGCATGATAGCTTTATAAAAGCCATGAACAAAATACCTTTCTTATAGTAATAAAATTCGTAATTTTTTGTTTAAAATAAATAATATCCAAAATCAAGCGTGTATAAATAATAATGTATAGAAACAATAGACAAAAAAACTTAGTAATAAAATATAATATATATAGAAATAGATATACATAAAAAAAACTATCTTCTTATCAACTTCATCTAAATCGGTTCAGTAGACCCAGAGATTACCCCCTATAACGTCTCAAACTAACAAAATCACAAAGTCATAAACTTTACCTCTTTTTAATATTAGTATAGATTAATGACCTTTGTAAATAATTAAAACGTGTATAGCTCACAATTTTCCCCTGTAAACCCTACCTCCCCTCCCCTCCCCTGTAAAAATAAACACTGTACGGACAGGACACACAAACATGACGAAATTATATTACTGTCGTTTGTTTGGTTTGCTTTTGCCCTTTGGTTACGGGACCCAAAAAATAAAGTTGTAAGCTTCATTGCTTGTTTAAAAACCATTGTTATAATACTTTCTTAGATTTACGCGAATATTTGACATTTTAAATAAAACTATCTTTTCGGATTTTTTCGCGAATTTATCTTATATTTTGGTTCCCGACGTTTCGAATGCTTTACAGCAAAAATCAAAATAAATTCGCGAAAAAATCCGAAAAGATAGTTTTATTTAAAAACCATTGTAATCTTTAATTTCTTTTACATTCCATTAATGAATTAAAGTTAAACTTTTATCCCACTGGAATTCAATAATTAGATAGGTACTTTAAAAGTTCATATAATAAGTATACTAGTGACTGACCCTCGCTTCGCTCGGGTTCGTCCTTAGGACATTTTAACGGTTGATATTGAATAGAGACTATACATTATATCTATTATACTTATGTATAACATAGGTATGAATTGTTGTGGGTTGTATGATAATTTATAACGTGTTTCTCTGTCGGAATAATATAATCTCTCGCGGTAAAAAGTAGCCTATGTCACTCTCCAGCCCTCCAACTATCTTCATTCTCCACACCAAAAGTCACGCCAATTCATCACTATGTTTCGAAATGAAAAAAGGACAAACAAACAAACACACTTTCACATTTATAATATTAATTATGGAAGTATGGATATCCGAATCCGTTTAATGGTCTATGCGTAATTGGACAACAATGAGTCAAAAAACTTTCCAAAACCTAATATTGATGTAGGTACAAATATCTATAGGTACCGTAAAAGAAGAAATGAATAAAATTTAGTAATTACAATATTACGTAATAAAATAAATAATAAAATTTGTTTAATATCTGTACGAAAATATATTCGAAACGAGCAGATAATACGCCAAGAGTAAGAAGCGGTATAGCGAAATGTTTATATTGGAGCCTAATTGACTATGCGAGGAAACGGGTCCTGGCGTAAAAGAACGTGTTTACTTCGTCGGTGACAGCGGTAGTGGCGCACGCGCAACTCACACAAGCTATCGAAGAGTGATTAAATATATCATATTACTTACTATCATAGATGATAAAGTCCCCTCAAACGCCAGTTGTAGGGTGCTGTGACAAGCCGCGTGTCGTTGCAAAAGTTATTGTTTATTTATCGTGTATAAGAAATTAATTATGAAGGTAAGTTTTATAGAGCTAATCAAATTATTAATATTCTTATAATATTTTGTAGTTGAAAATATTTTGTGTTATTTCGAAAGAAAACGCATTACAATATAGGGTAGTTTGATGGACGATGAATTCGTTAGTAATTTAAACATATTTTAGGCATTTTAAAAAGTACCTAATATTATTAAAAGGATGATTTCGTTTTCATTATTATGTACGTATAAATATTAAATACAATAAATTATAATTAAAATTGTCTGTTTTGATACGGCGCCGCAGCCAGAGAAGTGGCACTAGCCTAACAGATAAATTTGAATGCATTATCTTCATATACTATTTTATTTACGTACAACGTAGCTATTAAATTATTTTATAGACATGAATAATGAGTTATTTAACCATAGTATATCTCATTTTTTATGTAATTGATAACTTTTTATACTTTTTTATATTAAAAAAGAAAAAAAAATCAATATTTTCTGTAAAAGTTTCCTCCTACCTCACTTTTAAAATAATTACCTAAATTATTTTTTTATATGCATAAACTATAAATTTAGTTATTCGTTGAAATTATTATTTTTTAGTATAAAAACATCGACTCAAGAGTAAATTCAAGACTGTATAAATTAAAATAAGAGTTTTGATTAGATAACGTAATGATTTTATACTCGTCGATTAACTTTAAAAATCAAGTGTTTGTGCAAAATACACAGAGTGGACACAGGTAGAATAAATTTTTATCAAGTGATATCGTAAAATAGATATTTCAGGTTTCCCGAAACTAATCTACGTAACCAGCCCTTTTTAAGGTCTCATTGCTGGGCACGAGCTTCTCTTCAATACGAGGCGGGATCAACGACTCTATGGTTTTTATTAAATACTAATTTTTGCTCGCGGCTACCGTCGCGTGGTACATCGATAAAAAACCCTAAAAAGTAGTGCAGCTTCGTATTAGTACAGGAATTTTAGGAGGTTGTTCAAAATTTCTTTTATATACGAATTAAAAAAATATGAAACAAGTTAAATTTATAAACAATATAGTATTTGAAAAGCACTTACTTTACTATTAGTCTAAATTGATTTAATTTACTTAACTATGTACATAATATGTACTTATATGTCCTAGAACTAATATGGATATTATATACGCTACATACGATAAATATTTAAAGATTCATCAGTAGTAAATATTGTATAATTCGAGGCTATCGCGGGTAAATGTAAAATGTAAGTAAACGATTCATTCCTTCCTACCTTAATTTTAATCGGCACGAATACTGTGTTAACCGAAGGAATACAAAATGAGAAAAGAGGAGACAGTTCAGTAACACAAATTATCTTTTTCTTTTGTTTAGTAGCTATGGACGATCTTTTGTAATCAATAAATTTTTTGGAAACTTTTTTTTGTACTGATAGGTAAATTCTATTCCATGTTTTCTTTTTCCAGTAATGGTTTATCGTTTCAAAATTACCTAATCGACTTTAGAATTATATTTAATTTTTATTATAGGTAATATCTTTTTTTTCTGTGTTATTCTTGTGTTTACATATCGAGTTTATGTTTGCATTTAGGTACTGTGGATAGGTATGTTCGACGCTGATCCTAATATATTGTATAGACAATCTCTTTTTTAAAATCAATAAAATAAAAAGCAACTTGTCAGGTAGTGTAAACGATCATCAAGAAGTCATTTCATTACATATTATTATATGTTAGTTGGACTTTATTGTCTGTCTGTGGTAATTTCAATATTTTCAATTACGACCTATAATATAAATAAACTAGCAAAATCCGCAGCCTCGTTCGCGCTAAAACTACAATAAAAAACTCTTAGACTTTATGCAAAAGGCATTTTTCAAATGGGCTTAGTAGTTTCTGCTTCAAGCACTTAAACAAACATCAGTTTTACATAATGTATGGTATGCCCGATTTGTTGACATTTATGAATACTGCTCCACTCTCTTAGGTAATAAGTAGAATGACGATATATAGCCTCTTCATCAATAAATGGGCTATATAATCCAAAAAGTTTTTTTTTAATCCTTCAAGTAGTTATTGAGATTAGCGCCATCAAACAAACAAACAAAATTTGCCTCTTTATAATATTAGTATACATAACAGAAATACGTCTCCACAGGTGTCATCTGTAAATCCATCAATCCATTCGTAAAAAATAATTTAAATATAGATTTAATTATCTATAGTAGTATGTTATTTAAACAAAATGCTGTCGTTTTTAATCTAAAACTACAAAGCAGGCGCCATTCGCGATCATAGGTTACAATTTGTACTTCCTATACATATAATTAACCCCTAACCTTAATAAACTAACAAATTTAATAATATAAAAATAGTATGTAAGGTTTGTTAACAACAAATCTTGCTAAGCATTACGGTACCCAGTTCATGTAAAAGTAGAATAAGTCAATTATTTCACGAAACAACACCATGATGCACAGTGCTGGGAAGTCCTCAATTCAGAATACGGGGAGGATCCGGTTAACTAAAAATTTAATGCTAATTAGCTATTGTGACAGCTAATCAGACCATATATATACCTATTAGCGAAAGTACAAAGCACTCATCTCATATTTTCGTTTAAACAGCTTTGGAACGTGACACTACGATAGCCTTGTTATCGATTGATGTCGGTAATGAGAAAAAATGTTACATTTACTTACTTATTCATATAATAAACTAATTTTTGCACATAGTTTCGCCCGCCTAAAACGTATTCTCTGTATCGAGAGGTTCAGAAAAAATAACATTCAAATTCAACTATTACTTATCGTTCAATGGGAGTTTACTAAGGGTATAAAATTATCCCTTGTATTCTCCTAGTAAATGTGTTATCCATGTATCAATTTTTATTTCTTCAATTGTTCAAATGCTTGAACGAATCTCAAATTTTTATACCTCCAAATATTTAAAAATAGTCACCATTTAGTTTTACAGTAATTTATACAGCTAAAATGTCTGTCTGTAACGTCGAAATAACGGCTAATACAAATGCAAATGAAATTATATGTACTTATAAGAAAAACACGATTTTTAATTTTTTGTCTGTTTGTTCCGGCTTATCTCCGAAACGGCGGGACTGATTTTGACGGGATTTTCACTGGCATATAGCTGATGTTATAAGGAGTAACTTTCGACGACACATTTGGCTCAGTTTGTAGTGACCCTACTTGCTGTGCCTGCGGTCGCGGGTTCGAGTCCCGCTGGGGGCATTCATTTGTGCGATGAGCAAGAATGTTTGTACTCCAGTCATGGGTGTTTATATTTATAATATGTATGTATTTTAAGTTATACATGTGTAGTGTATCAACTATCTGGTATCCATAACACAAACGTCGTAGCTTACCTTGGAACTAGATGGTGCTGTGTGTTAATGTCCAACATATAAAAAAAACTTAAGCTTGTTTTATTTTCGAAAAAGAATTAGGGTTCCGTTGAAAAAAATTCAAACGTTTTTAGGGAGGAACCCGAGCGAAGCGAGTGTAAGTCGCAAGTGTAGTGATAGTTTTATAAAGCATTTTAATTTACATTAAAATGCTTTATTAACATTTAAACACATTACTTGTTATAATGTACGTATAAACTATAAGCGGATTATTTCATTATAACTAATGAGCAATAAACATATATAATAGATTAATATTATAGATTATAATTAATGATCTATGATTCTTGCATTTCCATATACCTACATAATAATATGACAAACAATTATACGGAATTCAAAGAATTGCTTGCGCATCGCTGAAGGCGTGGATAAACATTAGTTTGTTTTTAAAATAAGCGACAATCAAATGTGGTTCTTTCAAAATATTGACCTTGACGAAAGAATTTTGCTCATATATTTAAATTATTATATACTTTTCATCATCGGCATTTCCATGTCCATGTACACACACATAATTAACAATAAAGAGTTTTAATTTAAGCTTAAGCTACCAATAATCTTACTTTTCTCATCACCAATTCGCGTTTAAAACTGATAAATAGTTATTATAAATTGACCTTGTCTAAGTGCAAAATAAAATTACCCTCCTGACTTATCATTATCGAACACTAATTGTCAGTTGACCCATTTTCTTGACCACTTGGACACTTGCATGATTCAACAAATTAGGTGACCTTATCATAAATATTATTATCTATGTAATCGAAAAATCTTATATTACTAATTATATTACAATAAAATTTCATAGTATAAATATAGCTTATCGATATTTTTTGTTGCTGAGAATAAATGCGATTAACAAATCATTATTATGTATAATAATAATAATAAGTCATTATTTGGCTTTTAATATTTCATATTATCTATATTGAAACACAGTAGGATTACTAGCAGTGAGAGTGACGCATGATACGACTGAAATATCTTCATGGTTAAGTTGTACCTAAGTTTAATTAAGAATCTTCTTCTACAATTCAGATTAGAAAATCAGGAAAGAAAGTCAGTCCTTTCATATTTTTATTTGCTACTTTACATGATAACATCTATGTCACTTCATTATTCACATAGGACACTTCATTATTGAGCAATGAACGGTGTAAAGTCTAAAGACATTGTATGAAGTATTTGCTGAATAGCATTTGACCATAAAAATGGTTTATGAATCTGTACAGTGTACAGTTGTTTTCAAGTGATAGATACGTTTAAATAGAACTCATTACAATTTTACTATGTGTACTTATAAATTTTACATATAAACGTCAACTAAATTAAAATATTCATTGATATAAATAGCAATGAATGAATGTTTACATTTTTAATTACTTTGTTAATGAGTTTCAAAATAAAAAAGTTCAATAAACTCGCAAGTATGTACTTGCAACCGGATTCTGCGGTGCATGATACTGATGCAACAAACACTTGCTTGTACGTTTACATAGTAGGTATCTATAGCAATATTAATTGTCATGATATTGATTGTAAGCCAGAACAGGGACGGTAAACGTTTAAAATAAAACTTAAAACACTTGTTTAAGAAACAAGGTTTTATTTTAAACTGGTTATCTATACTAATATTTTAAAGAGGCTGGATCTACTGAACCGTTTTAGATGAAATTTGGTAAGAAGCTAGTTTGAGACTCTGGGAAGGGCATAGAATACTTTTTATCCCGGAAATCATACCTTAAGGGGGTGAAAATGGGGATGAAAGTTTGTATTGGGAAGCAAGCTAGGAACCCGAGCGAAGCGAGGGTGAGTCGCTAGTAATGAATAAACTGGGTAGATGTAGGAATACGAACAAAGCAAATTAAATAAAAGCATGTAATACTATAGGTATGTATTATTGTATTATAAAGTTAAATGTGCACAAAAACTCAATTATATTTCCAGTAAAATTAATTATGACAAAGTAATGAACTAAAAAGTGAACATCTGCAATATAATATGTATTTTATAATAGATATAAGCGGACGCGGTATTATCATTTTACAATTGTCCTCGACATTAGGTAGGTATTGTAATACAATATTATTATGTTTAAGTACCTGAAAAATGATATGTATAAGATTTTTATTTCACAATTAGACTTATATCGATGTATCTATACTTTCTTATGTATTCGACAAAATATTTAAGTTAACTACCTAATATATGACATGAACCTACACAATTCTTCTTCCATCTATTATATTATTAATTTACTCGATGTTTTATATTTCTATGTATACAATACGGATATTGTTAAAAAATACATTTACGTTTACCACCTGTAGGCATACGAGTAATTTTCAGCTAGTACCCACTGAAACCCAACAAAACCTCCCCCGTCTTAATGGGGCGTCGCAGCATCGCATACGCACTCAACCACGACAAGGTGAACGCACGTTCGGGGGGATATCTACTTATCCTAATTTATGTATATTATATGTGTATATCTACAAAAGAAACGGGAAAAGATATTATTTTACTTTCAGGAAGTAATATTTCTTTTATTGGCTGTAAGCGGAACGGCTCTTTCAGCTGACCTATGCTGTAAAAATGATGAGATTATCTGGTCCAAGGGTTTCTGTGGCAATACAACCAATAGAATTCAAAGGAACTGCACGCTTGGCCACATACTCCTTAAGGATATCATCTTACATGGCGATAAGCTTTCCACTGAGGACACTCCTGAATATATATTTGTGGAAGATCCTAACCTGTAAGCTTCTTAATAAGTTAATTAAAATAATATTTTTAAAAATGTCAAATATAAATGTACTTATTCAAATATAATTATACTTTTGTATACTTTATTACTATGGACCATTTTTACAATGACTAATAACCTTAACTAATGAGGAAAAAAGATCGTTCAATATATTTTGTTTATTGGAAACATTAGCTGGCTAGTTTAATTATAAAACATTTGAAATAAAATTTAAAAGAAAAAGAAGATCAGTGATCGATAAGGTTTTTTAAAACATACAAAAACATATATTTAGAAAAGAATAGCTGATATAATTAAAAAATAATTATTTTCAGTTACTGCATTGGCAAAATGTATCGAAATGCCAATAATACAAGTTTAGGGACGATTCCCGTGGCGGTCGTATGTTTTGAAGAAATAAAAGGAAAAAGTGACAACCTCGAAACAGGAGGAGTCTTGACTCTCATATCAGTAGTCTTCCTCCTAGCCACATTCGCTGTATACATGTATTTGCCGCAAATGAAGTAAGCAAGATAACTACAATGACTCTTAAAATTGTTTAGTTAACCCATTTATAATATCTAATACTACAAGCATATTATAAAAATGGAAGTACATAATATATAGATGGGTGGTGTTATTGTATAAATATTGTTTTCTTAAGTTTGGTTTGCAATAAAAGTCGATTATGAGTTTTATGTTTACAGAGATCTGCAAGGCGTCTGTTATATGTGCATGTGTGTTAGCATGGCGCTGGGATTTTTATCTCTAGGAGTATTACAACTCCGTCCCGGATTCCAAAATGAAGTATGCAAAATAACAGGTATTTACAACAAATAATCATAAATACTCTTGTACAAGATATAATTACTTGTTCTACTTAAAGATCGAAAATAATTTAAATATATTTATTTACCCAGGTTTCCTTGTATATTTCTGGATGATGGCAACATTCTTTTGGATGAATGTTATAAGCATCAATATGTATAGAAGTGTACAGTAAGTAATTTTAAATTACAGTTTTAACCTTGATATGATAATATTATTATACTTTTAAATATGACTGGACTGGATAATATACTATATTGTTCTGAGTAAACAACTTAGTAAACTTTACATTTTTTTTAGAGATTCTAGTTATTTAAAGAAGACAGAAAAGAAACAATATTTCCTATACAATTGCTATGCCTGGGGATTTAGTATATTCTTTTTGGTTGTGTCATTAATTACTAACTTCGTGGAAGGTGACCATTATAAACCTGGAATCGGCGAAAACAGTTGTTGGTTTAGAGGTAAGGTAAAAGTACTATAGACATTGAATTCTTTTTATATCGAAAATCGAAATATCTCATTTCCAATCATATTTTACTTACAGGACGTGCAGAAACCTGGTTATACTTCTATGGACCTATAGCAATTCTCATAACCGTCAATGTTATTCTTTTTGTCCTTTCATCTATCAACTTATGGAGACACACAAGGAAATATGAAGTTAACAAATTAAACAATCTTAAATATAAGTAAGTAATATTCAACTATTAATGTAGGTATAATTATTTACACATTATTTCATTATTCTCTAACGAGAGTCAAGTGGTCGTTATATTAAACTATAGGAATTATTCCATGGAGAGAGAATAAGAGACAAAAGTATTAATCATAATCTAGGATAATAAATAATAATTGCTTTTCATATTCTTACCTAGTATCCTATAGTAAACAATTATTATATTATAATTGTTTATTACACACATTTATATAATATATGTGGTAATATAATTATAAACGTGAGAATTTATGAAGGTCCCAAGAACGTTAATAAATGCTTTCAAATACTTTCACTAACGAAACTGCGGGCCGAAACTAGTGTTAATATGTTTTAGACGTTTCTGGTTTGGTTTGGTCTGGTTTGGTTTTTGGTTTGGTTCACATGTTTTAGTCGTTTCTGGACTTATCACTGTACACAGTGAAATCACTATTATTTATTGATACACAAATTATTTCAGATTCCTGATTTCTCTTAAACTGTTCCTCGTAATGGGAATATCATGGATTTTTGAAATTGCCAGCTTTGCACATGGAGGAGAACATATAATTTGGTAATTTTTCTACTGTACGAATTTCAATTAATGTATGAATTTAATTTCTAAAAAAGAAAGTATAGAAGAGCTAATTTTTTTGCAGGAAAATAATGGACATCTTCAACTGCCTTCAAGGAGTTGTAATATTTTTAATACTAGTAGTATTCAGAAAACGTGCCATGCAAGGATTGGCCAAAGAGAATTGCTGTTTGTTCATTACTCGTCCAGTAGCTGAAAAGCTAAGTCCACACGATGATAGTGATGATCAACAAATATTGTCGGATGATACTGTAGAAGTGAGACTTAATTAGGCGAAAGTCACTCAATTTGCGGTGATAACTATTAAAATTCATTATATTTTTATTTTCATGCCGGTTTCATGTATTTATAAAATATTAGATAATTTTATTTTTGGTACCACTATATACATAATGCTCGTGCAATACCCACTTAAATTATAACTATAAAACAATAATAGTTTAAATTGTTTAAACCTCGAATTATAAACATGTTAGGATAAAGTGATCGAATCTCTAATATGTACATTAATAATGTAGTGTAAAATAAATTATAGAATTTGTCATAGAAATTAAATTGCCAAGGTGACATAGACTTTAAAAAGTATTATAAGAAAAAAGATTTTAAATCTACGACATTTAATCTAATCAAATTATGTAAATTAAGTATTTTAATTGTGCCATAATATAAAGTAGTTATTAAAATTCAAGTCATACTCAATTATGCTAAATTAAGTTTAATGTAAAGATAAATATATTATTCATTGAATAAAATTCTTATTATAATTAAAGTAAACATTTACATTGATGTAAATACTACGATGTTAAAATTATAATTTTTTAAGTTTTAAGTTCATAAATTTTCTGTTATGCATGTTATATTAAGATATGAGCTCGTGGGATTATAACATAAAATATTAAACTTTATATTTGTTTTATTTAATACTATGTCAAAAAACGACTACTATCAAAATTATTTCATATTTATGCTTCATAAACTAACTTTATTCATGTACGCCAAACGTTTTATGAAGCATTGGGATTTGGGATGAAAATAAGACGAATAGTTTTCAATGGTCAGTGAATATTATCACGGTAATGTTACATAAACATCATCGTGATATTATGGTAATATTGTGAAAACTGTATTATTTGTGCGTAGTACAATACTCGTAAGTATTTTTAGGAAATATAGGGAAAATAGGAATATATTGTAAAATAATACCTACAATTAGTATCCCTCTTTAATACTGAATGTCATGGACTTATAGAAATATGTCTTTGCCGTTAGCGATATAGTCACGCCATGAAAAAGTAAGAAAACGTCAAATGTCAGATCGAATAGTCATTATTTTATCTGTAGTATTTTAATCTGTCAGAGATCTCGGATTAATAAGTATTCACAAACTTAGTATTTTTTAAAATATAAGTTGTAAATTATAATGATTTAGTTTTACTTAGCATATTTGAAAATGTTACAAAAATTAGTGCCTTGACAATTGTGCCTCAACATCAAGTTTCATTATCGTCTGTATATTATTAGTACATATGTAGCGAATGCCGAAAAGTTATTCTAAAATGATTTATTTATATTTAAAAACGTATCTATTTATAATTATACTTAATATAACCAAAGCAATAGAAAGTAATGTTGATCTTAATGAAGTATCGGAACAACAGAATTCTATAAAGATAAACAAATGCTGCGAGCCGAACGAACTTATGGTCGATTCAGTGTGTAGGTTGACTCAAAAATATAATCAAAGTAAGTATAATCATAGAACGTAAACAATAAACTAATTTTAATAACATTTTTTTCAAGTATGATAATTTTATGGAATATGTAAATAGGTGAATGGGTACCACAATTTAAAACTGAAGATGGCAAAGATGCGGTAGTAAAGTATTTTGGATATGTCAATGGAGTACCAAATTGTGCAACAACTCAACAGCGGCCTATATTTGATTTAGGAAAATCTGAAGATGAGTGAGTATTGGGAAATTCCAAAAATGAAAGTAAATTATCAGATAATATAAAATTGTTAAAATAATTTTATTTCTCCTATTTCAAAATGGTAAAACGTTACAATTAAATTTACTTTTAGCTATAAAGTGACAAAATTATTTTCCATTACAGATTAAAATTGTTATCTGATGGACGTCTACAACATCTTATTCATCATGAACATAGTACTGATCATATTAAAGATGATCCCATACTAACCAATACATTTAGTATTCATGTAGCGATATTGATCCCTGATGAAAAGGTGCCATCATCATATATTCATGATCAAAATAAATATTGCTTAGATAAGGTTTGTTACAACTACATAATTATGCGAGTATTTACTACATGAAAAATTTAATAACTAAAATATTTTTTCCTTATATTTCAGATACTAATAACAAGTTCAAACACAACTGGTTTATATGCTCTTGTATGTGTTCCAGAAGTGATTATAAATTGGAAAGAGACTAGTTTCCTTATGAAAAAAGTTTTAAACCCTATATTTCATGCAATTGCTATGATTCTGTTTCTTGTTATTGCCATAGTTTATTTTGTGCTACCAACATTAAGAGATTTAGCAGGCAATATTATAACAACTATAAATGTTTGCTTGATAATCAGTCAAGCTGCTGATTTAGTAAGAATATTTACAGAATACAGTAATCACATCAGCTTCATGGTTACAGGTAAAAATTGATTCTATTCTATAAAAATAAGTAAAAAAAAAACACTAACTTCTTAAATTTGAGTACCCATGCAAAGTAGTTGTTATTGTATTATTTATAAAAAATACTAGTAATATTTCTTCTTAGGAGAGAGCAATTATACATACATAAGTATAATTGCTTCTCCTAAGGATTGGTAAGTATGGTAATGGTAAAATAGCATGATATTAGATTGCCAATATTAAAACAATCCTCAACATAATAGGTTATCAAATGCAAATCAGACCAGTAAAAACAAACCCTTCTGAGTTATACATTTATGTTATTACTACTATGGATATAATGTTCATGAAAATGTATAATTTTCAAAAATTTAAGTATTTTTTTTTTCTATGCAAGATCATAATTTTGTATTTCAGATGTTATTTTATACATAAGTTTGCTAGGTGCATTCTTTTGGTTGAATAGTTTTGGATTCTACATATGGAAAACGTTCAAGTGAGTTTCAAAATAAATGCTTAAATAAATCGTGTTTAAACAGCATAACCAAGAATAATATAACAGAAATTGTCTTTCAGGTCACGGAATGTATTTTTAAGAGTGACAGATGTTCGCAAATACTGCTATTATTCAAGCGTGGTTTGGTCTTGCGTTGTTTTAATGACTGCAATGGCGTTATGCGCTCATTTTTTATTAGACACTGGTGTAGATCCATATAAAAAAATGCGACTTTCAACAACTATATTTATTGAAGATATGGAACAACAAGAAACTATTGGTAATTTCAATTTGATGTTATGATATTATTTTATCAAAGTCCTCCGCAACATCTGTCTGTTGGCGATAAACTCAAAAACTATTGCACCGATTTTCATGTAGTTTTCACCAATGAAGGTTCTTGAGGAAGGTTTTAGTATATAATTTGTTAAGTTTTAGTATACATTGACTAAAATATAATGATATTTGTTGGAGTGTCGGGAAAAAACAAGCCGTCTGGGAGCTTTCAACGAAAACGCTGCCTTTTCCCTTTGAGATATACCAAAATAATGTATGGTGAATTTGTGTATCTTATATAGGTCTACAGAAAAGTCCGCGATGGCATATGTCTATCTCTTAAGGATAACATACTCTATTTTAATTTAAAACGTACCTAGGGACGAAGCCGAGCAAAGCGAGGATGAATCGCTAGTAATATATAAATTAAATGTCAAGTGTTATAAAAGTCATAACGGCTCTTATATCCCAATTCCCAACCAATGAATTAAAACATTTTGTTTTTACATTATCTAATAAATATCAAATGCAATTCAGTGTAATAACTAATATTATTTATGTTACCATTACAGGCTGGCTCGGTATTGCTGTATTTTTTACACCAATTGCTTTTACTATCATTTTTAATTTGTTTTTCTATATAACAACATTGAAAGTTATCAAGAGGATAAACATATATGGAAGGATACACTACAAACTGAAAGGATGGTAAGTCTACACTTTAAATAAATGTATACAAAATCTGTATATTATGTGTCTAAATTAAATTTATGTTAAAACTAGCGGATTTTATTCACAATTTCATGGGTTTTAATTTTTTTGCGTGCAACCCTGATTCTTTTTCAAAGATAAAAGTACCTAGCCTAAGTTACTCCTTATAACATCAGCTATCTGCCAGTGAAAGTTACGTCACAATCGGTCGAGCCGTTTCGGAGATTGGCCAAAACAAACAGACAAACAAAAAATTAAAAAAAAAATCTTATTGGTACCGTATGATATACATATAATAAAAATCTGTAATTTTGACATTACGAACAGAACTCTTCAATTTTATTTATCTATACATATAATAAAATTGTAACTAAGTCGAATCTGCATTAAATATTTTTGGAAAAATCTAATTGAAATAGACATTATTATCGATACAGAGTCCGAATCTATAGTTTTTGGAAATTTTGTCTGACTGTCTGTCTGTTACCGCATCACGAGAAAACCAGTGGACAGATTTTGATGAAATTTGGTATGATGATAGCTCATTATAGGATACTTTTTACCGCGCGAAAATATCTCATTTCTGGGAAAAAATACAAAAATTGCACTGTAAGAGTATACTAATATGTAAACCTAAGAATTTGGTTTTTGGTCATCTGAACGCGGGCGGAGCCGCAGGCAATGCTAGTCTGTATATATAATATTACAAATAATAAAAATAATGATGTTTGTTACAGTTTCAACTTATTTGTACAACTGTTTATAATTATGACAATGTCGTGGTTATTCCTTCTAATGTCATGGTTGAATTATGATGGTTTACTTTACGCGCATATAGTAGTGAATCTACTACAGGCGATATTAATATTCTACGTGTGCATTGTGAGACAATCGCATGTCATGTTTCTATTGAGAAAGAGCTGTTGTTATGCAGAGCCTGTGCCCACCGGCGAGTGGGGAGATGAGATGACTCATATGAATGGAGGTAATTATTAACATTATTATCACTAATAGTTATTATACAAAATTGACACATGGCTCAAAATTAAGTATTATTATTTTCTATTTTAATTAAAATTGATGTATTTATTGTACATGTAAATTGATATACATATATCAATTTTTTCCTTCAGATAATATTGTTTTATAAAAGATGGCCCAATATTTACATGGTAAACATATTATTGTTAAGACAATATTATTCTCGAGATTTTTCTTATGAAAACGTAATGTTCTTATCATATTACTGAGAAGTAATTATGAATAACAATAAGTAAACACCAACACTCTGCTACTTGCACAATATTTTTTCCTCACTTATCTTTATGTCATTATAATTTTAATATGGTCATTTGAAAAGCCCTAATAAATGAGATAAATTGGTAATTCTAACCTCTTATTAGTAAATATAAATAAAATCACATCGAATTTTTAAAATTCCTTATTAGATTGTGCCTTATAAATTCATTAAGCATCATCCAGAGCAATATTTTTTTTTATGTGGTGTATGGTGTAGTGCTGTATATATGAATATTATAATAGCACATAACTTTTGTATTTAAAGTGTTTGAATTATATTTTATAGACTATATTATATGAATTGGTCTCATTTAAAATAAAAAATAAACTATTGTAAAAAAAATCTCAAATAATCAATTGATATGATAGGTTAAATGAAATCTCGTAATTAGGACTAGAAACTTATTGTTATTTTAAATGTTTATCTGTATAAATATGTATGAATATTTTTAAGCATATACAACCTTTTCTAGATGGTAGCTTCTCTATTCATTCTTGGCAGCTTAAAAGTTTTATTAGCTTTTATCCATTATAACTACAGACAGCTGGTTAGATTTTAGTAAGCAAATGGTTGTAATGTTAAAGTTGAAAGATAATGCACTATAAGTATTATAATAGTCTTTAATCCCTCACTTATTTGGTAAGGTTATTTTGAATCTAACCGAAATTAATTTTTATAATTCAAATTATACGAAAGCTCATTAAAGATACTTAATTAGATCAAAATTGTAACAACTTTTTTCCTATAACTATAAGGCATGTATTTATATTTTGCATGTTTAATCTAAATTTTTTAATGTTTTATGTGTTTTTTTTGTATGAGTGGCCTAAAATTCTTAGTTATCTTATCGACAGTGATTGTATAAGATACACAAATATGTATTTTTTAAGACTGCATTTAGATTTAATTGAAACTTTTTTGTCCATTTTTTTAAATATTTACACTTTATATTATGTAGTTCAACATCGATAGGCTATATAGTTTTATCACCGATACACTGCTCTCTTACATATAACGAAAAGTTAATTGTATACTAAGACGAATTTTAATAACAATAAAATCTTCACTGGTGTGGTGTAATATTTTACACTCTTATTTTTTAAACAATTTATTGTAGAAATCTAGTTTTATATTTACAACTTTTATTTTAATAAAGCAGTGATTAAGAATTTGTTTTTAATTGTCTCGTCTGTCCAAATCAATAAAAATATTCTAATCAAATGAATATGCGGCTATTAAAATGGTCAGTGCACAAACGATTATAAGTATTTTGTTTATCGATTTTTCACCAATATAGTAAAGGAAAGGAAACAGGTTCTTTTAGCTAACTAGTTTCCATAGTGTATTATCACTAACTTTTAATTTACACATAGGTTATGTATATACTACCATTTTTTTAAAGGCTCTTCCAGTATTTTACTAATAAAGAACATAATTATAAAAATAGTAAAACATTATTTTATGAAAACTCTTATATATACTAATATTATAAAGAGGTAAAGTTTCTGAGTTTGTGCCGTTGTTGGGGGTAATCCCTGGATCTACTGAATCGATTTGGATGAAATTTGGTAAGAAGATAGTTTGAAACCCTGGACCCTTTTTGAGTTTGAGACCCTGGGAATGAAGGACATAGGATACTTTTTATCCCGGAAATCATCCCTTAAGGGGGTGAAAATGGGGATGAAATGTATTGGGAAGCGAACTAGTATGTTATATTTAGATCGTATTTCTGAATCAACTCAACTGATTTTAAAAATTCTTTATTTAAAGCAATAATGTAATGTTCTTTTCAAACAGGTTAGTTTTGTTAAACGTATGGCGCATTTTAACCGTACTCTTGCTTTTAGTGCATGCGATATTATAATCGCAAAAGCGTAAGTATATTTAAATAACCATATCTACACCTGACAAAAACTAATGAGGATAAATGTAGCTTTTATTTTGAAGCAATAAAAATGTGTTTTTCAGAAAAGTTCTCTTACATATTTAAATACTGTCAAAATCATAAAGATGATGTGGAAAAACTAACTATCAAATGTATTCTGAGTAAGGAGACAAGGTGCTGACTCAACATGAAATCAAACGTTTATCTTCTTTAATTTTGGGGTAATGTGTGTAAGAAACAAGCACAAATGGTACATATAAATATATGCCATAATATTTGTCAATTATTTGTCAAATTACAGAACCTATATTACTAAAATTATTTTTTTATTTAGGTAATAGTTATTCAATCAGTTTAGATGTATATTTTATTCCTTAGACTGTTTAGTTTCTCTAGTTTGACCCTATATTATACATCCGTTAATGGGTTAGCAAGCTATATATTTTACCCTAGACACTACATCTGTCAATCGGTCACTGAACTATATATTTATGTACCTAACGTTTTCCGCCTGTCATCGATTGATTGAAGAAAACGCTCTTACAGATGGATTGAAAATATTTTTTTTATTCTAAGAGTATACCTTTATGTGTATACCGAATCGTAAGTATTATTTAAATCGTAAGTTTCTTAACTATCCTACATAATATGCAAAATAAATAAAACTTGACGGCAATATTCTGAAGCACCTACAACACCTATTTGACAAAGTAGCTTTGACAAAAAGCTTTGAAATGAAGTTTTCTATGATAAACATGACTCCAAGTTCACTTTGATAGAGCGCCCACATCAAAGTGCGCTTTGATTGCTCGTTTACATGATCAAAGTAGTCATCAAAACTACTTTGTCAAAGCATGTTGTAGAACACGGCCCAAGTCCACTTTGATTAACATCCATATATGTCAAATCAAAGTAAGTATGACAGTCAGGTGCACCTCACTCGCGTCTGGTCTCGACGCTTTCGTTAGACGACTGCATGTATTAGTAGACTGTGGTACTCACCTGTGTAAACAGCTGGCCTTCAGGTCTTCGGGAGAGCGGTGCCAGCTGACAGCGCACCACCAGGTGACAGTCGTCCATCACCGTGTTGAAGAACCTTCGAGTTGGCAAAAGGGCTTCTAAATCTATCATCAGCTCTAGGAACCTCTCACAATACCTGATAAAGACATAGACAACTTATTACTGATGATGTTCTCCTAGCCGATTACGGCCACGGCGGCCAATCTCATTGAGACTAGCCAACTGCGCAGGAGATATTATAGTGCACATATGTACGCGCAGACACAAATGCACTCTCTATTCCTGTCACTCTCATATTCCGGTGGGACGACTGCTTGACACGACCAGTGAGAGTTAAGGCGCAGGACCGACGGCTTTACGTGCTCTCCGAAGCACGGGGGTGAAAGACCGCCAACTTGCCAACTCCGCGCTGTTACTGAGGCTTACTTATACAGAAAGACTCAATAACTAAACTTGGCCCGACCCGGGACTCGAACCCAGGACCTCCGAGTGTGCAGCCGTACATGCTAGCCACTACACCACCGAGCCAGTTAAACTTATTACTAATCTGCTATTAAACGTATATACGAAAGTTTGTATCTATGTGTTTGTTACTCCTCCTCGCTGGAACGACTAAACAATAAACATATTTAAATGGAATTTAGTTTGCACATAGACTATGATATACCGACGTAAGATACTGTTAGGCACCTAGGGAGGTACACGAGCGAAGCGAGGGTAAGTTATCTATACTAATACAAAGTAAAGAAAGTTCCGTTTTGTATGTATTTTTTTATGCCGAATCATAAAAAAAATTGCCAAAAAATAATAAATATTTATTTGGAGTAGGCCACCCTAATCACTCAGGGGTATGAAAAATAGTTCACGTCCTCGGTCCTATTCTCAGACCTACTGAATATACACACAAAATTTCATAAGAAGCGGTCGAGCCGTTTCGGAGGAGTTTTATGGACACGAGAATTTTATGTATTAGATTATGAAGAGGAAAATTTTTTGTAGTGAAAACTTCTATATGCAGATTTGGATGGGGAGTAAATTCATGTAAGTCGTCATCGACATGGTCACGTGACGTGTTAACGCTAACACTCAAGAGTGCCGATAGATGTCAAAACGAGATAAACGTAAACAGTTTTTATTTACAAAATATAATTTAAGGTCAAACAATTTGAATATCCAAAAACAACAACTGTTTGTTTATAGTTTTAAGTTTTTACTAAACCAGAGTGTTTGAGAGTGGTAAGGCAAAACAAAATGTTCATGGTAATTTAAATGAATTAAATGAAGGAAAGTTACTTAAGGCTCATATAAATTATATTATTACTAGCGGCTCACCCTCGCTTCGCTCGGGTTCGTCGCTAGGTACGTTTTAAATAGATATAAAAAAAAAAAATCTTTCTTTCTCACATTTTAATTATATGTTTTAATACTTACCTATTCCGGACTAAGAGAAATCCAAAAATTAAAATATCATAAAAATTGGAACGCGGTCGAACGGGATAAAAAGTATCCTATGTCCTTCTCCTGGCTCTAAACTACCTCCCTGCCAATTTTCAGCTAAATCGGTTCAGCCGTTCTTGAGTTATAAGCGAAGTAACTAACACGACTTTCTTTTATATATATAGATTATTACAATATTAAAATATTATTATTACCATATTAAATTAATTGAAGGCAGTGGTAGCCCAGTGGTGACGCACTCGCATGGGTAACCGAGTGAAGCGGGTTCAAATCCCGGGTCTCGCACCTCTGATATTTTCATGTGCGAATCATTTTCAACATGATTACCACTTGCCTTACGGTGAAGGCAAACATCGTGAGGAAACCTGCATGTCTGAGAGAACCTAGTAAGTTTTCGAAAGACATGTGAAGTCTGCCAACCCGCACTTGGCCAGCGTGGTGGACTATGGCCTGATCCCCCTCATATTGAAGGGAGGCCCATGCTCAGCAGTGGGACGTGTTAATAAGTGCTGAATACAATATTAAAATAATTTGGTTCCATTATATATAAAACAAAATAAAAAATTCGACTGCGTGAAAAGTGAACTAAAAAAGAAGAGAACAAATTTACGAAAGAGCATAGTAGCAGTTGGAGACATACACACACAGCTAATCTAAAACGTATGTATGTCTCCGACTGCGTAATACTATGTTCCTTCGTCAACTTGTTATCTTCTTTTTTAGTTCACTTTTTACGCAGTCGTGTTTTCTATATTTGTGAATATTATTTTTATTTACAGCTTTTTAGTTTTGATCAGTTATTACATTTTTTATTTCATTTAATAATTTCTTATCCTGAATTACTTTAAAACATATAAGTTGTATTTATTTTTGTAATCGCCTCTTAAAAACCAGTATTTTGATACCCCCGTCGATTTATTCGTATAATTTTTTTTTATACAAATTGGCACCTAGGATCATTTTGATTTATAATAATTATATCTATATACACTATGTCACTCGCGTTATCAAGACAAATCGAATGACTTATAATCATCAAAATCCATTAACAGTTTAGTAATTACGAGAGAACATAGGATCGGACTTACATATTAACATACAGTACCTGGGCGACCGAGCTTTGCTCGGAGTTTTTGGCCAAAAAAATAACATAAAAAAAAAACAAAATTAAAAACTTTGTGCCCGACCGGGATACGAACTCAGATTCCTGTGGTTGTCAAACTTGCGCATTGGCCGCTTGACCATGATGCTTATATCTGAATGTGCGAAATTATCGAACATAATAATAATATAAGCTAATATAGCGTGGAATTATTAATTAATTTATTGAAATAATGCAAAAGAAATCATAATAATAATAAAGCTCTACTTATTTATTCATTTATTTATTATAAAGGCTTACTAACTAAATTTACATAAAAACATTTATTTAACATTATAATTTTACCTATCTGTATATAAATTTAATTTAAAAGTATGCACAGCTTTTTATAAAAGTATTCCATTAAAATTTTATTTGGTTAAGAGTATATAAGGATCCATTTTAGTTGTACAATAAAAAAAAATGTCTTTATCACATTGCTGAAATATAAAATTATATAATTTAATGACTATTTATTAACTTATAATTTTTTTACTAATAATTTTGTAATCTGGAATTAAATTATTTTAAAAATCTTCATATTATTTGAAATGATATTGTATATATATAAATTATCATTAACAAATAAATAAATAAAAAATCACAATAAATTAAATAATTCAATTGAGTAAATACTAAACATTTCACAATAATAAATATAAATAAAATTTCTTTCCATAGATTAATTCTGACAATAGTTATAAATTAGGTATTTCATTTCATAATTAAATGTATTTATTTAGTAAATGTATTTTTCATGTATAGACCCCTCTCGGTTAAAAGCCTCCTCCAAAGTAGTCCTGCATAGAGCTCTCCGTTGGAGATTATGCTTGTATGATTGCAAAGGGTTTCTCTCTCTCAAATTTTGTTTTCAATATATAATTTGTTTCTGATATGCCTATAAATTTTATAATTTTATCTTTGTGTTCTTTTGATTTGTTGTAGGAAATGCTGCTTTTAATTCTAGAAGTTTTTCTGGTAAAGATATGTATACCTTTGTTCATTGTATGTCTGTTTTTCTTTAGAGGGTTACGGTCGAACTCCCCCACAGTGACCGGCCGTACTGGTGGATAAAGATGAGGAGGTTCCTACGGTGTTTAATATACTATATCTTGCTGTGTTGTTTTTTGTTGTTCCTGGTTATCATTTGTGTGGTTGAAAGTGAATTTTGGGTTTTGTAATATAAAGTCTTTAATATTACCAGGTATGGTTGTCTTTGTATGTTGTTTATTTGTTAGTTTTTGTTTATAATTGAGGTAAGGCGTTTCTGGAGATACAGGCAGACTTCTTTTTTATTTCCGTTTAGTTTGAGACTATTTTTTTCCTCTAGTTCATGATAGGATTTTTCACCTTCTTCTACTCTGAACATAACCAAGTTCTTGCGCCTAATATGTCTTTCTAAATTATTTATTGAGGTACTTTGTTCCTGGATTTTTTTCTCAAGAACTTCAATTTTTATTTCTAACTGTTTATATTTTTCATTTAAGTATATTATTGTTGATTGTATTTTTAATGTCTTCTTTCATTTCCAACATTTCTAACATTTCTGTTTTCTGCTGTCTTATTTCTTGTTGCATGTTTATTAGCAACTTTTTTATGTTCTCCATCTTAAGTGTGAAGTTGGAAGTAGAAAAGCTGATTGAAAAAGAGCACCAATCATACCTAGTTGAATTGCAATTTTATACCGAGTACCTATTAGTTTTTGAGGTTATAAACTTATGTTTTAATATTTGACGCTTTCACTTCACAAATTATTTTGTTTTATTGTCATCACACACAGAAAAGATGGTTTTGCACTGATAGTATCTATATGTTATGTTTGTCACTTTTGTATTTGTTTGGTAGGTGAATTTTTAAAAGCTGATTTGTTCTTCAACACATCAAGACTTGGTGATGTTTACATATTGCCCATAGGTTTTATTTAAAAATTTACTAAGATTAGATTTAATTTTTCTTTAGATTATTTTCACTTAAATATATTTAAACTTGATGTAAATACGGACACGATGTTGACAGTTGCACAGTGGCGCCGCTCACTCACCAGAAGTGACAATGCAAAAATTGTGAAAATGCAAAAGAAAATCGCATGAAAATTCGAAAATTCGCGTTTTTCCAGATATAAGACTAATCTAGATCGATTTATCGCCCCCGAAACCCCTTGCATGCTAAATTTCATGAAAATCGTTGGAGCCGTTTCCGAGATTCAGATTATATATTGATATATATATATATATACAAGAATAGCTCGTTTAAATATATAAGATATAGGTAAAACACATAACACTCCTTTCGGCTTCGTCGCAGTCTGGTAATAAATGCATATTTAATACAGTCTAGAGCTCTCATACAAAGCCAAAGTCTAATAAATAATAAATAATGACAATTATATATAATTATGAGTTTATTGATCTCTATATTTTATAGCACACAAGTACAAAAAATATAAAATAATAAAATATCAATATTTACCGTACAGCATTTACATCTACATCCCCATCTTCAGGTATACTCTCCAAAATTCGCATGAATTTGATCATCAGTCGCTGTAAGTACCGTCTCTCCCAGTTCAACTTCTCAAGCAACTCTGGTTTATCTTTCTTCTGTATGGCCCGCCAGTATTTACGCCACTTAGGCACTGCTTTGAATTCTTGGTTTCTTCTACCTGGAAATTATAAAAAAAATATTTGTTTATTTTTGCTAAATGAAATTTTTGACTAATTTGTTTGTAGTACCTAATATTATTAATGTTTTAACATGCCTTTATATGCTACATTATAAATCAATTATATAATTATATCTTGGAAGTCGATTTTAAGTTGATCAGAGTGCTAGTGGATATGGAAACTCTAAACTCTTCAAAGAATACTAGTGAAATCTTCGTGATTGGGCTCATTGATTTGTTTTAATAAGTCATACATATACTCGTATACCTTACATGGATTCAAATCGTGTTTTTTTACTTTTTTACAACTATAAAATTATTTACATTACTACACATTTTAACTCGTACAATATGTTGCAACTCAAGAACATAACAAAATTGAAGAAATTACAACAAAAATAATCATTTTTAAATTATAAACAATAAAAACAAACCTTCTTGCAAACTAATCCACATACTGAGTGACACAAGTCTTTTAACTTGGTCCCGGCATAATTGCACTTCCATGCTACCGAAACAGTGGTTCAGAAACAGTAGTAATGCGGTCTGTTCACGCATATTACGACTTTCTTCTGACACACTCGCTCGTAAAACTTGTTCAAAAAACCCCGGGAAATGTTCTGGTTTCTTAAGAAAGGCCTAAAAAACAATTTTATATTTAGAAAGTTTTTATAAAATTATTAGGTACTAGCAGAACTCGCGGCTTCGCCCGCATTCGATCTACAAAAAAACTCTTTGGCTTTATGTTATATAGCGACTCTCCTTCGCTTCGCTTGGTTTCATCCCTATGTATTTATATAATACATATAGTTTTACAATAATGTATGTAAGTCAGCCCAATTTGTTCACATTTCTGATAACTGCTCTGTTCTCTTGAGTAGTAGCATGATGATACCCTTTAGCCTTCCTCAATAAACATGCTATCTAATGCAAAAAGAATTTTTCAAATCGGATTTGTAGTTCCTGAGAATAAAGCGTTCAATCAAACAAACAAACTCCTCCTCTTTATAATATTAAGTATAGATTCCGTGAAGGGACAAACTCTATAAACATATAAAAAAAATAGTAGAATTCTTTACACAAAATGACAATCAATAAAAAGAAAATTATTTGTTCATATTTTCATACTCACGACTTTAGGACAGAATGGATCTCAACTCGATTACATATAATACAGCTAGTATTTTTTTATGCAAATCAAATCTATTTTGTTTAGGTAGACAATTAGACGGATGTCGTAATGTAGAGGTCATGAGATGTGATAAAGATGAGAAGTTGTTTTAAATATTTTTTTGCCTTTTCAGGGTAGACAGGACCTAATTGTATTTTACTATATTTCCACTGTTGTAGAAACATATCGAACATTTCCCAAAGCCTTGATCTTTGCGATCAATCTTTAGATTCGTGCGAGCTTACGACCAACAGTTGTTATGTTAGTTGACAGTATTACGCATTATACAACATTGGTTCTTAGTCCTATTATAGAATACAAAATTAATATTTTTACCCTAAGAGTTACAAGAGTTAACTTAAATATACATTTATCAAATAATAACTGATTGCGTAATAAATTTAAGCATTTTGAATAAAACTATCTTTTCTGATTTTTTCGCGGATTTATTTTGATTCTTGGTTCCCGGCGTTTCGAATGCTTTACACTTTACAACAATCATGATCACGGGATGTCTCTCGCGATAGTTTTATTAAAAATATAAAATATTCGCGTAAATCTAAAAAAGTATTATTTTTAGTATATTATGAATACAGTTTAGAAACAAATTATTCTTTACCTGCCATGCTTGTACTCTCTCTCTGAACTTTTCGTTGATCATAACGATGACCGACATCATGTGTGCGTGTGTTGCTTTGCCGGTTTCATAATGAGGCCATAGATATGTTTCCAAGTACTGGGAGAATTCTAACATCATTATACGACGAACTGCAAAGCTGCAGAAATAGATGGAGTATTGATAAGCTTGGTAGAAATTTGTAAAAATGGAATAAATAATAGCTACTCATATCTTTTTGTTTTAATTTAATAGACATCCAAAGATCTACTATCTTCTTAAAGAATATCCTGGATAAAAATTATAATTATGTATTTATAAAATGGATTCATTGTAAAAATATCCAATTTAAAATAAAATCATGCCCTACATATGAACAGTATGTTCAGAAATATTTTTAATTTACAAAATTAAAAATCGAGATATCCGTCATATAAAGATATAATATAAGATATTTACGTATATATCGTAAAAATCGAGATATACGTAAATATCTAATACGTCGTAACTAACATCTTTCAACTTTTTGATTTTGATGAAGCACATACATTAAATATTTTTTCTCACGTTTACTAATTACATATTAGAATATTATTGATAGTTACTGAAAATGCATTGTTTAAAAATCTTATAAAACTATTTCCATCTGTGGTTTTTTTTAATTTTTAATTATTATTTTATTTAAAAGTTATATTTAAACATTATTGTATAAAAGTCTAGCTTTAACAATAACTGGCAAATTTAAAAATAAAATAGGTCAATGTACTCAATCTATAAGGCCATTGACCCTGAAACAGTCATTTGTTCACTTCACTAGGGCTCAGGTTTGAATTGAGAAGTAATTCTACATCTGTTCTATGTAAATTTACTTACTTGGAACCAAGAATTTCGGCCTGGTATATAGATTCCACAATAGATGCATCATAAGGTAAGTGATCTTCTTTAGTATGAGGTGACCAATACTGGTTCGCAAGCTGAAATATTTTGAATGACCATATTGATTTTAAATTCTACATGGAGTGTTGTATAGATTTACATATGTGTGTAACCAATACTAGTAGGCTATTACAAATATAATTTAAAATGTAGCCAACATGATGTTATTTTAATTTGTAATTAAGCCCTAAATTATAATATATCAGTATACAAATACAATTTTCATATATTATGAGAACAAGAAATTTTAATAAAACATATAATAATACAAAGTAAAACATGCATATATTTACAAGTGTATTATATTTGTGCCATACATTTAAATATTACTACTATAACATTCTATTTCCGTTTAATCCCTAAATACAATTTCATATTGTTTAACTTCTTATGTAGTTACTAACTCTTGTGCTTTTGCATATTTAATGCATGTATATTTCTACTGAATTGAGCATTCTTGTGGGACAAGCAATAAAAAAGTATAATTTGGTTTCTATTAAATCCCAAACTTTTCTTTTAATTTTTTTCAAAATGTATTTAATGTGTTAAGTAAATTTGGATGTATTTTATATAAAACTTTGACCCCATTAACATTTTACTACATGTCTTAATAATACAACTTGGATATAATATAGTTAAAATGTGTTGCAATATTTAACAACCTCAAAAATTGTCCTTATGACTGAATTCAGTAAAGCTTATTGCATTTTTCACTTTGTGCCTCATGAAAAAAACACACCACTACACTTATTTAAACAGAAAGTACTTTATTATATTGTGCTGAATCTCTAAACTTAAGTAAAACAAAAATACAACAATTGCCGAATATATAACCTTACTATGTATACAAACCTGAGTTATTCTATCAGCATTAATTTGAGAGAGTGTAGGTAAAGGTATTTTTGATTTATCGGGTGGTGGTTGAACTTCTGTTTTCATTATGTTTTAGTACAGAATTACAATTTCAAAACACGAAATCCTATCGTTTACACAACAATTCAAAAATGTCAATTTCTGGTGTTCAGTATCGTCACTGTCAGTTTGACATACGTATTGCGTTCAGAAATTTTATAAAACATACACATACATTATATATCTGATTTCTTGATAAAGCTTTAAATAAATGAACCAATCTTCAATCACTAATCTCAGCCTTATTTCCACTTATACCTATTGGCCTATAAATGTTACGTTATTTATTTCTTACAGGTAATACAAAAAAATGATGTTTGATCCTCCCGACTTTCCCTTTAAAGAATTAACAGAATCTATAAAGGTTCATTATGGCGCAGAAGGCGTTCTTTATAATGATACAATGGTTAATGATTCAGTAACAGCTGATAAAGATCTAGTTAAAGTAACAGAGGCAATTATTTCTTCAGTAGAAAATCAGTTAACATTTAACACGAATAATACTGGACGATTTTTTGATGTTGAAAATGCTACTTTCCATTTACAACAGGGAAATGCTGAACAGAATTCTGAATCTTATATTTTGGAGCCAGATAACTTATTTAATTATGAACCCACTTTGCTTGACGATAACATTGTCAACCAATTTTTATTGCCAATACAAGAATCTTCAGAAAAAAACAAGGTTAATATATAATGTATGTGTATAATAAATATATAAACAAGGTTAATATATAAATTTATTCAGTCTTTTTTAACTATTTATACTTATTTAATACTAGCTGACCCGACAGACATTTCCGTATCTCAATTTTAATAAATTTAAAATTGTTTAGAAAAAAGTTACTTTAGTTTATCGAATTTTCCATCTTTCGAGGCAACCTTTTCAATTTTCCCTCTTAACACTTACTTGGACTATCGTAAACATTAAAAATAAAATCTAAATCGGTTCTCGAGTGGTGCGCTTAATAACAAACAACATTTCGTTTTTTTATATATATAGATAAACAAAATAAGATTTAACTATAGTTACATATAGGTTACATTCTAAAGATACACTGATCTTTATTACTTATGTGAAAACATTATTATTTTCAGAGTTCAGAAAATATTGGTCCTGACCTCTTGGCCCTTCATTCGTGTGTGTTATGTCATGAAATATTTACCACAGATGCGGATCTACTTGACCACACAATATCTACACATGCTTCAGATCCCTCGATTAAGCAGGATTCAAATATCTCTCTATATAGTAATATTAATAATATAACAATAAACGGTAAGTGTCTACCTACCTGATAAAATATATTTTTAATAAAATATACATTATACGACAGTGGTAGCCCAAGTGATAACACGCTCGCTTGGAAAACCGAGTGAAGCCGGTTAAAATCCTGGGTTTCGCACATATGGTATTTTCATATGTTATTCATTTCCAACATGATTATCACCTGAATTACGACAAAGGAAAATATCTTGAGGAAAGCTGCTTGTCTGAGAAAACCTAGCAAGTTTTGAAAGACATGTGAAGTCCGCCAACCCATACTTGACCAGCGTGGTGGACTATGACATGAACTCCCCTCCATTGAAGGGAGGTCCGTGTCCAGCAGTCGAACGTTAAAAAGGGCTGAATATAAATATATTATTATTTTTATTGAATGTAGTAATATAAAATACCTACTATATATTAGTAATTTATAGGTATCCTAAATAATTAAAAATTGTTAATATTATTTTTACTTTATAAAGATACAAAAGTACACTTACTTTTGTAATATCTTCAGACCATAAAGGCATTTATCGACACCACTACCGTCTTGCTCAATCCGCTACTAAAATCCAATTAAATAACTAAATATTTCTAAAGTTCGTCGTATGAGTTTGTATCGTAATTTCCCATTCTTTCTAAAACTAAGCATAGTTCAGCAATGCAATTAGGTCGAATGCCTTGATTTTCTCTCATTTTTGGTACGATACGCCTGACTAAGAACGACGGACCCGCGACAAAAGGACGAATATCGCAGTGCACTGTGCAGTTTATAAAATAGGTCAGCAAATTGCATGTACAGCTAAATGCAGATACTTATTAGTTTAAGTAAACAGAGGAACTGGACTTAAAATCTTGCTGTAGGAATATTTTAATAGTAACGAAGTAAAAATACGAAATGAGATAAATCGTCGTTTTAACTATTATTATTTATATTTTCTATATAAATCAAATCAAATTATAACATAAGTATATTTGATTTCATATTTTGTTATACGTATATATATTTTTAGAGTCTAAAGATAGCTCAAATTTCGACTGTGAATGGCTGGTATGCTGTACATGTGAGAGGATTCTGTCGACCGCGCTCGAGTCTGAGCCACGTGGTAAGGAAATTTAGATATGTATTTTCACGGAAAAATAAAATTATTTAATTATAAAAAAATATATAAATAGGAATTAAAAATAAATATAGGTAGGTTTCCATTACCTACTAGTTATTGTAGAGTCAAGTAGAAGTTCAAATGAGCGCTATAGCTGGTATGCGGTGTATGTGAGTGAGTGCTGTCGACCGCGCTCGAGTCCGAGCCCCGCGGTGAGTAATTAGCCCGCTATTGACATACATAATGGTTTTCCTACACTGGAAGAGTCTGCAATATTGTATTATAGAGACAAACGAGAACAATATGCTCATCTAGTTGTAAAACAATGAACATGGGTTTTGGTATTGCCGTACATCCTTCAATATCTACGCCGACATATACTGTAGAAGTACATAATATGTATGTATCTGTACTTATAAATAAAACTAGCATTGCCCGCGGCTCCACCCGCGTTCAGATAACCAAAAACGAAATCCTTAGGTTTTACATATTAGTATACTCTTACATGGCAGTTTTTTATTTTTTCTCAGAAGTTACATATTTTCCCGCGTAAAAAGTATCCTATATGTTGACCCAGATAACCAGCTATCACCATACCAAATTTCATCAAAATCCCTCCAATGGTTTTTCTGTGATGCGGTAACAGACAGACAGACAAAAATTCTAAAAACTATAGATTCGGCCTCTGTATCGATAATAATGTTTATTTCAATAAGATTTTCCAAAAAATATTTAATGTACAGATTCGGCTCAGTTACAATTTTATTATATGTATAGATTATTCATACATTCAGCTTGTGCCTTACTATAGCTAGTAGCTATGCGATGCAAATGAACGAACGTCAAACAGTTATTATAAAAATATCTGTATGTCGAAACGAGCAAATAGATTATAGCAAGAAGAATTACACGCGGATAAAAAAATGCTAGTAACCGAAAAATAAAAAAAAGTAAAATGATATTTTTTATTACGGGAAAGAAAGTCCCGCGGCATAGATAGAGAACGGCTTGTTCCATTTTAAAGGGACTTAAAGAGACTGAAAGTTCCGGTGAAAGTTACGTGAAAAGGAAAAGGGTTTCACGGGGTAAAGGTCAGGGCGTGTCGCTATATTTAGTAAGAATCATAATTATTAATTACTAGAGATCCAAAAGCACGCAGGTGACAACTAATAATTATTATTTTTACATTACTTGATCCCTACGTAAAGATCATATTTGTAAATCAAACTCGAATCAAATCAATCAAAATCGATCAAATTAGCAAATACAGACACAGAACTCGTATATAGACTTACTTAACTTCAAAGATATAAACATGCTGGTAAAATATGTATATGATGTTGTCCACATAATCTTGAAATTAGAGACAGAAATGGGTATATCACTGATAGAGATTTATATGTTAAGATTATACATTAAGTTCTTTGAGAGCGTAGTAGTTTCGTAAAAAACACAGAAACCATTAATTCCCAAAAGAAATACATACATATGTATGTATGTATGTATGTATACTTTGCCTATACCTCCCAGAGAGCTCTTAAATCGACCTAAATTATATTCAAAACTAGCATTGTCCGCGGCTCCGCCCGCGTTCAGATGGCTAAAAACCGAATTTTAGGTTTTATATATTACTCGTAGTATACTCTTATATTACAGTTTTTGAATTTTTTCTCAGGAATGAGATATTTTCTCGCGGTAAAAAGTATCCTATAGGTATGTTGATCCGGATAACCAGTTTTCACCATACTAAATTTCATCAAAATCCCTCCAGTGGTTTTTCTGTGATGCGGTAACAGACAGACAGATATACAAAAATTCTAAAAACTATAGATACGGCCTCTGTATCAATAGTAATGTTTATTTCAATAAAATTTTCCAAAAAATATCTAATGTACAGATTTGGCTTAGTTACAATTTTATTATATGTATGGATAGTGCAGCAAAATTTTGGCCATTGAAATTAATTATGTTTTTAACATTGAAAATATACTATCAGAACAGCTATGTTGTACGGACATAAGCGGCAAGGGAAGCGTAGGCTCGAGGAGATTAAGCTCTATGTTCGTGTGTGACTACTGTAGTTACTTGTTTGCCAACGGGGAAGCTCTCGACCGGCACCGACTCACATGCTTCGGACAAGAAGACTTTTATCCTTTACAAGCGGTTAGTCTTTTTATTTTGTACTAGCAACACTATCCCCTTGGCTTCTCTCAGCCGTTATTATTTTAATTTAATATTTCCAAAAATACTGAATTTGTTATAAGCGTTAAAAAATATACATATTTTTTATTGTACAAACAAGTAGGTAATACAAAAAATACATAGAAAGTGACGTAGACAAAGGTAAGAAAAAATTGCTTTCCGAATATTAATACGCTTTTTTTATCCATTTTTAGTCCACTTAAGATTACAAATATGTAAATACAAAAAACCTTTGCCCAATGTCAAAACTTTTGCCCTCTAAGTGCGGTTTGGCACAAGAAGTATAGTGTATAATATTTATATATGTACATACAGATTTCTTTTTTTATGATTAGTAATATTTTTAAGCTATTTTTACAAACTACCTCAGACAGCGATTTTATTGCGTGTTAAGGTCAATAATGCTCATTGCAATGTAAGATAATAATTTTAAAGTATGGTTCCCTTTTTAGATCAAGGCTTTACGCAAGTGTCTAAAGTACTTGCTCCATATTCTCGAAAAGTTGTTGATCGGCAACTTGTTACCTCACGTGTGCTCTTCCACGATTGTGTAATGTAAAGTATTTTCTAAAGTAGCGGAACCTTCCAAAAACTAAACTCTTTAAGCGTTACATACAAAATTTAAAATACTTTACATTAAAATATGGTTTGAATTAACCAATAGCCACGTAAATTATCGAACTTCCACGGTAAAGTTCACATTCTTTGTTACCAGGAGGAATCGATTTTAGAATTAACTACAACACAATCAAACAAAACGTGTATTTCCTGCACTATCTGTAGGAAGCAATACAAAAATGAAGAAGAGTTGCGTATTCATAATGTAGAATGCTGTCGGCCGGCAGGCAGGCAGCGCCGGCCATACTCCACTAGCAATAGAAACAAAATGTGGAATTGTGGATCATGTAATCAACTTTTTACGACTGCGAGGTGAGTGATAGAAAAGAATACCATTAAATGTATTTTAAATTTTAAGTTAGTTAGTGGAACACTATAAATACATTGTAAAATGTAAATTTCATATCAAAAATTTTGAACAAAGCGAAATTCGCATCATCCCCCTGGGTATTTGGGCGCCAATTAGCCTATGCATTCGATACTCGATTTTTATATGACAAAAGTTGACAAAAATTGTGTTTTATATTTTGTTTTGTAAATCTGCAATTTATAAATATTTATATCCACTTTGAAAGGAAACTATGTGACGAAATCTGGGATTTTATGTAATAAAGAAAATATCTCAAATATTGTATAGATACTTATGAAAAATATATTCAATATGTACCTAGTACCTACGTATAGGTATCCAATATGGTAAAGATAAAAATGTGACAGATAAATTGCTATTTATGAGTCACCAATTTAGTTTAAGATTCATCACTTTCAGAAAAATGCAGAATACTTTCTGATTACCCTGCACTAGATATAGATACCTAAAGATACCGGGAACATACATACCTACAGTATAATTATTTACTTATATATCTATAGTATTTTTATTCCTCTGTAGTAGTTACTGTCCAAATTATTTTTAGAATTCGAGATTTTAGAGTTATTACAAAAAATGTTTTATCTATTTTAATTTATAGGGAACTGTATCGTCACAAGCGCGGAGAGGATAGACCGCCGGGAACACCGTTAATGGCTTACGTTTGTGAAGAATGTGACAAGGTCCTAGGCAGTATGTGCGCATTGCACACTCACAAAAAGATGCACAAAGTATCGAAACCCGTAAGTTTTAAAGTGATTCCTCTATCTCGGACCAAAGCTGCGTTACTAAATAATATTAATTCTAAAAAAATTCCTGAAATTATTTAATATGGTAAAAAAGTAGTACCTATAATATTTTTAATGAGTAGGTAATATTCAAACCAACATTTATACTTATGATAAATAGGTATGTGTTACAAAATCAATAGAAAGTAAAAGTCCTAATATACATATGTACGTAAGTCGTAAAGCATTACTGAAAAGCCCTTAGTAATTTCAAGTACTTTTTTCCGTTTAATCCCGTAGTTCCTTCTTACTATGCTACGTAGATCCCGCCGTACATAAGGTGTGTATATAAGATTTAGCAATTAACGGCTCTGAAAATCAATGAAAGATTTAGTCATTTTTTTATAGTTTATTAGTTTATGTTATAAAAGTAAATAAAAAAATACTATCGTTGTTACTTTATTCATATTTCAAGATTCTTTCAAGATTTGAAAGCAGAGTTTTAACTTTTATCTCGATACATCAAATAACGCGTGCTTAATATTGATATACGAGTATAATATAGACGGTTACGCTGGTTTATAAGTTCAAGTGCAGCTTGGGAACTATTCTATACGTAATACTATAATGAAATATTATTAAATGCTATGTAGCCTTATCCACATAAACGCAGCCGCACTCGCGTCGTCTGTTGTTTTTCTCGCATAGGAACTTGCAAAGATTGCCAGATTGATTAATTTTTATGACTATTGCCGCTCTAAGCATATATTGAGTTGCATGATGCTAAATAGCGTATTGTTTTTTTAAACTCATACTATCTAATAATTATTGATATTAACACACATTAAAAATCTTCAGTTACATAATCGGACTACTATAATAGAAGCGAAAATTTATATGTATGTCTTTGTTCTTGTCACTCCTTTACGCTAAAACGGCTAGGCCGATTAAGATAAAATTAAGTACACACAAATACTATGACCTAGAAGTAGCACATGGGCTACTGTTAGGGACCTAGGGCACGCACCGAGTGAAGCGAGGTCGCCAGTAAATAATGCCAATAATGTGTGAGTTTTTATCATCTAGTGCCACAAAATATAATTTAATTATTTTTTGTAAGGGATATCCCTGCACAGTGTGCGGTCGTCGCTTTAACCAGTCTGGTCACCTGGCGATCCACATGCGCATGCACACGGGCGAGCGCCCGTATCCTTGTGACTTGTGTTCGAAGGCATTTAAAGTTAAGGTAAATCTAAAACTATAGATAAGATGGATAGACTATACTGTGCTGGGTAATCGACTGCCGTAAACCTCGATGTGTTAACGTGTACGCAAGCCTATGCAAAGTTGATTGCGTTAATACTACGTATAAGCAAAATTGATTGCTGGTTTTCTTATTTTACTACCTACCTATAGTATAGTCAAGTAATATGTGTTGCATTTTAGGAAATTTAAGATTTTTTATGACTTATTTTTAACGCAGTCTAACGTTAATATTAAATGATTATAGTAGCAAGGTAGAGCAGGTGTCTCACCTTTTCCAGTAGACTTTTAAAGTCGACAAAGAATTTTTAAGAGAGATATGCAAGTTACATAAAATAATATTTCAATTATTAAAAAATAAAAAACAGCCGTAAACATATGAAAACATCATATCGCGTCGTCTTTATATTTACTTTGTTGTTTCCAACTTTTCGGCGGGAATGCAGTCGGTTAGGTCTCTGAAGCCGCTGGGAATATTGTAAGCTAGGAGTTTTAATGTTCTTTATGTGTAACTTTCACAGAACATTCTTAATCCCAACAAACTTTTCTCTTATAATACTCTTCGCGATGTTTAGTCGACCGGCCGTCTACAACTGGGACCACTTCTATAACTTTTCGTTTGCCAGTTTTGTGTAAGCTGTAAAATAAAATACGTTTTACATATTTAAAACTTCATGCACGTAAAGTGTTAATTTAACATTTACAAGAGCGTTATCGCAAAACAATAAAACATTCGTGTTTGATATAATTTCATTTATCAAAATCAATTATCACTATCATGTTATAATTTCTTTAATCTAGCTAAAGAAGCGTATGAATTCGCAATAACAAACGTGGCTGTGTTAGGCAGGTTCCCAGAGTTTTTTCCATAGTTAATATAATGGTGTGGCGGCAGGTGGAGCGCGACGACCATCGCCGGACACACACGGGCGAACGCCCCTTCGCGTGCAACGCCTGCCCCAAGACGTTCACTGCTGCTGCACGCTTGCGTGAACACGCGCGCATACACACCGACCAAAGGTTACCTATCACACCATAAACTTAACTCTCATCTATATGCGTAACTGATTTCATTCTAAATTTCAAACATGTTACATACAATAATAATTTTATAGGCAACAATTTTCCATCTAATTGCACACTTCTTTTCCAATTAAAAATAATATAGTGTACCTATACTTTTCACTTTGCCCTTCGTTTTCCAGCAATATATTGATGAGTGGGGAATGCGATGAGTGGGGATATCCAAAGCCGTATTTGTCATAAGAGTATCTGTTCGAAAGATGCTCAAACGATATGTGTTGTGACTTGTAAGCCATACAATCGCAATGTGCGTCAGGATAGGCACAAAAATCCACTCGGTATTCTTTAAATCGTAATTCGTATCCATGAACGAATTGTGGTTAATTCGTTCATGTTCGTATCATATATCATACAAAACATTCATTGCGTGAGCACGCACGATTACATACAGTCAATATAATGTTTAAGTTATATATGTACATATCAGCGTACGTAACTGTCTTAATTTTGGCGACTGGCAGAAATATATTGGTATGATGTTGTGTCTCTTCTAAAGCGACATGCTCCACGTTTGAACTTGGTAGCGTGATCACGCTTGCTTATGCTTACACGCTGTGCGAAGGTTGTTGATAACACTATAAAGTTATACAAATATTAGTATGATGGTCTTATTTGGAATTTTAGTAAGAACGCTATTTTTTATTTGTGCTTCTAGAGTAATTTCACTTATAGTGAACTTATGAATGTGGATGTGTAGAAGTAGACCAAGGTAGGAAAGTTGTGTATTTTGTAATGACGGCTGATGGGGGGAAGTGAAAGAAGGAAACATGTTGTGTTGACCCGACGTAACGTGGGATAAGGAAAAGGAAAAGAAGAAGAGTTATAGTTAAAGTCAAAAAAATACAAAGTGAAAACGACGTTAACAAGGAAGAGGACTTCCTTGGTCTGGCCTGGCCATCGTCTTTTTCACACACTTTTTCTGAATAGGGTAAAGTTACAACACTACAATTTTCATATTTATCACAAACATTAACAAATAATGTGCCTTCAAAGGGAACACTGTAACTCTAGTCTCTACTTTTCTTTTATCATTATGTCGATGTTTTATAATACCAAAACTATACGTGGATTTTCAACCATTATAAAAATATTAAGATGAATTATAGAAGGAATAAGACAAAATGAATAATATACAAACATTACAACAAAGTGTACCTTAATATGCCCAAAAGTAGTATGCGCCTCTTGCAAACAACAAAATCACATCAGCCAGATTACACTATTTTAAAATGCATTTTAATAATAACTATTTGTTTCAAAATCACAACTTATAATTAGGATTCAAAAGACTAAATACTAAATATATCCAAATACTAATATTTTGTAAATCCTATAAAATAGCAAAGTTTCTAGATCTTTTTCTTTAAAGCAGATTGTTCGACATATGCGTTAAAGGAAAAGAATATGAGGAAGCCTGCGAGTTTTTAATATATTTCTATATTTCCAGCCACATTTTTTCCTGTAGCATTTACCAACTAATTGTAAATGTAGTAAGTAAAAACATGACTTTTCCCGGTCGGTTAGTGACTACTTTTGGAGTAATTTAAAAGTCGACTTTCTTAACATATTTTGACTTTAGCAACTTTCCTAAGGTCTATAATGCTTTAATTTACAACTCAATACTTAAAAGTTGCAATAACTTAATTTATTGTATATTTTAAATAAATAAGCGAAATTGACGTTACGAATTCTGTCGTATTGCCTCTACCTTTACTCTCAATCAAATTTGTCATAATTTAAAAATTTTACTTCAACAAAAGCGCGCGATATTCATTTATCAATACAATTCAACTGACAAAAGCACTTCAATTATATAAGTTCCATAAAATCAAAGTTACAGAAGTTTTCAATTTTTTTCAGATTTAATAGTGATGACACGTTCTAATATAAATTAAATTGCTTACTGGAAATCAATTCTAACAAAACGACATATCTAAGCGTTATCGTACATAATATCGGACATTATAAATTAAAAAAGAAATGTGTGTTTGTACTTATGTACGCACGTAAGAAGTTATACTTCTTTGGCGTAACAGAACAAAAATAGCTAAAGATGCAGGTAACTTCATAATGTCGCTTTTTGGCTGTCGGTGTGAGCGCGCAAAATTTTACTCTCATAATTTTTTCCAAACGTGTTAAAAGAAGTATAACTTCAAAAAAATAGAATTCTGTAATACTTTCTCAGATTTTGTATTACGACGTTGCTCTCGTGACCATGTTTACTATAAAGCATACGAAATGTCGAGAACCAAAAATCAAAATAAATCGACGAAATAGTATTTAAAATAGAATCGGTATTAAATAATTTTCTACTGACCGAATTACTACTTAATATCAACAAGTGGTTTTATATTGCATAAGTACATAAACGTAAGAAGACACAGGTGCATTGTTTAGTGTAATGGGTCGATGAGATTGGGACCCCAATACGACTGAAGTGAGATCAGGTGCAGGACCAAAATGTACCTGCTCCGAGGTACTTTTGGGTCGTCTTGAGATTTAAACCCAGGACCTTACGATTTGCAGTCGCCTAGCTATGAGACCAATGATACTGTTTAAATAACACAATGATAAACGTAATGATTAAAATTGAAGTATTCTCAGTAGCTATTGACATCATAGCTATAACGGTACTAAGTATGATTTTCGTAGTAGTTGACATCAGTCTCCGAAAGATGGCGTCACAGGTACACATTATGCAGATTGATTTACGAATAATTTAACTCAGCAGAAAAAGTTTACTCGGCTGTTATCTAATACGCATAGATTAAAGTAGAAAAACAAAGGCACAATAGACAAAAATATTTGTTCGCCACATAATAAGTTTTATCGCAAATTTTAATTATAGCAGTAAATCGATAAGTGAGTTATAGAAAAACCATATACTCCGTTAACTTTGCTTTAGAAGTAATTCTAATATTTTATGTAAAGCATTCTACAATTTTATGGAATAACGTTTTGTTTTCTAAACGTTCCGTATAGCTTAAAATATGTTTTTATAATAATAACAGTAATACCTAAATTTATAAAAAAAAAATATTAACATTAATTTTACTCTACAATGAACCTAAATGCTTCTTTTTACTTTGGAATAATTAATAAGTGTATAGAATTCAATTATTTTTTATTTAATATTTACAGTTCGATTATGTTTCGACAGTAAATTGTAAGCAAAACATGTGAATGACTAAATGAAATAAAAAAATATCTAATGCTTAAATGTAATACACATGAATGAAAGTGAATAGGTATAAATATATCAATATGTATGTATTGTATGTCTACATATACCTACTCACTTTTAATAAAATTAATTATCAATTCGTATTAAAACTATTTGAAAAAATGTATAAACTAAAAATCACAAACAAAATAAACTTAATAATATGTATATATTAAAAGAATAATATACATATATTATAAAGGAAATTTGTTTACGTAATTAAAATAGATACGAGATAGCATCAGTCGGAATGGAGCAGTAAAATCTCGCAAGTAATTTCTTCTGCTGACCGGTTCTACTTTTATTCAGGTTGAACATTTCCATGACTGTTGAATAGCTAAGCTTGGCTTTGTAGAATTTACATATATTTAATATTGATCTTTTTTAAAATTACATATATGGTTTTAAGCATTGATTTTAAACAAATTAAAAGATAAATAAATTAAATTCTGAACATTATTTCTCCGTCGTAATATGTGAAATTATAAAATTTTTGTATTAAAACAATAAATTGGAACATTTGGTATTGCTGACAATTAGTCTACATATAGGGAAAACAGAGGTACGTACCTACAGTAAAAACGCTATGAGGAAAAACGGGACTGCAGCTTTTACCCGACTGCAGCGAACCCCAAAAGAGAGTTATTTATAACGATATTTACTATTCAAGTTTTGTTGTGGTATGTGATCTTTTTATATTTTATAATTGCTTTTGCCGCCACTTGACATGTTAACGCTGTTGACAAGTTCAAAATTATACTTAATACCAAAACACACTTAAAATTTAAAGTTTATGACATATGTAAATGGTAATAATAACAATAGTTTAACGGTAAATTATTATAGGTAATATATCCAATATTGGATATACATATTATATTAAAAACGAAATTTTTAATTGATAATTTATCAGTCAGTACGGGATATGGACGGGTTGGTATATTGGTCTATCTTTCCACGCAGTAATGTTGTGATTTTTGTAAAAAAATAATTTATCGGTTACAGAATAACTTAAGGTATTTTTATCCCGATATATTAAGTGGTTCCTGCGAAGTGTTAGTCTATTAAAAAAGGTCATTTAAAACGCTCACAACCAAGCAAGAGTGTTTCACACGTATGCTATATATAGAGAATTCTGGCAACATTGACTGTATTTTTAGATTATTTATTCCTATATTATCTTTTAAACATTAAAATTTTAAATATTATTTTCCAAAGCTCACATGCTAATGACCTTCTGAAGTATCCAAAGATAGAGAAGTCAAATAATATATTTTTTAGAAGACTACTAGACTTCTATACCATTAAGTACATTTATACTAACTATTTTATATCAATAAATTTTTGCTCTAGGCCTTACAAGTGCGATATCTGCGGTGCAGCGTTTCGAAGGCCGTACGCTCGCACAGTCCACACCCTCATACACACAGGAGAAAAGCCCCATGAATGTGACATTTGTGGAACCGCTTTTAGGTATGTCTATTTTCTTTGTATTTTAATAAATATAATATACTAGTGAATTAATTACCTTCATTTTGCTGGGTCCGTCGCTAGATGCCTAGCAGTAGCCCATGTGCTACTCCAATTCACAATCTATCTGTGTACTAAATTTTTATCCAAATCCGTCGAGCAATTTCAGCGTTTAGCATTATGTGTTTAACATATACACATACATAAATACATACATATACTTTCCCACATATAATAGTAGTCCCATAAATTAATGGCTATCCCTGTCGTTAAACTATGGCTCTATAAGTAAGTTAAGAGTGCTAAGCTCAATATACTATAGGTAAATACTCTCATTCTACTCTGATTTTTTCGTCTTTACATACGGTCATCAAGACTTACGCTCTTATATACACATCTCCAATATATTCCTTACATATAGAAGAGTATCTCGGCAGCTTCCGCTTCGCTCATTGTCATCATCATCTTCACGTTCGTCGAGGGGTCCTTGCACTTTGACCTGACCTTGTAAAAAACCAAATCTATTGATATCTTTTATTATCTCAACTTTTATGTTGATCTTTCATTAAGGAGTATTTAGAGATAAATTTAGAACAACACATTATTTTCAAATATTTATTGAAGTCCTTTCTTGGTACCAGACTTGCTATCATGAGACATATGTGTATCAAAATGATAATTCTTAGCATACTAAAGGCTGCGAGTTCAATTCCATCACAATATGAATATTTGTATGGACCATAGTCTGGTTAAGATAAAGCACATGGTTGGGAACCGTCTCTCAACATGCAGTACTTTAACATAAGAGTAATATTTCTCTACTTTTTGTATAGTTAGCGGATAGTTAGTGTGAAACACTTACGGACTCTTTAAATAATTAAGTATAAACAATTTCTAAGTATTGTAGCATAAATAATTATACATATATCAAGAATCTAACATTACTCTACAATGTAAATGCTATGAGCAGTACATTGTAAATGTTATAAGGAGAATGTTGTACACTAGCTCAGTGCTCTTGGTAGAGTAAAATTTTGATTGGATACTTATCTCTCTATGTGTATATTGATTTTTTATTTATAGTATTCGAATCGTCAAACCTATATTATCAGAATAAGCATTTCTTAAATGGTTTTTCCAAACAAACATATATACATATCTTGATTGAAGATCCCTATCCATTAGTTTATCGCCTTTTAGATAGATGGCGTTACTTGTACCAGAATTTAGGACTACTTAGTAACTTTTATTTAGTTTTCAGTAGTTTTAGTAATATATATTATATGCATTTATTTAGACGTTCGGGAGATATGTGGAAGCACAAAAGGACACTTCATGGAGTATTCAGCAGCAATGGAGAAACAAATTGAAATAGTTACTTTAAATAGAAATATATTATTATGTGGAATAGTTACGATATTTTCTAATTTTTTTAATAAAATAGTCTGTGTATTAAAAATTTCTAATAAATTTATTAATTAGATATATATTGAATGTTCTCTGTGGTCACTCAAATAAAAGGCTGTGTTTTCTTCAACAGTAAATATTTATTATAAAAATTGCTCTTATAGCCACATTTCTGTTTCTATAATATATATAATATTTATGTTCATTCTTTGTGCCATTGTTTCACAAAATTATTCCTGTTCTTGTTATTTTCGACACAACGGCTTAAACAATAATTATATTACAATATTTCTTACATTAGAACGTAAGAAATCAATTTTGAATAACTTCTAACTTGAGGAACGTATAACAATTCGATGCGCGGAACGAGTTTATTCAAAATTGATATCACAATTTTCTAATGGGAGTATTTTTCTAGAATATACACAATCGTTTCAATAAGAAATCCTGTCATTTTTGGTAACCAATGGCAATGAAAAACACTAAGAAAATCACACTTACATAATGTTAATAAAGTTACGTATGATGGTGTCGGCGGCGTTTCTTTGAAACGTCTCCGACGATGAAAAGACGGAAGAGACAAGGTCTACTGTCCACAATTATTGCTGAATTCACAACACAGTGCGCAAGCGCACCCAACGAGCGTGAGTCGAAATGACAAAAAATAACTAAACGGATGGTGAAAATTTAATAAATAGTGCTCTCCACTAAATTTGTACATAATTTTGAATGAAAACACCAGGATGCTACCAAAAGTTGACGTGTTGAGCACGACGTACAATATTCAGTTTATTGATAACTTTATATATTTTATACAATTTTGATATATTTTATGAAAAACAGTAATTGGAAATGGAAATATAAGGTATTGAGTAGATTATTTAAAATCTGTTATTTGTACATTATTGCAAGCATATGAAACAGTTCATGCCCCTGTCGCATGTGCGCCGACGATGCATTATACTAATTGGTACAGTTGAGATAATTTTTAACATAAAACCTTAAGTGTAGACATAACTTACTTATATACTTTAAGTACGTTCAAAATAAAGTTCAAAATTTCTCCGGCTCCATCTGACAGAGGCATAATAGTAGGCTAAATTTTAGTACAAATTTGTAAGTATATTTACTCCGAATAGAGTCGTTTACCCATAATTCACTAACTTACTTAAGTAAACCATCACAACCAACCATACGGACAAGTTTAACAAAAAATATCTAGATAAGTATGCAAAGTAAACCGTCAAATGAGGAAATATTCGGAACTCAACACTCATAACTATCCAGTGCATCACTTACGAGTTTAAAACCCATGAATTACGACTAACTAAACATGTTCCAATCTGTACTGGCAATATTTTGTGACACCTTACATTAAAGGAATTATATTATGTAACTTGTAAATCTGTACTTGAGTGTATTGGACAGAATAGAGGTCGTATGATACAACACGGTGACATGCGACGGCGGCGCTAGAGCCACGTCGTATCGCTGTCGATAGAATATTATTTTACATTATGTATTTACAACGGCCGCGAATCACCGCGCCATAATGCCCAACTCCAAATATAATATGTACACTAAATTTAAGAACATAGAGTTTCTCTCATTAGCTACCGAATCACAATTCAAATATTTGAGTAATTGACAACGGTGGACAAACATGCGCCGGAGCACTAATGCATCTTACTTTATTGAAATTTGTACTTTGCTCTATTAAAAGTCGTGCTAGGTAGGTATGTTTGGTCCATGCAGTCGCAATTTCAAGCTACGCGACGGGACAGACGCGTCGTCACTACAGGCAAAATAACGAGAAGGGCAAATATGAAATATTGGATGACCAAAACAAAAATGCTTTAAGCTCGACAAAATAAGTTAATTTGCCCGTAGCCACTAAACATTCAGCGTCCCTGCACTAACCGCAAACCCCGATGAAGCGCGGATTCATCAAGTCCCATTTCACGCAAGTTGGTCGCAACCCGACGTCGCTAACGAGAGGACATATCATTGCTACGCCTCATTTCATACTGATGACGCAGAATTGGGTTGACTAGAACTCTCTTAGGGAGATCGGGTTAACTCTATCTATTGTTTTGAACATTTTATTAATATTTTCGATGTCTCAAATCTCATTGCATTTCCAAACCTAATAATAGTTACAATCATTTTATCTTTTCTACTTGGCAATACTATACTTGAGGATGACCGATGACCGCCTTAAGCACGTCGATAAAAAACTAGAATTAAATACTGCAAATAAATTGTCATTTGTCACTTACGATTTAACTAATTACATATTAGGAACTGCATTAACTATTAGTAGTAAATACCGTAAGAAATTATTCCATGATAATTCAATTCATAGATATATGTTTTATCCCTAAATTATTATTGTTCTTAATTGGTACATATCGATAAAAGTAAAACGCTATTTAGACGGTCATCGGTTTCTCGGACAGATTTCGATAGTTGAACAATTCCGCTTGTGAGATGCTTAAGTACGAGCACTTTAATGTTAAATCACGTTTCTCAAATTTCAATTATTCAATGCTTAATGACGCTTAAATCATGAGACTTCCATACATGACTGTCGATAAGGCTGTTTAATTGACACCCAATTACAGTGCCGCCCTGGAGCAGTGGATGCGGAACTAATGAAAGTTCATCGGTTAATTTAAGTACTTACTACGTATTTAATTACAATTTGTTCGTCATCATTAAAATGAACTATTAAAAGTTCATAACTTCAGTCTACAGTGCCCTAAAACAACATTTACGCATTAACTGCAATGTTCGGCACATGTCCACATTAGTCTGAAGTAATTCGCGGCCCCGGGTCGTACCAGGTGTGTCCCTCGATATAGTATGAATAGAAGATACAGACAGGAACCAAAGAGAAAACTGAGAAAGATTTTCACCGTCCTCAGAATACACTCGGACAAGGGACACACCTCCACGATAGGCAGTGCAGTACTTCGATGTTACAGAACCCACCCGAAGTCACGCTTTGACGTACACGTACATCCGACAGAAAATATCAAGACAGAAATAATTTCAAATCATCACTCTCTTCTCTTTCAACGTAATAAATATAGCATTTATCTAATTAATTACACAATAATTTCAACAAAAATTTCAAACACCTGACTTTCGATACGAACGATAATAACGTCTTCGGCTAAGTCACTCCAGTTTTTGCGTTCACTTAAAGAAAAAAAACTATCAAAAATAACTCGGCTCGCGTTCAAGTCCCGCGTGTCGTCCGAAGCTAGCACCTTCCCAATTATAATCACATAACACTAACTACTGACTGCGTGGCGGCGTGGCGCCGACTAGATGTGCCGCGCGGGCGGCCCTCGCCGTGCCGCGCGGCCGCCCTCAGCTGGCGGCGCGGCCCGCGCGGCTATCACAGGCGCTCAGTGCGGCGCGGGCGCGTCCTGCCCGCGCGGCAACCACTAACTGGTGGGCACCAGCAGGCGCACGAAGCTGTCCTCGCTCCAGCCCCAGTCGTCGGGCCACGCGTCCTCGGGGGGGTCCAGCGCCGAGCGCGACGACAGGCTGAGCACGGAGCCCCAGTCGATGGCGCGCTGCTCCTCGTCGCCGTAGCCCGAGTCGCGGTCGGGCGGCGGCGGCGCGGGGAAGGGCGTGGCGCGGCCGGCGGCGGGCTCTCGCGCGCCCAGCACCTCGCAGCGCGTGGCGCCGGCCGCCTCCGCCACAGCCGTCTCCTCCGCGCTCTCGCGCTCCATCTCGCGCTCGATGCCACGCAGCGTGTTGCACACGAGCACGGAGCGGCGCAGTGAGGGGTCGGCGGTCTGGCGAAAGCGCGCCAGCTTGAGCGCGCACAGGTTCATCATCTTGAGACGGCGCTCGCGGTAGCAGCGGCGCGAGGCGCAGCGGCCGGCGGCGCGGCCGTCGCAACAGGCGCGCGCCGCCGCGCCGCCCAGCTCGAGGTAGCTCTTGCCGTTCTCCGCGCGGATAGTATCGTGCGCGCCGCACCAGCCGCCGCACCAGCGCCTTCGACACGCGCGCCGTTCCTCGTCCTCGCGCCAGCACTCGCCGCCGCCCGCGCCGGCGGCGACTGCCTCCAGCCGCGCTATCGAGTCCTCCCAGCGCGCTACCTTACCGCCGCCCTCGCACGGGGAGCCGGCACGCCGCTTGGCGCCGCACCCGCCGCCCGAGCCCTGCAAACATCAAAAAATACACCATTAATATTTAGTACATTATGCATAGTTTCTATTTAAAATGTTTACTGTCACACCCAAAACTTCGCTCCTACACACACCAACACAATAATATGACACAACTATATTATATAATAGGGGAAAATTAACTTTTTTAAGTAAAATTAAGTTTTTTAATAATAATTAATTATTGTTTATAGTTTCTATTATTGACACGTGTTATCCGTTCATCAAACGGGTGAATTTGTTTAGTTTACCTACTCATTGGCGAGAATATATATACTTTACCAAATGTTAAATATATAAACTCTTACGCGAATAATAAGAATAATACCTATTTTGTTTAATTTTATCTTCTTAGAACGTATTATAAAACAAACCTATTTAAAAAAGAACATAAAAACTGTTCTCAACGTACGGACCCCTCTGTAAAATCATTGAGAGGATCCCTTCAATACAACGATAAGGCAACGCTATAGATACCTGAACCCAACATGCTTTGTACAGCGGACCCTTCCCTTTTTTTGGGCACAATATGCACCCGGGGAGCAACCCCTGCAGATCGGCCCAGGTAGAGAGTTCGTGTTCGGAAATACAACCATGGGATTTACCCGGACAACTGTCGCATTCTTTCAAAAACGTTTTGTAATGTACAAAAGTTTTCAACTGGAATAGCATAATCAAAGTTGTGAAAGCACTTATTCAACTAAAGTTACATAAAAGTAAAGTTGCGATCTATAAAAATGTAAAAATATAATGAAAAAATGTATGCAAGTATGTAAATAATATATGTGGAAATTTTGGCTTATCGTATTACACTGGAAGAATAAACTGCTTTAACATAATTGTAGCTGCATAACATGTAGAAATATCCCAATGGACACAGTGCCTTAAAACATGGCCGATTGCAAACGATACATTGCTGGTCCGCAATGGAAATTAGCAATGCTTCTAAGAAGGCAACTAAAATGGAGCGTTTTAAAAAATAAATTGTTGGCGAACCCACCGGCGGCAGATGCCCGTGCACCTGCTATCACAATTAGGTGGCACACGCCTTTACGCACATCGCAGAATAAGTGTTTCAATAAGAATTCAGACTTTACATTTACTATTTAGTAACTCGCGCTGTATTACGTGGTAACTTAATAAGATTACTCGTGTACAAAAGAGAATACTGTATAATATAATATATCAATATAAAATAATTATTTAAAATAGTAACGTACAGAGTTTAAGTTATTTCAAGACGTTGCATTTAATGTGGTAGATAACGCAACGAAATCAAAGTGTTCGTTAGCTAAGCATCGTGTCTTGTCGCGAGCCAACGCTGTGCGCGTTGACTCAGCGGACACTCATCGCAACGCTGCAAATAATCATTTTGCGTCACCCTTTTATCGCTCCGCGGAAAACGGGCCGCTCCATTGTTCACCCGTGAGCGCAACTCACCGTCCCCTTCGCCTGTAGCTATAAAAACTGTGCACTTTGCAACACACAGATACAGACGAGGCCGCGTGATTTTATTCGTATGGCAGGAGAGCGAGTCAAATGTATGTAATGTAGCGGTGTCGTCGCCAGCGCTGGCGCTCATGAAAATAAATTTAGTATATGACGTTGGCGCTGCGCGTTGCCGCTCCTCGCCTTGGAACGTGGCCGTGCGACGTTGCCACACCGTGCGCTCTTTCTAATCTTGTAAAGTTCTTTTTCTGATGCGCGCCGCGTAGCTCGTTCTGTTCGCTTGAAACTTGGAAACGTCTGACTTTTATTTAATCGCTAGCGTCGAACGGTACTTATATAGTATTTAATAATCAGTTTTACTTTAAATTATATTCTATATTTAACTTCAGGTTACTTTTGTGAACAATATCAGCAATCGAAATGTAGATATTTATAAGCACGTGTGGCCTGGCCTATTCTAAGGTAGAGACGGAAATAATCGGTCAGTCAGCTCAGCGAGAAGGTAGGAAAAGTTTCATCGGAGGGGCGAGTCGAACGAACTTTCTATGGCATTGTAAAAAGCGAATAGATGGCTGGCGGTACGGCATTGCCTCATAGCGCGCTAACTGCTAAGCCATGTCGTTGTCGAGCGAACGAGGGCTGCCGCGGGTGACGGCGGGGCGGGGGGTGGAGAGGAAGGCGGGGGCCGGCGGGGCGCGCGTGTGTGGCTGTGTGCGAGTGTGCACGTGCACGCGCACACTAGCGCGCATATAATAACATCGCGTAGCGGCCGTCCGCTTCTATCTAACGCTACAGCTACCTACGCTCCGACGAACGTTATATTATAGCCAACTATAAAATAGGGTAGATAGCGTGGGGTGTGCAACTCTGCTTTATAAAGCTAGGCTATAAGAGAGAACGCAAAAAGCTTCTGTTTAGCATTATTAAGAGCTTATTAAAAATATTTAGTCTCTTTGTATTTTGTTTACTTAAGTTTTTTTGTCTCATCTTTATTAATAAATATGCTAATTATAGAATATGAAATAACTGTAGTATACAAAAATAATCTTATTTTAAATCATTTATGAAGACAACATTAAATACAGAAATAAAGCAATTCCAATAAAAATGTAGAGCACAACGGTAACGTGGGTGTTTATGACAAACAAAGCTTTTATAGAATCTTTTAGTAATTTCGCATAACATTGAGCGTAATAAAGATGAATTAATCACTCACTACAAATAATCCACATAGTATTTTTTGCGGTTCATTCATAAATTTTCATAGCGTGAAGAGGTGTTAATCTGCGATATCGAATTGGAGAGTCTATTGAATGACCGATTTACGATTAACATTCCTTTTCAGTACAATAGAGCACGTGATCGAGTTCGCAAACTCATTCATGGTAGGGTATCAGTACCGGGCTATCGGCATGTTTACAGGTGGTTAAAGATTACAGATCGGCCTAGTCCGAGCTTCTGACACCGTTATACGTTTTTACGTGTTTCAAAAGATATATTGATTGTTTTGGCTTGTGCGATTTTTCAATTGATTATGATTTCATAGTGATTTTTTCATTAGTTATATAAAATATTACACACGCATACATTTATCCTACATAACATAAACAAGTAAACAGTTACAATATCTTCGATTACTTTATTTTATATTATTACTTATAGGTATCAAAATTATTTATTAGTTATAAGTATATTAATAGATCTGTCGCAAAATTAATTGTGATATTTTGAGCAAATAATAATTACAGTATATATAAGTCTCACATCTTTGTGTAAAACTAATAAAGGCTTGTTATAAATAGCCTTTTATTTTATTTTCTTAATTTTCCTTACTTATACTCATAATGTCTTCGATACCAACACGATTTCCAAGTGCCCAATGCGACTGAACAACATAATATAACGAATGTAAAACTTTCCTTGTACTCGTATAATATTCGGGTTTCGGTTTAGCCAGCGCCAAGGCGCTCTGGCACGCACATTTCCGTGAGCGGCGAGCGGCGAGGCCGCGCGGGCGTGTGTGCGTGTGTACGTGTGTACGCTGCTTGTGTGTGTATGCGCCTGCGCCGACCAGTCTCACATCCTGTTCTCGTCGGAGCCCGAGCAGCTTCGACTGCCTCGCCAAGCTTTTTATACTGACCCGTTTTAATATTAGCTTCCAGTTTTTAGTTTTTGCATATCATAATATATGGAATTTTGTTTTAGTTTACGTTTGTAAAAATTAAACTATAATTCTACATAGGTATTAGGTATGTACGTAATACATAAATTTCAATTACAAAATATTATAAAAATATTTAAAAATTATTTCTAGAGATACCTACATAATAAACATAGATTGAATTTAAGAAAGATATTGCGAATGTGTATTATCAAGGCGATATATATACCTACAATAACAAACTCTGTTTTTTTGATTGTTTATTAGTATTGCGACCATTTTATACATTCGAGCAACATACACATTTTTGTAAGTAAGTTTTAAAATATGCGTGTATAACACGGTTAAGCAAGAGCGCGACGGAGTCATACCGTTCCAAGGTGACAAAGGAAAAAAATTAAATGGAGAACCGTTTAAGTGCAAACAAAAGGAATCCCTCAGGAATGTGTGTCCGTATAAAAAGAGAGGGAATTCCCGAAACGTATTGTTTACATTGTACGGGCGCGTGCGGAACGTGGCGTTATGCGTTTATTATGATGAGCCTTGCCGAGCTGCGACTGCGGCTACTTGATGCAATGAAAGGGAAAATTTTAGTTTTTGTTCGTGGATGACGCATTCGCTTCCCCGAACGCCGTGGGCAGAATGACAGGAATGTCGGTCCGCCATTCGCGCAAGGCCTCGCTAGTTGCTCGGATATTTCCTTCTTGCACCGACTGAATTGAAAGAATTATGAGTATTCATAAGAGTAATGTTCATTTGTATATCGTATATTAATCAAATGCTTATAACAATATTCTATTTTTCACGATGTACTTTTTGTAAGCCTCACGTAATGAAAAATAATAAGAATACAATATTTTTGTAAGAAATCATCTTCAATCATTTAGATATCATTTAGGGTCTAAGAAGGAAGTAAAATAAACAAAAAACGTATACCACAGTTTTAAGTTATATATTTACAATAGCACCTGTAGAAATATTATATAGTCTTTAATAGACAAGCTTTTTCATCATAAATATATGATTGTTCTGGATACTTACAAGTGCCTCTGCCTACAAATAATTTAGAATTAGGACCTCTTAGATAGTATACGTGCTATGATAAAATGCAGTTAGTAACTAGGAAACAAAATTTTGTCCTGTAAATTACGACTCTAAAAGAGAAACACGAATGTTAGTAAGTGTAACAAACAGGACTGGTTCAAGGCGCACTTTGCGGTTAGCACTGACATTGTGAGACGGAATATGTACGCAGTGCATAAATCACGCCGATCTGCAGGATGAAGTTCGCATCGTGCGCTTTTGAGACCATAAATCAGCGGGCGGGCGTACGCGGGCAGATAATGACGTCACTGGCACGTATCTCGGAGAATCCCCGGAAGAGAGCGAATAAAATAAAAATGTCACGTAGCGATCAGCTGTCGGGCGGCGCGGCGCGAGCGTGACGGCCGGGCCCGCGCACCGCAGCGATACGCATAACGACGCCGCAATAAAACTTATTTTTATGTTTTTCGCTCACAATGGCCGCGCGAAGGTCGAGCTATCTAAATGGGTCAATACACTCTGCGTAGTACGAGCGTCGAACACGTGCTCCCGCGTTTGTAAATAGCGAGATATCGGCCGATTGTTGCAGTGATTAATGGGGGCGCGTAATGACTCGGCGCCGGCCGCCGTTGCCGCCCGCGCCGCTCGCTAATGTGTTCATTCATCGTCCCGACACTATTATTATTTGCTGCCAGAGATGGTTTTGTTCGCATTCCGACAATCGATTTGACGACATTAGGGTGCTGGCCAATGTCAAGGTTGCACTTGATATGCGACCGCCCCCGTCTTGCTAACTTTGCATACTTAACTCGTTTAACGCCTAAACTATAAGTTGAATGATTATCATGACCTACGTCATTTACGCCACGTTTTATGAGATGTAGGATGCATAATTTCATGTGATACATATATGCTGACATCGAAAACTTAAGAGTATTTTTCAAATATTTATAAGTTTAAAACCAATACATATACATACATATATTTCGCTAAATACGATTTGTAAGACATTTTCTACATACACATATGCCAATTTTTTCGATATGCTTAATAGTGAATGTAAATACAACTTATACGATTAATTAAGCATAAATAATATATATCGAGTACATCGAGTAGCAGGTAACATCGAGAGAACATAAAGCTGTAAACGGTTAATCTATGCAGGATCCATCGACAGGCGTCCGCGATAAGGGCGAGGTCACGGTTATCAATGGCGGCATCTCCATACGCGCTCGCCGGCCACGACATCTCGCGCCCATTCACTATAAAGACGCCCCCGCTCCCGCCGCCCCAGCCCACCTCGCACCCTCCGTAGTGCATCCATGCAACAAGTTAGGGCACAGTTTCTGTCTTGTAAGGAGTTTCTCAAGACAAGTTTATGCCCGCATTCGTACTTAGTAACTTTGCGTCCTCGTTCATCTAAGCACACTTAGCAGATTCGCTTTCTATCTCCGAAATAGATTACGAAATCGGTATCACATTATAAATACAAAAGTAATTTCAGACTCATAAACAAATTGTACCAAATTAATTAATTAATATATAACATATTATAAAAGCGCATATTGCTTTTGAACGGTGACACGGCAATTTAAATAAAGTTCCTAGTAAAACAGGATGGTACATATTTTCAGGCCGTGATGCCCAATTAAATATGGATGTGATTGAAAAACGCGTGTCCGGTAACGAGCGTGTACATAATTGGTGGGCGGTGGAAGGCCCGGAGTGACCCAGTTGCGTTGCCCGGCGACCCGGGTGTCCCGGCCGCCCGAGCTGCCGCCCTCGCCACCCGCCGCCCTGGCCCACCCTGCCGCACTAAATAACCTGCCCGAAAGCGACACCTTAACAAAGGTCGTTCAACCATCACAGGGTACTCAGTCATCTGATTTTTCACCTATGATACCAAAGATGAACGATCTTTAACAGTAAAAAAACTGAAAAGTATTGCGCCATTTTGTAGCAGTGGTGTTCATTATAAGTTTAAAAGGAGTAAGGCGTTGTCCTGAAGTCACAAAATTCAATAAGCGATAAAATGTATGAAAGATTGTTTTGTTATTAAAATATACGGTGCGCAACGAAATGATGTTCCCTACTGAGGCAAAGTGGAAAACGCGCGAGCAAATAAACTTAATTGTTATAAGCCGGGTTTGCCGACTGCCACCCCTTAAAGACGACTCCATAAAGGGCGGAGGGGGATCCACGTAGAGTTGTATTTCTCCGAACTTGTGCTAAATTTCACTTTCTCTGAAGACGTTGTGCGTACACTTAGCCGCCCACACCACCCGTCCTCGCTAACAAACTTTGTAAAATAGTTTCCATCGCCTACTTCAAAATAAGTTTTGATTCTACATTTGAACCCTGGATTAATGCCTTGGTTTCACAAATTAAAAACAGTTATCGGAGCGAATAGATATTTTAATATCATTTCGAAGTTTGGAACATGATTCTCAGAGCGCACTTTACCTTTAGTATGACATCGTTATCTTAGCGAACCCTAAACGAATAAAACATAAAAAACGTACGTCAAAAAAGTCCTTCTACTCACAAAAACCCTACCGCCTCCTCGCCCTCTCTGAAGTTATAAAACACTGAAGGCGAATAAAATATCGTTGGAGTTTGTAACCGTATCACGAGGGAGTTAAAGTCGACGTTTGCATCGCGGAGTCATTTGGCTGAAAGGCGAGCACACGAGCGTGGAAGCTTTAAAGTAAAATGAAAGCCGACTCGCTCTTAATTCACCAGTACATAGATACGAGCGAACGTCGATAGAGCGCCCCCGGCTAGCGCCCGCCGCCCACCACCACGCGCCAGGCATAAATAAAGGGGGCGAGCTCCGCTTAACAAGAGAGTGAGCACCCTCCCTCGCGGCATCGCTGGGAGGGTGTATTAAGGGGGCTGCGGCGAAGGACGAATTAAGGAGATGAGAGCACACGCTCTCGAGACGCGAAATATCGTGCTAGGCGGGGAATCAGGGAGAGAGCTCAAAGTCAAAACTCTGCTGACGCTGCTTTATACTTCTAATAAAATTGTACATATGTTGATAACATTATAAAGATTTTTTTAGCTTAGATAAAACAATGCACTCAAAATCTTCTTTATATTTAAAATTATACCTACTTATAATTAGAATTCCTACCTTATAGTATAATTGCGTTAAAAAATATATACATAATTATTAATTTAATGGAATTATTATAGATTTTTTTCTATAAAAGTTAACGTTGCCCAAACTCGATGTCAACGCTGCGTTTAGTACGTAGCACGTGAGTCACCACGTCTCATAAATTACAAACTATATCCCTCTGGAGTTAGGGTTTGTTTTTGACAAAATTGCTAGCGCTCCTTTGTCTTGATGGCGTGCAGTGTAGGAAAGTAGATCGTATTTCAGTACAGTAAAGTCGGTATTAAACGGGTGGAATTCTAATATTCTTGGGAAAAGGGTGGGTATAAATTTTCCATGGGGGCAGACGGGGCGACGTCGCGCGAGGGCGCCGCTGAGTCACGGCGGCGACGGATGCGGCGCGGGGCGGGCGGGCGCGGGGGCGGCAAGGAGGGGCACATATTGTAAGTATCTACCACTCACATGTCACAAAGTTTTCTCCGCATCGGGAAACTTTGTTAACGTCAACTGAGCACGTGGCCTTCGCTGATATTATGTACATAATTGCCGCGTTTCCCGCGTTTTGTGAAAAACTTCTTCAACAATCAACGTCAATTTTTGTGATTAAGAATTTCATTTGTTTTATTTAGCTCTCTATTGGAGTGGAAAGTAGATCAAACAAGAGACAATCGAAATTAAACAAAGTACATATATGATGATGTCGAAGTAACTGTTAAACAATCCGAGAAAGATACCTTTTGAGGTAAAATTAAAATCATTAAATTACAAAACGACCGATCCAGCATTTGATTTTAATATAAATCGAATATAATTTGAACTCTAAATTGATTAGTTAGGTTAATGTGATGTAAATCTTGTCAATGTCAATTAAAAATTTAAATCTGGACTTCAATCTTGTTTTTTTGTTAAAAGAGTTCCTTCAGCACTTGTGTAACGAACGTATGATATTTATTAAAAATTGCGAGCGATACGCAGCAATCGCGCGGTTACATCGGACCGTCACCTTGAAGGTGATAAGACGTTGATAAGACGCGATATGGCGCTTGCAACATTCCGACCGCTAACGATACGCTTTATTTAGTGTATGTATTTAAATATTGTTACGCATATTTCATATGCTATCCAACTTCTAGCATATTGTTATTTATTTATTCAATAGTGAGATTTTTATGATAATTTTTTTGTTTATAATAAGAAATTACTTCAGAATAAAAAGTAAATACGATATAAGCAATAAAAAATACATACATCATCTAATAGTAGATACTATTAGGTGACGTATGTTTTATTGCTCTTTCAGACCAGACAGAAAACCATACTTATCAGATCTATAAAATACTATATTGTTGTGCTTCAAAATACTATTCAATATTACGTGATGAAATAATCATGATGCGGTACACATAAATCCGCGTGAGTAAGTCGATCAGAAGACATGGTGTAACGAAGAATACAATACATCGTGTAACATGAAAACATAATGAAAATGAATTCGTAATCTCAGACATGTACGAAGTCAAACCTACAACTAAGCTGATCTACTCAGCTCCCAATTACATTAGGTACTAGCGCAAAATAGGGCGGCAGACTCCTTATATACCCACTCCCCCCTCTTCACGAAAACTTGCTACAGACGCGGGAATGAGTTTTCCCGCGTAAACTTTATCGGTCGTCCTTATATTTTTTCACTACTTTATTTGGATGATATCTAGACTTCTAAAACTAGAGTTAATTATTTTTTTAACAATTTTTTTGTATAGAAATATCTCGCAAACAGCTGTTCTATGTTAATATAGCAATATAGCACACGTTATAATATCTATATATTTTACAGATATTACGCTATATATAATTTAAAATTTCGCTGCGTTCGTTCGTAATTTTATTTGTTCATAATATACGCAAAAGGGCGACCCTTGCTGTACCTAGTACGAAGGGCCTGCGCCCGAGGGAACATACAAAGAGTATACCCCGAACTCGGTGATGAATCTAACCCATTGCCAACTTGGAGATTAGGGTCTTTACCAAGTCAGTACTTCAACACGTAACGTAACATTTTAGAAACACAAATTCTTTCTTATATTTCTTGACTTGTGGATCAGAATCTATGACAGTTTTTATACTTATGGTAGAGCTAGATTTTATTGAAAAATTAATCAATTTTAAGAAATTAAGCGCATATTAGAGGATGTGTGGTACCCACGAGCATGGTCGCGAGTGCCGCTGCTTTGCATAAGTAATGACCATCGGCGCTCCCCCGCACCGCGCGCCGCACCCGCTAGGCCTATCGATTGCGGCGGCGCGAGGGCGGGCCGCATCGCAGTAATTGTCACACTGAGCGAAATTAAACTCCACCCTCGCAATATCGACCTTACTACCCTCAAATAAAACTTATTTTCTGAAAAAAACAATCTTCAATTGAATACCAAATGTGTTATAGTCCGCTCTAAGTTTGGAGGCTGCTCGTAATAGAGCCTTCGAAGAGTCTATGACAGAGCTTAATTAGACAGGCGCGATAGCAACAAATGGATTTTACTTGTTCCATGTTTTGGTAGAAATAATGTTTGAATGGATGCGAAAGTATCATTTAAAATTAGTAAGTATAGATGGACAGGCAGCGAAAGAGAGCCTGCCTGTAGAGAAGATTTATTTTTATTCGGCATACACAAATGTTAAATACGTTTAATATCCGATTGTACATTACTTCATTAACTCATCTACATACATATGTATTTTTTTACCATTATGATGCTATTATACCAAGCCTTTTATGAATATTACAATATACATCAAAATTGACATACATAGTACCTACCTATACCACTACATATTCTACTATACCTACTCGTATTCTCGACATATAACTTAAAACTTAGCGCTCTAACTCTAGTTAGCACATAGCAGTTATGCTGCGTACAACGTTTTAGAAAACAATTCCGTATCGTTTCGCGCGACGGCGTGCACGTCGCATCGCATGTATTAATAGCAGTCGTCTAATCGCGCTCTGTTTTTTAGCGCACCAGCAGCGACGAAAGTATGGTGAAAGTGGCGCGTTGACGTCACTCACACACGCGCAGCACATGCGTGCCATACGCTGGCTGGCGACGTGACAGCTGCGCCCGCGCCGCTCTCCGGCCCAATGTACTCTTGCTTCACGCCGCCCGCCGGTTGCGACACCGCCTGCGCATGAGAAACACGCCAACCGACTGGCTCGATACTCCGTGGCCTCTCTCGACACGTTCTCTTACTCAACAGAAAAATACTTTATGCAAGTCCAACTTTGCTCTACCAATACTACGACGACGACGTAAGTGGACAATAAATTAACACAATAGTATTAACTTTTGAGCGTTTCTTACGCCTGCCTACTAATTAATTTTTATACGGGCATCTTGTTGTTATATGCGGGCACTTAACTCCTCACTTCATTCATAAAAGTGTTATAAGTTTGTCATAAGATAATGATAAGTTTGAAAATGCAGCGTATACGTCACTGCAGTTTTGCAGTGTTCTGCAATGGTAAGTGGTTAGGACACTTGCGGGCAACATTTTGACATAACGAGGTAATGAAATTAAATAAGTTATAAAATATTAATTGAAATATATTCATAATTAGAATAACTGATTGTAACGTCAAAAGAAAAGATGTTAATTAATAGTGTAAATAAAAACAAACTAAATAATAATTTCAATTGACATCTGCTTTGGATTCAAAGTAGATAAAACTAAATATGATTTATAGATTCATTCAATAGTAACAGTGACTCTTAATAACTTCAGTAAAGGTTCGTATGGCGATGTGCAGAAGTGCCAAAATCGATCGAAGTTCGGGCCGCAACGCTCCGCCCGTGGCTACCAATTAATTATATGAAGTGTGAGATGAAAAGGAAAACACCCGCCGATCAGCTGATCTGATGCGTGTATTCAAAGCGATCTCATCAACACGTAGCCATCCCCGCACATGCATTTCAGAACCCGTTTTAAGTCCCGTTACACAAATTCGCATCTATAATCTGAATTCTAAGCACATACGTACAATTTAAAACAGGTCATAAAGATTCTTATTATTTATATTTTTTTATATGCGTAGATTTAAACAGCGCTTACTAGCAAAATTAAAAAAAACAATTTCTGAAAAACTTGTTGAAATTGTTTTTGTTAAAAGTGTGATACTTCCATACATTCATAAATGAAATAAGTTTAGTTATAAGAGTATAAGTTTAACCTTTTCATACAAAAAAGCTAAATCATTTTTTCATTGCAAAAACCTGTGAGCGGTGACGTCACGGGCTCGATGGGAGGACTAAAAAAGATTAGAAGAGGAGGGGGTGAGATCGTTTGCGGGGGCGTACGACTACAAGCAGTTTCTACTACGATTATTGTGTTAGACATAAGTCACTACTAACTCGAAATGTAATACATAAACATATTATATTTTTGGAATAAATATAGGCATGTAGGGTATATATCATTTAGTACTTGGTTGTGTATGGATTGTTGCTAATGAATTTTAACAATATTTACCAATAGCATGACAGTATTTGGTATATTTTAGAAAAAATATTTTATTTTAAATAACAAAATATATTAGAGAAAGTCAAGAACTTTTCGACTTCAATTCGACAAAGCGCTTGAGAATAAAACAAGTAGTAGAAAGCTTACGATAGGATGAGTAGGGAGGGTTCCCCCAACTCTGAAATGTGTCGAAACCCACACATTCGCGCACTACATTACTGTAATTATCCAATTATAAAAATATATTTAGAAATCTAGAAAACCAAAATAAATAAGTTTACTTTGATTTGTTATCGGAAAACTTACGGAGATAATTAATTATACCTACTGCTTGTATTTTTAGAAACTTTAACTAAACATTTTACTTATCAAGTAATAATTAACTGTAAATTATAATTGTTATTATAATAATTTAACGTATTTTGTATATGGCATTGACAGTGGTAGCCTAGTGTTAACAAGCTCGCTTGGGAAACCGAGTGAAGTGAGTTCAAATCCCGGGTCTCGCACCTCTGATATTTTCATGTGCGAATTTTTTCTAACATGATTACCACTTGCCTTACGGTGAAGGAAAATATCGTGAGGAAACCTGCATGTCTGAGAAAGACATTTGAAGGCCGCCAACCCGCACTTGGCCAGCATGGTGGACTATGACCTGATCCCTACGTATTAAAGGGAGGCCCGTGCCCAGCAGTGGGACGTTAAAAAGGGCTGAATACATACATACAAACATACATATTATGCTATTAACAAAATCATTATGCGTTTTATAAATACCATAGTATTGATCAAAAATAATGTAAAATTTTATCAAAACTATGTCAACAGTCATTGTAAATTATCGTTACTAATGGATGCGATACTAAATAATGAGAAAAGCCGAAACGTGCGTCTCAGCCCCTTTGCGGCTGATTACGGCGATGCTACGAAATAAGAATGAATTTTTAATAAACCCCCGCCCGCCGGGTGATGTACCCCTGTTTTCTGAAGGCTGCGCACTTAGAAGATTAGTCCCTGGAGCCTTCTAGACGAATGACTAACAACAATCCTATAAGAGGTCAAAGGCGTTCTTTTACGATATTAACTTCACCAATCTTTGATAATCACCTGATCGCCAAAGTTGTGTAGTGCACTAATCAAAGTAACATAATCGACCTAACAATAAATCTATTACTATAAGCATTGATGATAAAAATTCAAATTCAGTGCTACAAAATAAACATTTATCATATGCTAGTACCTAGGTAGGTAGATGGATGAATGAAATTGTAGTACAATCATAAATGTGCTGAATTATAAACAAATCAAGAAAGATTAGCGCACTATTACGTTAATAAATGATAATAAAAATGATTGTATAACCAGTTGTAAATCTGAAAAGTAGTAAGTATGGAAGGTAACACAAATACGCAAAAAGTCTAAGGCAATAAAAGATAAGGCGACGACCCCGAAGTGCAATACTATGTAAATATACTTTACAGTGTAAACAAAAAGAATATGGATGTGTTACGCGGTGCTACGTCAGCGGCGCGTCACGGGCGCGACGTCACGGGCGGAAGTCCGCACTAGATATATTTACAGTAGCCGTGCACGGGTTCAATGTCGAGCTATCTATCGGCCATCAATCAGCAGTCAGCGCCGATAGTCGCGGCCCGCGGGACACCCGCGCGTTTGCGCTCCGTCTCTCCTTCACACCCACCGGCCACACTTCGCCTCGGTACCGCTCGACGGCCCACACGATGCAAATAGCACCCGATCACACTCTAACGTACACTGTATAGTGAACATCTCGTTCGGATGTAGCTTTAATTTTCCGCCGTTAAATTATATTAACGTCATCGTTGCAAAGTTTACATGCGTTTATTGAATAAATTGTTGCGAATTGATTTGCATTATTGATTGCATAATTACAATAGCGATCGATGAGATGCGATATCTACATACTCCATGCGTGACTTACGGTGTTGACACGGCATGAACTGTGGCGATGCGCCGGTGCGGGTGGACGCGTCCGGCTCCGGGAGCAAGGCCGGCGATGTTTACAAACTTCCGTTACGACCCGCGAGCACTTGTCACTCGGGAACGCGTTCCTCGACCGACACACGGCTACGCAAATAATGGCGAGCCCTCACCATTGACCCACTTTGCCTCGACTACTCGCCCGTCTAGACTCGAGATACGATCGTTGATAGACTGATTGCCCACATGTTGTAATCATTTTACTATTAGCATACCGAGCGTTGTCTCCTTGCCATTCGACTTTATCGCATCTATGTGTGTAGTGACAAAGGTTATTAACCTTCTTCCGAGAAATCTTTCTAACAATGTGACTTTTTTAAGCATACCAATCCGTTAGCTGTCAAGAGCGCCCACTCATTGTCACATTCCAGATGATATTTAATACAAGTAAGTAGTAACCTTAACAATTATCATAACAGAACGGAAAATATTTCACACGATTGAAATACTCTTTTAAACATAACACGGTAAGGACAAGATGAATTCACATAAAGGATCTTAACGATCTTTTGCATTAGTCAAAGTTAAATGATTAACTGTACTCAAGAATAGATGGTACACTTGAACATGCACCCTTATATTCGGCGTGCCCTGTATAGGGAGGTGAGGGGTGAATGCATTGGGGCGGCCCCCTGCGGGTGCAGTAGGCGCGTAGTGACTGCAATAACGGAGCAGTGAAAGTGTCGCGGCCCGCTTCAACCGTCAATGAGTGAAGACGTACTCCCTTCACCCCTCCGTCTTCTCAAACTTGTAGTTAATAGTAAGTTATTCGACTAGATAACACGTATGTGTGGTTCCCAACGTGTTCTTCTTCGCTTTTGTTGAGACTTCATTTTGAATAAATAGACATGAAAACCGTGAAAACATATTATAAATGTTCAAATGAATAGAATAAGCAGATTCAGAGCTACACATAACCAGTTTAAGTGTCCACATATAGGCTGCACTTAGCAAGCGAATCAAGTATGTAAAGTGCAAGTGAACGCCTATCAACTGACAAGCGACGGCGCTTGTCTATCAACAAACAAACGTACGGAACGAGCACGTCATTATCTCAAGTCATGAATGAAACGGAACGTAAATTGAAATGTATCGCGTGCCATAATCCGCGTGCATTAATCTCACTCAAACGGCGATCGTTGCGTAACATTGAACACAGCAAACGGCTCAAGTTCATTGATCCACTTAATGTCCGCTAAATGTGTCGTTGTTGTCGAATGTCAAAACAATGTTACATAATTAAACGCGTTTACATGCCATCTGCGCACGTGCCTACCGCCGAGTGCCGATCGGCGCCTGCCCACTTCCGACTGATCACCAAACGATACGTCACCATGTTTATTTATGAGCTTATGATTATAAAATGACGTTTTAGTCCATTCCGATATCGTTGACCGGTTGCCGTATAATAATAACATTCATTCATTCATAAGTGATTTATACTAACTACCTACGAAATAGATTTGTAGTAGTATTAATAAAGCTATTATCGCATAATTATACCTAAACAAGATTTTACGCTACTTGCCGTCTCGCGTCTGTAGTAAACCATAAATCACAACAATGTTTTGTTTACATTTGTTTCATGTCTAATGTCTTTTAAAATTATTTAAAGTTTTTTATTGCTCGAATATATTTTGATTAGTCTACAAGTGAAATACCAAATACATACCAAAACATACATATTTGAGTACATATTTTAACTGTGAGAATGTTCTGTTAATACAAATATAGAAAAAGAACCACTTTGCATATTATCAAGCTTTATTTACTGCCTAACTTGTAACTTTCAGAAAATAATAAGTTTGTATCTCACCATCCAACAACATTTTATAAACAACTTTGCAAGGATATTACTTTAAAGATTTATTATAGTTGTTAAACTTTCACCCCGACCTGAACTTGACCTTCAAAATAAGAAAATGGCAATAAAAACATCAGTCTTGCGATGACGTGAATTTACATAAATTATCGGCGGCGGCGCGTCTGGGCGCGTGTTTACTGCACTGTTTACATAGGCGCACCGGAGTTCAACGACTCATATATTGTTTTATGGACATGTAATTGGGTCGCCGGAATCTGGGCCTTCACAAATATATAGAGCGTACCTGAAAATGTCAGTTGTGAGACGCGTTTAAATTTTAGTTTGAATTAGGATATAAAATTATATGCTAACAAGTCACAAAAGTAAAATAGACATAACTAAGTTATAATAGGTATAAACTCAACCGCTTTTTCGCTACGGGTCCGTCCCTAGTGAAACACAAAAACAAATCTATCCTACGGAAACCGTACATTTTTTTCGGAATAAAAAGCTTATGTGCTATTTCAGACTATAGTCTATCTCTGTGGCAATTTTCATCCAGATCCGTTCAGCCGTTCTGGCTTGAGAAAGTAACAAACATTCATCCATCCATCCTCACAAACTTTTCTATTCGAACATAGTTTTTTCGTGTGAAAAACTCAACCAGATCATATAGTATTAACATAACATATTATGTTGCCTTTTCAAAATATTTCTCTTACAAACTTCATTTGCCACGATTAACCATTTACTTAGCCATTTACTGATGTGGGCAGGTAGAGGCGCTAACTTAAAAACTTAAGCCTTTGCGGCAGTCACAATAAAACGTACGACAAAAATAAACAAACAAATCAATGTCGACAACTTAATACTAATATAATAAAAATCGTTCGCATTCATTCAGTACACCTGACATCGGGTAAGCTTCATATTTTTTCTAAACAGGTGTTACCGTTCGCCCATTCATGAGTTAGTGTCGATGCCCTATATTATTGTAATGTCTCTCAAGTTCATTGAGTCATACAATAGGTTCATAATTGGTCGTAAACGTTTATGTCAAAACATGGCGGCACGATTCATAATGTTTTACATAATGCGCCTCGTTTGCATAAGCGATTATTATGCGTGTCTTCGTCGATGACGTCGGATGCGTTACGGCAAATTCATTCATTTGTTTATATGTTTACTTGTTCCACGTGCTTGATTGTTAACGCCGTGTGGTGTCCGTGTAAGTAATAAAGGCGGTGACGGATAAGATGCGCATCAGTGCCGCTAAATACATTGCGGACTGACGATTCGATATTCGTATTACTAGAAGCTGAAGAACTAAGAAATATCAACTTTTAAGTGTTTACATATACATGTATAGTATAGTATAACTTAAATTGATCTGTTTAAAATATTCGAACTACCTATACAATAAATGAATATTATATTTTCCTTAATTTTAAAGTACACACATATAACAATTTACTTATAACACAAAAACATGTAAAAAATATTATATCTATTAAGTTGTGCAAAACTAAATTTACCTATGAATATAATTTTAGAAAATAGCTAACTAAGAGGAAGAATGAAAACTTAAAGATCACTAGTTGCATTTAGGTGAATGAAATTCTAAATGTATAAAAAATTCGCATCCAGAACTAAATTCGTTGTTAGTAAGAAGAATGTTAAATGCCTCCATGTAAGCGGTTTACGTGTGACGTCTGATGGCGGATGCACGTGACTGCAACAAGTCGCATTCCTGAGTGCACCCTCGCCCCACCCTCACCCTACAACACGCAATGGGCCTAAAGGGAACTGAAGTTTGTTGCTAAATTACCTCTACAATAGATAAGAAATTTGTAAAAACTACCTAAGCTTTATTAAACTTATTTCACTTGTAAGATATTTGTAAATGTACCTACTAATTATATACTAATAAATAGATTGAGGAATTAAAAAAGTTTGGATACAATTTAAAATATTTCCTTGAATCAGTTTTAATTCCGGCTTTTCAAGGTAAAGCGTTGAACTCTTTTATCGTTAAATTGACAAATTTCGCGAATTTACCAACTTTATCGTACCATCGATAAAGATAATTTTATAATAACATTTATTAACACTTTTAAAGGTTTATTAGAATACTTTCTTGAAGTATGAGGAATAGGTACGCACTGGGCGGGGTGCCCTAGCTGTTGTCATGACAACACACCCCTCGCCTTGCTCATAGGAAAATCTAACGATTCCCGGTTAAAACGAAATAATTTTGACAGTTATTTTAATTGTCATTTGGGATAAATCTTACTTTCGAATGGTTTAAAAGAAGCGGTTTGTTTATTTTATAAATATAAATTGAACGAAATAAAGAAAATCGGCCGTTACGGTACAGCGTAAGCTGCCGAAAAATAAGCAAGTCCGTATTATAGCGTTGTGATATAGAAAGTAAAGTGCGTTCGCGCTGGCAAGCGCGCTGGCGAGCCACGGCGATAATTAATGTGGAGTCGAGTCGAGCGAGCGGCGCCGGCAGCCTCGCGCCCGCCGACAAAAAACCCGCTCCGGCACAAAAACACACGCCGAGCGAGACACCGCTATGAGATAGAGCGGGACAGCGCTACGTGTATTTCTGTGACGAGTTCTCGTTCGCCTCGAGCGCCGCGCAGTTGTCGAGAATTATATTTGATTTAAAACTACAGAATGCGCCCTTCTATCTATCACATGACGTTTGACAGGTCGACGGAAACGCACCAAGATGTCAGATTCGAAAAAAGGCGCGCTTTCCAATCAAACAACTGTTTGGAAAATTCTTTCGCAGTTTTGGTAATTACATTATAACAATCTAACATATAATATAGCCTTAATTAATCTTGTGTTCGAATAGAATTCTACGTCAAAGTGCATTTCGTAATACAATGTCAAAAGAAACGAATAATATTTTATATGTATAACAATAAAGCGATTTTAATGAACAGTCAAGATTCCTATACTTCTTTTTCATTTGTATACTTCCAATAACACTTAAATGTAAAAATTTCACACATGGCACTAATATTTTTATGTTAAGTAAACTTTTTGAAATAAGTTTCAAAGTTAGACACGCAATACAATGATATGTGGGTAGAGTTAAAATATGAAGGAATAACTTATTAATAATATAATATATTTATTTCCCTTAAATTCGAAAAATATATATCTGTTTAATATAAATCCCTGTACGTATTGTTGTATAAAACTTGCTATATCAAAATTATAAATATTGAAATTCTACAATACAATTATAAAAATCACAAAGTCCAAAACACAAAATTCATTAAAGTATAAACTCACAAAAAATAATATTAAACAGTTATTTCAAGCTATAACTATCATGGAAAAGTACATTCATATTTTAATTCTACCCATTTATAACAAAATCACTGTTACCCAACAAAAGCGAGATTCACAAGTGATTTTAAATGAAATCGTACGGAGCACTTGATCCACAGAACAGAGCACGGTAACATTAAGTAATATATCTTACCTGGAAATCACTCCACATTTTCATGGGGATACACCATAGTTCCGATACGAAAACATCACACGTTTACGATAACAACTGTCAAAGTCACTAGCACGGCGTCACTCACGAGCGTTGTGTGCGGAGGCCGAGCGCAGACTGAGGTTGGCGCGTCGAGTGTCGCGCCGAGCGCCGAGCGGAGGCGCTTAGGCCCTTCCTCCACTGGCTGCCATCGGCCCACCTGCAACTCGAACAACAAAACCGAGACCGCTGTGCCGGGTACTGCCTTCTGCTGTTACCTGCTAGAATTGCTACAAACCACTAAAGAAAATCGGTCACTTTTAGCTCATATGTTGAAGAAATAAGATTTGATGTGTGTCATTATCGCAAATTGTGATTGGTCAGTTTTATTATATTAAAGTTAGTTTTCAAATTTTAATTTCTAATAATACCGTTTTAATACTTCTAAATAGTTCGTATATATTTTTTTATAAGTAGGTAAATTTTGCGTTGATATATCATACAGCTTTTGCTGTACGGCACTGAATTGATAAGCTAAACCTAATAAAAACATTCGCAAATCTGATAGCGACTGATTGTAAAGAGGAAACATTCGCATTTCTTGATAACGTAAGACAACTTAGGAAATTGAGTTCTAAGACACGGGCATAGAGCGTCTAAGTTTTCACCACTGATAACAGAATGTGACAGACAAAAAAGCTTTCCAAACAAAGTTTCGAGTGCAGGGCGCACTGGCCGCTACGTAGCGGGAAGTTCGTAGCAGTAAAACTTCGTAGCGCCTCGTAGCGTGAAAGTTTTGATTTCAACGATTTGCGTTGCGGCAAAGAGGGCCGCGAGGCCACACTAGCACTGTGGCCCTGCGACCCGGGCCGATTACTTTTCCTCATACCAACAATAATTTAAAATTGTATTCTATACATTGCACTTAATATCAGTGTCGGCTATCGCTACTACAGCAATGTTAGCTTAATACAGCAATGTATACTGATTATGAATAGTATTCAAACGTTTGTGTAGTCCTTAGATTTATCTGTTCCGTCATCTCTCACGAGAGTGCGCCACTTGCATGAGCCGCGACGACGCCCTCGCCGTGTTGTAGTAAGTCTTGCAAAGCATCTCATGGTGCGGCAGTCGGGCAGACATGGTATATGCCGTGTGCTGTATGGGGCATGGGGCCGACCGACTCGCGCCGCAGCAATATGCCGCACGCAGATCGATACTGTTGCCCAATAATACAACAAAGAGGAAAATTCATTCGGCGGTAATTTTAAACTATCTACCCTATTAGCACAATAGGAATATTAAAAACTAATGTTCTGAAAATAAAATGTTTTGCATTCACATTAGTTGGCGAGCGGTAGATATCGCTTATAGCCATGACAAAGCGGTTGATAATTGTTAGGTAATGCAGTGTAACTAAGGCGATATGTACTTTTATTTTAAAAACTGGACTTAGTAGTATTAATACATTTGTTCTCCTATATCATAAAAATCTTTAAAATTGCAAATTAGGTACGTCTATACATATAAATATACAGTTTAATTTGCCCTTAAACTATTATTTTTCAATACGTATATGACCATATTAAATAAGTTTTAACTTTTTACCTACATGTCATGTGTTTGATTATGCCTTAGCTTTTATACATTTTCAACGTTAGGGAAACAGAAACAATAATAATAATATAAGGTAGGCTAGGTATAAATGCCTAAATAATATAGTAGATCATGATGATGATGATGATGAATATAGTAGGTACTTAAGAGTCCTCTTCTTCTCCCTGCCCATTTCCCAATCACTTGGGGTCGGCGCAGCACATCTTCTGTACTGCTGAAAGGATTTGGCAAAAGTTTTACGACCGGCCGCCTGCCTGACGGCAACCCTCCTTGGGAATGCTATTGTCCCTCTTTGTCTGAATGGTGTTGTGGAAGTCTTGTAATTATTATGCACTCTCAATTTTGTTGTCTTTTAAATCATTTTTTATACTATTACATAAATTTTTAATGTTATTTTCGGATATATTTTAAAATAAATTTTGATTACACAATAAATTTTGTTTTGACGTTGTAAGAGTAAACAAAATTTTTAACTTCTAAGTTTATCATAAACATAATCTATGTAATAAGTTCTTAAACTAAGTTCTCTATTCATTTTTATTCCTTGTAAGGATAATTATAGTGAGATATTTATAGACGTAATTTATTTTATACTTAAGCTAGTACTTAAAGTGAGTATTGAACGATTCGAATTTTCTATAAATAACAATACCATTATTCGCTACGCTATACAGTTTTTTATATTCTCGGCTATAACTGTACAATTATAGTTAAATTCAAAAAACCCATCCAACAAGCAAGTGGCCATCATCGCTAAGTACTCAGTATATTTTTACGCGCAAGGTGCGCTTGCACATACATGTTGCCATGTGCATATGAGCCACGCGTTCTGCGCTGTCTGCAACTATCGTTATTACTAATAAGAATAAAAGTATATAAAATGTAGTTCTTTCTAATATGACACATAAAGACTTAGGTTAAAGTTCAATTTGCTGTGATTATTTAATATTTATTGTACATGTTGACCATTGTACGATTTCGAACGAAAAGCTGACTCCTCAGTTGGTGTCGCTTTACACTGCTATGTGAGAAAGCAGGCCATGTTCGTTGGTAGGTATTTTCAAAACTTATGTAAGATATTTCAATTAGATTATAAATAAAAAGACAAAGAAACATTCGCACATAGTGCTAAAAATTTGAAGCATAGGTACAAAGTTTGCCACCTCTCTCACATCTTGGTAGTTGGATTCTTTAAAATTTATTTATTAGCTGTTCTTAATCGCATCATCAATGCTGAGCGACTAATCTATTTAATATTTGAAAAATAATATTAAAGAGTTTATAGTTAGGTATATTATTAACATGAATCGAATTAGTAGAAAATTATTGAAAATATATTTTAATACAGTATTTTTTATTTATTGTTCTGTGTTAGTCAATAGAATCATCGATGTCCTATGCGGATTTCGACAGCTGTATACGTTGGTTTTCATGATTCAAACAGTGTGCATTGGAAAATGTCAAGTTTGCTGCATTATCAGAACGACTAAAACCTTTACAGCTTTTGGTAAAAGGTTTAAAAAATAAAAGATTACATAACTTTACAAAATGCATGAGCCGACAATATTTTTTGTAATTTTTGATACAATATAAAATTTATACTGATTATTTAACATAGCACTAATTATATTTTTAAGTATATTATGTATTCAATAAATTATTTATGTTTGTGTTCTATTTTCCACCAACTCTAATTTCGCATTATAATATGCACAAGCATGCATCGCTTGTAGTTAGTTAATAAGAAATGTATTCAACATTCATTTATATATTCAATAGAATATTTTTAAACTTGGCCTATTTTCTATTAAAATCCACTTCGTAAAACTTCTCATGACGATGTCATAAAAGAATAAATTCATTACCAGCAGCACTAGCGCTCTGATGCCATCAACATTCATTGAGCTTGATTATCTTATGTCCACGCTGGAGCCTTACGCTCAGAATATTATGAAACATAATTCCACAGTATCGCCTTGTTTATGAATTAACTAACAGTCTCATTCGACTTCGTTACATGTCGGACTTAACTAAAGCACATTTGCTACAATTACGAGTATATTACTTAACTTACTTCTGGATCTCGCTAATCCATCAAATTTTAATTTCACATAAAATTCTGAATTATTAATCTAAATTTAGGAACATTTTTCTTTTTATCTATTCTTATTCTTGTGTATAATAAATTATTTAAATTTTTAAAGTGTTCTATGTTTATCATGTATCTAGATTTATAACGCTTATAAAGATAGCTGGAACCATTTTGAAAGAGGTTTTTTTAAAGAAAGTACAGAAAAATTGAATAAACTAAATTATATACCAAAGATATCAGCGAATATTAAATTAGCGACCAGTTTTATGAGCGCGACTTAACTCGAGAGACTTCATCTTAGAGCATAACCTCAGTATGGCGTGCATCGATAAAATTTTAAATATTTTTCGTATATTAAAACTGACGGTAAAAACTGCATTTATTTTACTATTATAGTTTCTTTTTAATAATTGTCTGCATTAATAAACTACCCAAAAAATAAATAAGTTTGTTAAACACACTTGCAATAATGATTTTACGCACATTTTTACTATAAATTTTTTTGTGAGGAATGGACTGTTGATTAAAGAGTTTCCTTAAAATTAGTCAAGCAGCATTTTCAAATGTTACTAACGTTTATAAGTACACATTAAAAGAAAAATATCAAATGCATATAAAATGCAGACGACAAACGATGTCTAAGTAATTGCGGGATGGGGTAAATCCTAGATACTACTTCATAAATATAAAACATTTATGTACATATATACGTATGTCCATATAAAGGGTATATGTATATATTTTTGTATATCTTAATAACGACGTATATTATTCATCATACAAATTAGAGTAACCTTAAAATGCTTAATTATAAGTTTGTGTTAATGCTAAAACTATATTCCTGATATAAATTAACTTTCATAAATCAGATACAATTTTCCCATGATAAATGGATCCTGATATAATATAATTTTATTATTATAAATATTCATGTATACACACCATTATATTTATAAAAAGTATTTTACACAATAATGCGAAACTAATGCACAGGTTTTCAACCGCTAGCGTTTTATATAAGTATACAAGTCCGGGCCTTATCACAGAGCCTCAGTCACAAACAATTATAACCTTCAAATGCATTACATAAATATGTATACCATTTCGTAGAATCAGTACTGAATACAAGTAGTACTTTGATGATTGTACTAGGGTGAACTTTACTGAAAGTATTTCTTACTGTAAATGTAGAGTTACATCTCTAAAACCTTTTTTATATATTCAATGATTATGGATTTTACCTTTAACACTGTTTATCTCAAATATTTGAGGCCTTCATCAATATTTTGAATGAGAACATAGTAATAGAAATTAATTTTTAATTTTATTTTAATATAATATTTAAAATATTTTTATACTTATTATATATATACCCATAGTATTTAATACTCTGTTTCTGACTGAGCAAGAGAATTTTTATTATATTAAAATATATATTCAATTCATAAAGTAGTCCTTATCGCAAAGCAATAAAGTTTATATTTCCAAATAAATAAAACCACGTGCGTGTTAGTTTGTATAAAGAATCGCGTTTGCGCTACGTAGGGACAACCAGCAATTATGGTCAGATAGATGACGTAAATGTTCGTCATTTGAACATTTTCCCTAGAAATCTACTTATAAATAAGTGGTTCTACATAATAAGTTCGCTATATGTAACAACTTACGTACTCTTGTATATTGTCTGAGAAATTTTAGTCCTAAATAAAATATTTTTTTTTCTGTTTAACTCGCATATACTAATTATCTAATATATTTCTCAATTATCGGCGACTGCGCCTAAGAAATAAAATACAAACTGACAGACGCACTATATAATCCGCCCTCGGCCACGGATAACTGAAAAGTGTAGAAACGTATCGACCGGCATCAATATTATATAAAAAATTAAATGCTTATTTTTTAAAATTAGGATGGACATACGTTAAAACATTAATTAATAGAAATTTTTAATATTAATAGCCTATATCAGGATATTGCAAATATTATAAGCCTATCCTTGTCATGAGTTGTATTCTCAATATTTTTATTAGCAACATCTACATAATTTATAATCCCGATTCAATGACAGAATATAGCGTTACTGATTTCTTCCTGTTACCGAAGAAAAATAGCATAACGTAGGTTATCTTTGAAAAAAAACTAAACGAATTGTAAATTATAGTAATTTCATATTTGTACGTTGTAACACTAATTGTTCTATATTTTTCATTATAGTTATTATAACATTAAAAAAGCTTTAAAATATGGCTTTAAAAAAATTTCATTATATTTATTATAACATGAAAAAGGGGAAATCAGGGGATAGGATGAATATTATTTGATACAACAAGATAATAAAAATCTACACATGCAAATTGTCCGGAGTCCTAACCCATTAATTAAAAGTTAAACGTTCATACTTGTACGAGAGTCAAAATTCGACAGAAGATGTATATGATCTACATTCTAGATTTAAATTAATAAACATATATCAAACTGTTAGGATAGCATTTATCAGTCGATTATCTCTTGAAGATAT